TCCTGGATTTTTCGTATTCACCAGTACTTTCCCATATTCTAACAGATTCTGTCGGACTTTTTTCGGATTTTATCAAATTCTATCGGAGTTTCTCGGATTCTGTTGTATTTTCTTTAATTTTCTCCCATACTCTCGGACTTTTTTGTATTTTCTTATTCTCTCATATTTAGGTACTCAAATACTTTCGGATTCTTTGGAATTTTCCCGAATTCTCTCCGATTCTCTTGGATTTTTTCTATTCTCTCATACCGTTTTATATTTTTTCGCGGATTCTCATGGCGTTTCTCGAATTCTTCCAGATTCTCTGGGATTTTCTCATCTCAAATTATCTTCGATTTTCTTCGAATTTTCGTGTTGTCTCATATTCTTCCACACTCTCTTGTATCCTTTCTTATTTCCTCAGATTCTCTCGGATTTAGGTACCCGAATTCTTTCGGATTCTGTTGGATTCTCTTGAGATCTCTTCGATTCTCTTGGATTTTTATATTCTCTCATTTTATTCTTTGTTATCCCGAAATCTTCTATATTTTCTTGTATTCTTTCTGATTTTTTCGTATTCTCTCGAATTTTTCGGATTCTTTCGAATCTTCCCCAATTCTCTCAGATTCTCTTGGAATTTTCATATTCTGTCGTACTGTTCCATATTTTTTCGGATTGGCCTCTCTCGGAGTCTCTCAGATTCATCTTTTTGATTGTGTTGAATTCTCTTGAATTCTCTTCGATTCTCTTGGATTTTGTCGTATTCTTCCGTATTCTGTCGTATTCCTCTATATTCTCGCAGATTCTCTCGAATTCATTTCGAATCTCTTGGATTTTTGTATTCTCTCGTTTTTTCGTGTGTTACCCCGTATTCTTCTATATTCTCCAGAATTTTTACGGATTCTCTTGGATTTTTTCACATTCTCCCGTACTGATCCATATATTCTTTCAGATATTCCCGCATTCTTTCGGATTCTCTCGGATTTTTTCGGATTCGTTTCGATTCTCCTGAATTTCTTCATATTCTTCAGAAATTAAAAATATAGCTGTTCTAAAATTAGTCTAGTGGATCATGAAAAATATTGTAAAATTTCCGAAAAAATCCGAAGGGCTTCAAGAGAAACCGAAACAATACAGGAGAATACTAGAGAATATGAAAAATTCCAAAAGAATATACTAAACAATTCTAGAGAATACGAAAAAATCCAAGAGAATCGGAGAGGGTTAAAGAGAATCCGAAAAAAATGGAGGGATTCTTAGAGAATTCGAAAAAATCCGGAAGAATCCGAAAAAAATTCAAGAGAATACCAAAAATTTTAAAGAATCGGAGAGAATTCCGGAATATCCGCAAGAATACGAAAGATACCAGACTCCTAGAGAATACTATAGAATCCAAAAAAATCCAAGAGAATCCGAAAAAATGCGGAACAATACCAGAAAACACGAAAAAATTAAAGAGAACGAAGAGAATTCGGGAAAACCCGAGAGAATGAGAAAGTATCAGAGAGAATGTGAAAGAATACGAGAGAATATGGAAGCCTAAAGAGAATACGAAAAATCCAACAGAATCGGGAGAAACTCTAGAGAATTCGAAAGAATTGAGGAGACTGTTAGATGAACTGATAAAATAAAAACAAATCCCAAAATATACGAGATAATACAGAAGAATACGAAAGAATACGAAAAGTCCAATAGAACAGAAGTGAATTCGAAAGAATCCTCGAGCATACAGAAGAATACAAGAGAATACGAAAAAATCCAAGAGAGTCGAAGAGAGTTCAAGGGAATCCAACAGAATCCGGAAGAATCCTTAAGAATCTGAAAGACTTCTTTAGAGAATTCCATCAAATTAGAAGAAATTCTAAAGAATAAAAATAAAAAAATATAACAAAAAATCCGAGAAAGTACGAAAAAATCTAAGGGAATCGTAGAAAATTCGAGGGAATACGAAAGAACGCTAGAGCCTAAATAATCGGAGAGAATTCCCGAAAATTAGAAAGAATACAAGAGAATACAAAAGATAACGGGAGAATACGTAAAATTCAAGAGAACAGGAGAGATTTTGAAAGAATACAACAGAATCCAAGAGACTACTGCAGAATTTGATAAAATCCGAAAAAAATCCGACAGAATCTGATAAAATATGGAAAAATACTGGATAATACGAAAAATCCAAGAGAATCGGAAATAATTTGAGAAAATTCGAGAGTCTGGAAGAATCCGAGAAAATCCAGGATAATTCGAAAAAACATGGAACAGTACGAGAGAATACGAAAAAATCCAAGAAAATGGGAGAGAATTCGGGAAAATTCGAAAGAATCCGTGAAAATACAAGAAAATACGAAAAATTCGAAAGAATACGAAAGAATACGGAAGAATGTGGGATAATAGAGAAGAAAACGAGAGAATACAGAAATGTAAGAGATTTGAAATGAATTTGCGAGAATATGGGGAATACGAGATAATACGGAAGAGTACGGGGAATACGAAAAAATCCAAGAGAATCGACGAGAATTCAAGAGAAACTGAAAGAATCTGAAAGACTCCGAGAGAATCCCATCAAATCCGAAAAAATTCTAAAGAATACGCAAAAATTCGAGAGAATCCGAAAGAATTCGAGTAGCTAAATACGAGAAAATACGGAAAAATCCGAGAGAATCTGGAAGAATCCGAGGGAATAGGAAAGAATACAGGAGAATGTAGAAGAATATGAGAGAATACTGAACAATACGACCGCATGCAGAAGAATATGAGAGAATACGAAAAAATCTAGAAGAATCGAAGAGAATTCAAGAGAATCCAACATAATCCGGAAACATTCGAAAGAATACGGAAGAATTCGAGTGAATCCGAGAGAATATCAAAAATCCAAGAGAATCGTAGAGAATTCGGGAAAATAAGAAAAAATTCGAGGGAATACGAGAAAATTCGATAGAATCCGAGGTAATCCGAAAGAATACGGAAGAATACTAGAGAATACGAAAAAATCCAAGAAAATGGGAGAGACTTCGGGAAAATTCGAAAGAATCCGTGAAAATACAAGAAAATACGAAAAATTCGAAAGAATACGAAAGAATACAGAAATCTAAGAGATTTGAAATTAATTTGCGAGAATATGGGGAATACGAGAGAATACGGAAGAGTACGGGGAATACGAAAAAATCAAAGAAAATCGAAGAGAATTCAACAGAATCTGAAAGACTCCGAGAGAAGCCCATCAAATCCGAAAAAGTTCCAAAGAATACGCAAAAATTCCAGAGAATCCAAAAGAATTCGAGTAGCTAAATACGAGAAAATACGGAAAAATCCGAGAGAATCCGGAAGAATCCGAAGGAATAGGAAAGAATTCAGGAGAATGTAGAAGAATATGAGAGAATCCTGAACAATACGACCGTATACAGAAGAATATGAGAGAATACGAAAAAATCTAGGAGAATCGAAGAGAATTCAAGAAAATCCAACATAATTCGGAAACATTCTGAAGAATGCGAGTGAATCCGAGAGAATATCAAAAAATCCAAGAGAATCGTAGAGAATTCGGGAAAATAAGAGAAAATTTGAGGGAATACGGGAAAATACGGAAGAGTACGAGATAATACGGAAGAATACTAGAGAATACGAAAAAATTCAAGCCAATGAAAGAGAATTTGAGAGAATCCAACAGAATCTGGAAGGATCCAAAAAAATCTGAGAAATGACTAGAGAATTCGATAAAATCCGAAAAACTTCGAAAGAAGACGCAACAATGCAAAAGAATACGAAAGAACCCACCAAATATTTGAGAGAATACGAAAAAATCATAAACAATCAGAGAGAATTCCGAAAAATCCTAGAGAATACTAAAGAATACAAAAGAATACAAAAGACAACGGGAGAATACGAAAAATTGAAGAGAACAGGAGAGAATTCGAAAGAATCCGATAGAATCCAAAAAAATCCAAGAGAATCCGAAAAAATGCGGGAGAATATTAAAGAATACGAAGAAATTCAAGAGAATCGAGACGAATTCGAAAAAATCCGAGAGAATCTGAAAGAATGCATGAATATCTGAAAGAATATGGAACAGTACGGGAGAATGTGAAAAAATCCAAGAGAATCGGAGAGAATTCGGGAAAATTCGAGAGAATCCGAAAAAATTCGAGAGAATATAGAAGAGTACGGGGTAACACACGAAAAAACAAGAGAATACAAAAATCCAAGAGATTCGAAATGAATTCGAGAGAATCTGCTAGAATATAGAGGAATATGAGAGAATACGGAAGAATACGACGGGGAATACGAGCAAAACCAAGAGAATCGAAGAGAATTCAACACAATTAAAAAGAATCTGAGAGACTCCGAGAAAAGCCCTTCGAATCCAAAAAAATTCGAGAGAATCCGAAAGAATTCAAGAATCTAACTACGAGACAATAAGGAAATACAAAAAAGTCCAAGAGTATTGGAGAGAATTAAAGAGAATACAACAGAATCCGAGAGACCCCGATAGAATTTGATAAAATCCGAAAAAAGTCCGACAGAATCTGTTAGAATATGGAAAAATACTGGATAATACGAAAACTCCAAGAGAATCAGAGATAATTTGAGAAAATCCGAAAGTCTGGAAAAACCCGGGAAACTCCGAGAAAATCCAGGATAATTGGAAAAAATATGCAACAGTACGAGACAATACGAAAAAATCCGAAAGAATACGGAATAATAGAGAAGAAAACGAGAGAATACAGAAATCCAAGAGATTTGAAATGAATTTGCGAGAATATGGGGAATACGAGAGAATACGGGGAATACGAAAAAATCTAAGAGAATCGAAGAGAATTTAACAGAATCTGAAAGACTCCGACAGAAGCCCATCAAATCCGAAAAAATTCCAAAGAATACGCAAAAATTCGAGAGAATCCGAAAGAATTCGAGTAGTTAAAGACGAGAAAATACGGAAAAATCCGAGGGAATAGGAAAGAATACAGGAGAATGTATTATCACTGAAACTTTCGTTTGTGGTAGTCCATTATTAAAGCAAATTCAAATCAGAGTAAATCATTTATTCTTAATACAAAATACAGATACAAACACAAAAACTTAAACTAGTGGTCCATCAAAGGCCCGAAGAAATATTTACTCGGATTAGTTTCGTCTTCGCTCAAGAAGAAATCCCTTCCAAATTTCACAAACTCCTTCATCGTTATAGTGGCGGTGTCGTCCTCATCCATAAACTGAAAACACAAATCCGCATACACAGAACTTACGCCAATACAAAGATAAAAAAGCCGAAACTCGTCTACAGTGATGACTCCAGAATTATCCGTATCGAGCGCCTGTTAAAAAAAATTATAAACCTTAGCAGAAAAAACGACTTCATTCATTACCCTGAACATATACGGCAGAAAAGAGTGCGCTTTCCGCACTAGCTTCTTATCATTTATCACGTGGTGCATATCTTCCAGGAAGTGTTCAACTGTGACCAGATTGTAAGGGTTAATCGCACCGAATCTCTTTTCCCATAAGTTCTGCCAAAAAACGACTTTAAATTAACATAATAATTATAATTATACTAAACACACTTGTAGCAATTTTCTGAATTCGTCTTTGTGTTTGTCGCTCAAATGACCATACTCGATGAATTTGTCGCCCAAAATTTTAAAATCGTCATACGAAATGACGCCATCTTTATTTACGTCTAAAATGGCGTGGAAGGTTCGAATCTTCTGGCGCCAGAATTGTGACTCGCCCTAAAATTTTCACAACACGTGTGACTGTCGGTGTATACAGGGTGTGCAAACTTACTCTGTGACCGGGCGGTTCCAAATCGCTGTCGGACTGCGATTCAGATGAAATATCAAAATTGTCTTTCTTTTTTGGTACTTTGGCACGGCCTGAAACCGTCGCGTAGTGGCTGGCGATGGGTGTAACTCGACGGGCAAAATTCACCTGAAAATCATCGACACAATTATAATGAATTCAAAATTTGCTCTAATTCTCGACGACCGCACGTGCATCACCTGTTTCTCAATAATTTAACAACAACAAACTCAAGAACGACGTTCAACAGTCTGTGACAGCCCTGACCCAAAAATATCCAAACGAAATCAAAAGGGATCAAGGACGGTTTTTACCTGTTGATCGCTCCGACAAAAAATTAAATAGCTTTGTGCTTAACACCTGTAGCTTTGTTACGTTACCTAGAAAACCCAAAACGGTAAAGAAATAAGTAGATAATAAATCAACAACAACGCTTAACAGGTCAATATTGACACTGTAAACAGCACGTGTCGTAATCGAATATTTTTCTTTGTGAAAGCGCCGAAAATTGAAACTAGTAGACATTGATAAGGAAAACATACCACAAATCAATAAAATGTGTCGATAAATAAACAAAAATATCAATTTGTTGTGCGTACAAGAACCGAAACACCTACGATAGAAAGTGCACGTACTCCCGACCCAAATAGGACAAGATGCGCTGATAAAGATGACTAATTAATAATCGACAAAGTAACAAAGAGACAAAAGTCAATCATTTTTCTTGATTCAATCAATTTAAAAAATAATTAATAATTACGAAAAAGTACTAACCACATTTCTGCACTCTTCTTTTTTTCTTAAAATGCTTCTGCTGCACCTTGTTACACTTCTTAGCACGGAGAACGCCATATCTAGTCTTCGACGCTTGAAGAACACTCGGCTAACTAATCTTTCGGCTTTGATAGAGGAAGAACTCGATTTGTTTGGGTCTGGTAGACGAATAACAGGTCAAACTTCGTCCGGTGACTCTCTCTCTCTCTTATCACTTTATTTATTGTGTTTGGGTGTCCTCTTCAAGCCCTTACTACCGATCGTAATGAGAGTTAAATGCGTTCGTAATTTGGGTTGATTCAACGGATTGTTATCCGGTTTACGAGATAATTTTGACATTGGAGATAATTTAGGACTAACAATTTTTCTTTGTTTATCGGTCGAAATTAACATTTCGCGCCATTTTAATATCCAACGAGTCCCCTCTGCTGCACTACCACAGACCTATTTAAATCCACACTCAAACATGTACTCCTTTTATTACGAATAAGCAAAAATTGGATATATAAAATGGAAAAATAAAACAATCTAAAAATTTTATTTTTTATTTAGCGCACTACACAACACACTTACAAAAAATATATTCTATAAAATCGCATTATGTGATGACGTCATGTGCGCATTGAGCATAGCTTGCGTACTAAAATCCCTCTGGCAAACCCTACACACGTACGTTTTTTCCTTTTTAAAATCACTATCGTGTAATTTCATGTGTTGCTGCAACCGGTATCCTTTAAAACACGCATATTCGCAAAATTTACATTGAAATGGCTTATAACCTACAAAAAATAAATAAATAAATAAAATGAAACATAATTATGGACCGACCTGAGTGGATCTGTAAGTGCGAATTAAGCAACGACTTGTGTTTAAACGCTTTATCACAATATAGACATTTGAACGGCCTGAGATCGCTATGGGTTTTCGTGTGTTCCACCAAATGGCTTTTTTGGATGAAAGCTTTACCACATTCTGTACATAAAAAGGGCTTCTCACCTACATATAAACAGTTTTATTTGTTCTAGTTGTGATTTTTATTACCTGAATGTTTCCTCAAATGCAACTTAAGCTCAGATGGTCTACAAAACCTCTTGCCACAAATTTTACAGACTTCCGGTCGCCCTGTATGGATTTTCATGTGGGTGCTTAGAGCTCCGGCTTGAGCAAACCCCTGAAACCGTAATATATTGCCTGTTAAATAAAATGTGGGACATCCTGTATATATGAGTGTACCTTTCCACAGACACTACAAATGTGTGGTTTTTCGCCTGTGTGGATTCGTTCGTGTTCAGTCAGTTGGCTCTTATTTTTATGGAGTTTACCACAAAAGCTGCACTTGTATGGGCTATCCCCTCTGTGCACCTTTAAATGGGCATTAAGGCTGGCATTAGACCTAAGAATTTCATTTTTTTTCAGCTATTAATTATTCTAAATTACTTACTTCAGTTCTTTGGTACAAATATAACATACATATGTATCTTTTTTTTCTTTCACAGCTTTAGAATGAACTTTATTCATGTGTACTACAAAATTTCGAACTGTTTTTTGACACTGTTCACAGTATTTACTTTGAGATTTTTTTCTAAAATGTTAAAATACAAATAAAAACTGTCAATTTTGAACACCAGTCTTACACAACACTGTTTTCCTTGTTTTTATCTACAGTATCATCATTAGGATGGGGTTCAAACTTTATTAAAAATTCTAAATCACCTACAACATTCATCAGACAAACATAATAAAATGTGAAAACTCACCTGAATTGATTTTTGAATGTTTGCACTCTGTCAGTTCTTTATTACACAACAAACACAATAATTTATGACTTTTTCTATGCTCTGGTAAACTGAAAAAAAATCACCTCAGCTTTATACGTAAATCATGGCATTATCAAACTACCTGTGCAGTAGTGACATATGTGACATTAAAGCTTCAAACGTGTCCACAATATCAGAACACACTGTACATTTATACGCCGTTTCTTGCACCTGTTCTTTTTCACCGAGCTGCTTGATAATGAACTCGTGACTTTCAAGACACTTTTTTCTAAATTCGAACGAGATTTGTAGGGCGGTTTCACACTCATTGCATAAATACGAAGGAACTGCGTCGCTGCTGATCCACTGAGAACAAATTACGTAGTTTTTAATTCATAACGAGCAAAAATGTGTTCCTAACCTCAAAATCGTTGATCGTGGTAAACATAGTTATTAGTTCTTTGCCTTCGGGCTCACTTTCTGTTAAAAAGTGCATGTTGTCTGATACGTTTAAACACGCCCTGCATTTGTAAAACATTCTAAATGCGATTTTAACATAAACAAAAACAAAACAAAACGTCAAATGTCAGTTGTCACAGTTTGCATTAGGTGGATGTGTCTGAAGTCCCGTAGACGGTAATTTAAACGTGTGTTAATAATGTTACCGACTATTGACGACACTTGTCGGTAATTTTGAGCCAAATATTTTTATTTAGAATTTTATTTTAAACAAAATATATTGCGCTCGCATAATTACATTAGTGTCCAAGGCCAGGTAAATGTGCGAGTTTTCCCCCATTCCCGTAAATCTAAATTTGTCGAGACTCCCTTCTAAGAACCCGGAACGGCCGCATAAATTTTTAATTAATCGATCCTCTAATAAACGGCTCCCGTCCGATCTATTTCAGTCCTCCGTTCGCGCTCTCTCGTAGGTGAAACAGATACGTCACAATAATTCGACTGCTCCTCGGTTCCTTCAACAAATTATGTTAAATTATTGATGCAATCGAAGCGGGCAATCTCCTCGACTCAGCTCCGAAATTTACATAAAGCCGGATATAGTTGTGATATATTTCTGAATCGGGAACGAAATTATTCACTGGATGCGCAATTTGCACAAGTGCGTGATGGGGTGCTGACGAATGAACCAATGAAATATGAATGTCAAAAATACGAATAAAATTATATAATTTTTCTGACAAAAAAAAATCGAATGGTAACTCTAATTAAGACATTCGTCTTAACGTCTCGAGACGTAAAAATCAAGTTATCAAAACTAAACATCAATATCCAGTTATTAACGCGTCGTATCCTCTATCGAATCTGCACTAAAAATCCCATAAACACCCAATAACACTAACGATAAAAATTCAATACCGCCACCTCCGCCATCCCCCAGACGCCTCCGTCCCGTTCAGCCTGCATAAAACATGCCCATCACCCCGAGCACCCATAAAGCCGTTTACATCCCGTTGATGGTCCGCCGTGCCCCGTAAAACCATGAAAAATCGTCCCTGTCCCGGCGCATCCGCCACCTCGAGTGCGTGCACCGAAATGACCATCTTGGGATCCGAGGCATTAAATAAATTAGTTGGACCTGCGCCGTGCGGGGGTAAGGCACCAGCGTCGGCCTGAAAATCAATATAGCCCCAGAAAGCGTGCACTTCCAAACAACCTCCAGCTCGCGAAGCATGTCCGCGGAAAGGGACGGTTCGGCCAAGGGGACGGCTTTGGGGGCGATTTAACGTTTCGGCGACGGCGAAATGGCGTAGTGCAGCATGAGGTGCCCGAGAGTGTTGACCCTGATGTGTCTGCTGGGGCTGGGGAGCCCGCAGAGGCCCAACCTGGATACGAGGAGGCACGATGTCTACATTGCCGGATTCTTCCCGTTTGGGAAGGGAGTGGAGCATTCGGACACAGGTGAGGAGGTCTGAGGGGATCGATTGATGGAAGTGTGGCTGCAGACATACAGGGGATTTGGAAAGTCCTAGTTGTAAAAGTCACTAATGTAGTGCGGCGAAAGTTGCTCAAAACGTAGCAGATGTGGTGACTTTTCGACATCAAATTAAGTTCGCCATTTTGATAGTATTATTTATATTTTTGCTGGTCGAGCGTAAGTGTGATTAATGTCGATTTCAGTTCTTGCTGATTCGCAGATTGTAGCATACGAAAATATAGGTTTTTTGGTAAACACGATCTGTAACTTTGCAAAAATCGTCCCCATTTATGTTGCTAGGAGAAAAAGTGATTACGTATATGAAAGATGTCTTGATCTTAAAGAGAAAGGGATTAAAATTTGTTAAAAACTGAACTGAAAATATAATAATGACCTAATTTTCGATTCTTACTTAGTTGGACACAGAATTTTAAATAAATAGATAACAATGAGGAAGTATACAGCTATCATCACGATTTTAATTTTAGATATATGGATTTTCATTCCATTATCAAATTTTACGACTTATACCATCAATTATGTAATAAATTTCGTCGAAGTTTTGACAAAATACAGAGGTTTAGAGATCACAAAACTTTTAACTAAAATTATTTATTAATAATAGCTTCCGAAAAATTCACGATGTCATTTCGAAACAATATTTTATATGTACTTTTTTCGGAATTTTTTAGATTTATCTGATTGTAACAAATGTAGTAAAAAGGAACTTCAGTGACGATGTGCAGATCCACGTTTTTCTAAAGTTACAAGAAATTAAGACTTTTTTGCTTGTAATTTTTTAGGGTGTTCTGTTTTTGAGGCATAACACAAAATTTGGCCATTTTTATGAAACACTATATATAATTTTGAATAGTGCCATTAGCCCCTTCTTAGGCTTTATAACCACAATTTATTTTTGCAATTTCGGTGCGACGTTGCCACTTTCCAATTTTCATTAAATTTTTTGGCAATGGAAAGGTTCACAAAAAAATGACAAAGGGGTTATTTTTAAAACCTGTCTTACAATATTTTGTGTAGAGATAAATAAACATAGGCGCTCTCTTGTGGTAGCAATTAAATCAAATTTTAGAATACAGGGTGCTTAAAAAAAATCTAAAAGTTTATAGTTTTTGGAAAATGCTGGAGAAGGACATTCTCTTGAACCAACTTTGTTCACTTGTGAATAGTCGTGACGACCCATTCAACGTAAGACGAAACTTTCGTGAAAATCGAGGTGTTGCTGTTGAAATGGCAACCGACTCCCAGGGAATATACACCGATGAGGAATAAACGACTCTCGTCGAGTACTTTTCTCAACATAAGAGCGCCTCCGGAATCGCCGGGACAGGTTTGAGCATTGTGGGTAGACCCTACACAGTACTGTTTGGTGGTGAGTTTGCGGTTCACTCGACAGGTTTCTCTGTGCCTGAGCATAAATTTCGCTTGAACTTTAAAGCGGTTCATCACTGAAAGAAACTAAAATAACAAAAACGACCCTCGCAAGTACGAGAAAACTACGTACCGCCATGTTCTGTGTCGCCCCAGCCGGCAATCAGCAGAGTTTCATTAAAAGGAGTGATTAAATTTTTCGGAGGCAAACAAATCGGTTTGATGAAATCTGAAACATTTAGTGAGATCAAAATGATCAAATTCGTGCAACATGATCGCTACCTGTGTACTCTACTTCACGACTCATGCGTATTAAAGCGATGTCGTCTGTGAACGTACTTAGCTTATAATCAGGGTGCATGTGGTAGGATTCCACAGGTATGTCTTGAATTTTGTCAGCACAGTCGTCAAGCATGCAATCCGTTTCACTCCATACATCATACTCACCCAAAACCACTGAAGTTCTAAAACGTTCTTGTTTATTGATGCTAGTTTTTTGTTTAATGGCAACTCACAAATTTCGACCTACTAGGTTCAACATGTTTGGATCCACACAGTGAGCGGCAGTTAATAGATACCTTTTAGTAATAAGGCTACCATGGCACCCATACAACATGGTACCTTTTTTTGTGCGATATTTTATTAGACCAATCCATGGATAATCGCCAATGCAAGTTGGCTCTCCTCCTTCTATCAACATTTTCGGGACTGGAAGCTCTACTCCGCAGCTATCATAATTTGGGATGAGTTCGCCACTATCCATAAATTTTGTGACTTGTTGTGAGTCTGGACATTTCACGTAGATGCGATTGTACTCGAATTTACAGTGTAAAAGAGTTAGTAGAGTTGTACCAGCAAAAGTATCCTTCTTTGTTTTTAATATTGCGTTAACGTGGGAACAATTTTGTATTAGCACGCATTCATCTTTCTTATCAACTATAAACGCTGTGTGACTCCAAATTTGTAAAAAACTTAGAAAATCTACAAGAAATTTATTCGGAGGCGTTTTCTAGTTGTGGAGTATACTTACACAAGAACAACGCTGTTTTATTAACACAATACATTTCACGAACTTAACAGAACAATAACGTGTTACTGATCACAAACGCATAAATATTCCACTAATCACATAAAAGTTCTTATTTATTTATTATTTAGTTTCCTGGATTTCCAGAGGTTATCAATATGGTTATTTCAGTTGATTTCTAGCTAATACAGAAGACAAGGTTTCCGGGTGACTTTGAACCAGTCAAAGTGGGTGATTTGCATAAATTGGCGAGCTATTTTGCAACAGGCTATTTCCATTTTGAATCCTACAAGAGGAGTCAACGTTACAGTTGTATTTTTTATAAAAACAGAATTTTAGGTCTTGAACGTTTATCAGAAAATCGAATTAATCGAAAGCGGGCTCCAGAACAACCTCGAGGCTGCGTTCACGAATCCTGTAGAAGTACGCATCGCGGTTTGAATAGGGATCACCGTCGGGAACTAGCAGTTTTAATTACCGATCATCGTAACAATATTGTAACACAGGTTTTTAAAAATAAACCAACTACGATTTTTTGTGAACCCTTCCATTGCTAAAAAATTTCAAGAAAATTGGAACAACGTGGCAACGTCGTAACGGAATTTCAAAGATAAACTGCGGTTTTAAAGCCTAAGCAGACGTCAATCAAAATATATAAAAAAATATAGGGTGTTTCATTTAAAAAGACTCGCAAACGAAATGGGCCGGACACGATAGATCGGCGAGGTGAACCTGTATTTTCGTACTGCACGAATTGTATAAGTCAAGAAAGTATTATATTATTTAAAAAAAATGGTCTGCTGCAGGATATCTCCCCTACCGCTCGTAAAATAAAAATAATTTTCCCTGCACATTATACGCGTTTAGACAGATGACTTACGATGGTCATAAAAAAAACATAAAAAGTTGTTCTGTTAATAAAAGACTTAACGATCACAACTTCTTCGATTTCACAAATGCGAGCTCGAACATTTATTTAGTCGTCTATTTGCACAGATATTAATAACGTTTATAATTAAAAAATAAAACATATAAGCGAGTGTTGCTTACTAAATTGTAGGGATCAGTTTCTTGAACATATTTTGATCACAGAGTTTTTGTTATTCTGTCTATATATCATTTGCGAAAATCACTCCTATCTTAGTAAATACTAGCCCCACCCACCCACCCTATATTTTCCTAGAGGGTATTTCATCTGCCAAAATTAGTCTTATCTTAACAAATACTAGCGCTGCTCGTCTATCCTTTAATTTCTTGAAGGTGGGTGGGCTTCTAGTATTTACTAAGATAAGACTGACTTTGGTTGATGACATGTCTTCTAAGAAAATAAAGGGTGGGTGGGCGGGGTTAGTACTTTTCAGTCCCACATGACAGAAGATCATAATTAGCCCTGCCCACCCACCCTGTCTCCTTTTCAGCGATTAATGTTATCCGATCTGAATCAAATGAGTGATCTTATACTGAACAGAAATAAAATTAGCCGTTAGAATGCGAAGAGGGGGGTGGGCGGGGCTGCTACCTCTTACAATAAGGCTGATTTTGCCAAATGACATACCTTCCAAGAAAATCGAGGGTGGGTGGGCGGGCCTAATATTTGCTAAGATGAGACAGATTTTGGCAAATGTCATACCCTCTAAGAAAATAAAGTGTGGGTAGCGGTGTAGTATTTGGTAAGATAATACTGATTTTGGCACTTTGACATTTTCAACCATTTTTCAATTATTTCCGAAAATTAGTTGAACACATTTTCTTGTACATTTCGATATCCAAAAGTCATTTTCGGCTTCATTTCATCGGAAATTCCCCATTGAAATGCAGCAATTTTTAAAGTTTCGTCAATATAGCTGGCTAAAAAAAATGTAGAATATTTCCATGGCCAACTGTAATCTAAAAACTTTTTGATCACCCTCTAGAAGGATTTAATTCTTGCTCAAAATGAGATTTCAGCAGTTCTCAAACGGTTGAACAGACTTCTATTTTGAAAAAACTACCCGTTTTATCGAAAAATTGCACAAAGGTTTTTGAGTCCGTTTTGTCTTGGACACTCATCGTGAAATTTATGACAAACTATTCTCTAACACCCTGTATTTACAGAAATGGTTAAAATTTGTTTATTTGGGATAATACAGAAGTCAGGACAGCTCATGTCACGTTAGGTCAAGTCAGGTCAGGGGCATAAAATAAGAAATAAATTTTATATTAAATGGTGTAACAAAAAAAGTTGCGTGTAGCGCTTTTTTTTACTTTTTCCACAACCTAGATTCGATTATGTATTAGCTTTCACTCCCACTCGACAAAACAACATACTTAGCCCCGCCCATCCACCCTGTCTCCTTTTCACTGATTGATTTCATCCGATCTGGCAAATGACATATCTCTCAAGAAAATAAAGGGTGGGTGGGCGGAACTAGTTCTTTCTAGATAATACAGATTTTGGCAAATGACATACCCTTAAGGGACTAGCATTTGATAACATAAGACTGATTTTTGCACTTTAACATCTTCGACCATTTTTCAACTATTATATGTATAAATTTCTAGATTTTATTATTATTTTCCAGTCCCATTCGACAGAAGAACATAGTTCACCCCGCCCACCCACCTTGTCTTCTTTACAGTGATTGATTTTATCCAATCTGAATGAAATGAATGATCTTATACTGAACAGAAATAAAATTAGTCGTTAGAAATAGAAGAGAGGTGGGAGATAGGGGCGCTAGTACTTGCTACGATAAGGCTGATTTTGGCAAATGATATACCTTCCAAGACAATATTGGGGCGGGTGGGCGGGGCTAGTATTTGATAAGATAAGACTGATTTTGGCAAATGACATATCCTCTAAGAAAAGAGAGGGCGGGTGGGCGGGGCTAGTATTTTTGTCCCAGTATGCTGAGATATCGAAAATTTGTTTTCACTGGTGACTTGAACAATAAAGTTGATTCATATTTTGCATGCTTTACTTCTCGCATTTAATTGAAAGCAATAAGATATCAATAAATTAAGGCAATTGTTTGAAACTGGAACTATTAAAAATAAATGTGACAAATTCAAAAATATAGCAATGATAAAAATTTGGATACCTTACTTACCTTTTTACAGCACACTCTGCAAAAAACATATTGAGAATTTTCATTTAACACTAGTTAGGGATATTTTTGATCCAGCCGTGGACACTTGTAGAAACTTTTGGCACTTTGGACTCGAACTTCACTTGTCAGTACCAAAATAAGGCCTGACAAAATTAAGAACTAAACGGGTAAATGACAAAATGAATAATTGCTAGACGGATGCTGTAGTACTAGCCCCGCCCACCCGCCCTCTATTTTCTGTTAGAATATATCATCTGAAAAAGTCAGTCTCAAACTAGTAAATACTAGCCCCGCCCACCCACCCTCTGTTTTCTTAGAGGGTATGTCATCAACCAAAATCAGTCTTATTTTAGCAAGTACTAGCCGTGTCCTCTATTTTCTTGAGGGTGGGTGGGCGAGGCTAGTATTTACTAAGATAAGACTAACTTTTTCAAAAGATATACCTTTTAAAAAAATAAAAAGCGGGTGGGCGGGGCTAGTACTTGTTAAGATAAGAGTGATTTTGGCAAATGACATACCCTCCAGAAAACAAAGGGCGGGTGGGCGGGGCTAGTGCTTGCTAAGATGAGACTGATTTTGGCATATGACGTACCCACTAAGAAAATAAAGTGTGGGTGGACGGGACTAGTATTTGATAACATAAGACTGATTTTGGCACTTTTAACATTTTCGACCATTTTTCATAAATTATATGTATAAATTTCTAGATTTTATTATTACTTTCCAGTCCCACTCGACAGAAGAACATAGTTCACCCCGCCCACCCACCCTGTCTTCTTTACAGTGATTGATTTTGTCCAATCTGAATGAAATGAATGATCTTATACTGAACAGAAATAAAATTAGTCGTTAGAAATAGAAGAGGAGTGGGGGATGGGGGTGCTAGTACTTGCTACGATAAGGCTGATTTTGGCAAATGATATACCTTCCAAGACAATAGAGGGGGGGTGGGCGGGGCTAGTATTTGATAAGATAAGACTGATTTTGGCAAATGACGTGCCCTCTAAGGAAATAGGGGGTATAATATACATAAATTCCTATATTCTATTATTACTTTCCAATCCCATTCGACAGAAGAAAATAGTTAGCCCCGCCCACCCACCCTGTCTTCTTTTCAGTGATTAATTTTATCCGATTTGAATGAAATGAATGATCTTATACTGGGATCAATTTCTTATACATACTTTGATCACAGACTTTTTGTTGTTCTGTCTATATAGCATTTTCTTAGAGGGTATTTCATTTGAAAAAGTTAATCTCATCTTAGTAAATACTAGCCCCGCCCACCCACCCTCTATTTTCTTAGAAGGTATTTCATTTGCCAAAATTAGCCTTAATAGCTCTGCTCGCCTGTCCTCTAATTTCTTGAACGCGGGTGGGCTGGGCTAGTATGTACTAAGATAAGACTGACTTTGGTTGATGACATATCCTCTAAGAAAACAAAGGGTGGGTGGGCGGGGCTAGTACTTGTTAAGGTAATACTTACTTTCGTGAATAACATATCCTCTAAGAAAAGAGAGGGCGGGTGGGCGGGGCTAGTACTTTTGTCCCAGTAAGCTGAGTTATCGAAAATTTCTTTTCACAGGTAACTTGAACAATAAAATTGATTCATATTTTGCACGTTTTACTTCTCGCATTTAATTGAAATCAATAAGATATCAAAAAATTAAAGCACTTGTTTAAAACTGGAACTAATAAAAATAAATGTGACAAATTCAAATATATAGCAATGATAAAAATTTGGATACCTTACTTACCTTTTTACAGCATATTATGCAAAAAAACAGATTGAGAATTTTCATTTAACACTAGTTCGGGATACTTTTGTTCCGGCTGTGGACACTTGTAGAAACTTTTGGCACTTTGGACTCGAACTTCACTTGTCAGTACCAAAATAAGGCCTGACAAAATTATGAACGAAACGGGTAAATGACAAAAGGAATAATTGCTAGACGGATTTGAAAAAGTCAGTCTCAAATTAGTAAATTATAGCCCCGCCCACCCACCCTCTATTTCTTGAGGGATAAGACTAACTTTTTCAAATGATATACCCTTTAAGAAAATAAAGGGCGGGTGGGCCGGGCTAGTACTTCTTAAGATAAGACTGATTTTGGCAAATGACATATCCTCAAGAAAATAAAGGACGGGTGGGCGGGGCTAGTGCTTGCTAAGATAAGACTGATTTTGACAAATGTAATATCGTCACAACTTAGAAAAATCAGCCGAGAACGATAATAATTACTTTAGGGTCCACTAAAATTTCTGTTAAAATCATTCAAGGTATATTGAATTAATTTATGGTATAATTTGAATTTAATAAAGACATTATTATTTAAATAAATTGCGCCCTTAACAATTATTTAATTTGACAGACTGCGTTATTTTATCAGTGTCAGGATTTTCAAGCGATTCTATGAAGTTTAACACACACAAAAGAGGAAAAAACAGAAGAAAATGGTGATGTCGCGGTCGTCATATTAAAAAATATATATTTTCTTTCTTATTTTCCCAGTCCGTTTTCTTTATTAATCGACATTATTCAGCTGTTTGTTTGCCCACCGCCACCTAATCTAATTATACGTTTGCTTTTTTGCTAAGATCAATTTTCAGCGAATCGGTTGAAAAACTCGCGTCACAAATTACCCCTCGGAAGCCCAGAAACACAATTAATTCGATCAATGTAATCTATTATTAAGACGTCTGTGGTTCGAGGGAAGCAAACTTAGTAATAATAGAAGGATTAATCCCTTAGTCTGCGTCGGATAGGCAGATATTAAATTAGTTTGTAAATTGAATGGTGAATATTACTTCCCCGAACAGCTCAAGGAATAGAAGCAAATTTCAGAAACCAAACCCGAGAACGAAATGCCACATTCAGGACACATTTCGCGTAATTGGACGTCCATATACCGTCCCGTTAGTTCTATCTGTCTCTATCCTCGAACTTCTGAAACAAAGACGGTCGAATTTCACACACTGTTGTTTTGTATAATTAGTAGGACGTCCGCATCCGTCTGTCGGTCTGTCTCTTTGCAGGTCGCGGAGTCATGCCTAGCGTCAAGTTGGCCTTGGACCACGTCAACGAGCACTCGATCCTAAGCAACTACCGCCTGCACATGTGGTGGAACGACACAATGGTAAGTATTCACGTGGAATTTTGCGACCAAGACACCGGCTGGCGCCGGATGGGGTCGGGAAGACAGTTGCGGCGGATTTTGAATTTTTAATCCGTTCTCTGCATTCCCAGCCCGGTCCAGCGCACGATCTTCAGAGCATGCGCACGATGGTACTTAAGTTTAAGTTGCTTGTAACTGTCGGTTGCGACGCTATAAAAACACACAGCAATGAATTAAATGCGATAAATGGACGATGAATTACTGTATTGTTGGAGATGAAAGGGGTTGATACGGGTGCGCGCGCAACCGGCAGCCGAATAAATGGACTTTATTTATGGAGTGTTTACGCCGGAAGTGAATCGTCAAAACCGCTCCCGATATGAATGTCTCGCAAATCGTGGAAAATTATTTATTGTGGATTTTTATTTGCTTTAATTAAATGCGAGCAATTTGCGTGTTTGCGAGGGTTGATAATTGGAATAAAGGGGAATGTTTTCGGGGGTTAAATTTACTCGGATTTTTAACGACTTGATATTTAAGGAAAGTTCAAGCTATTTATGAATGTACAAGGACGAAGTGATTAATGAGTAAAGAGGGTTGCGGTGGGGTGGGTATAAGTTTCTTATTAATAATGGAGTAGGAAGTATGGGTTCCTATGATGTGTAGGGACAACTTGGAAGTTTCTTAACAAGGCGTAGCTGGTAGGATGCTAATTTAACATTTAAGTCTCCTCTAAAAATTATTAAATAAATCTTTTGAAAAATTCGTTGTGCTAGTTTTTTCATATTTGATGTTTTCGTAGGTGTTTGCGTTTTTTATTGCCCACGAGACACAGCTTAAGTATTCTGATACACGAACATTGATGTATGGCTGTTTACGTCAGCGGATATTTCCGTTGCCACCCGATTATTCTCCATACTAATAAAGAAAATTACCCACAAAAAGTCGCATTACAGAAAATTCTAGGTTGGTACCGCGTGAACTTTAAATTTTCAACCACGGTGACGTCATACCGCATTCTGTACTTACCGCGTCTATTTTAAACCCGATCGAAACGCCAGTACCTAATAATACGTTTCGCTTGCAGCGGGCATGAAAAATGCAAACACGAGTCTACCCAATGACGAAAGTAAAAGTCATAATACAGAATAATACCCCACTATTAACACCGTATTAGTCAAACCTTCCTTGTATCTGTAACATCCCGATTTCTAAAAATATGCCGACGGACCGCAGTCCGCGACTCATAAATACCCCAGTTTAAAAATGTATCTCGACTAAAAGCCTGTTTGCCGGGCTCTGACAAATATTATGAAAAATCGATGACCGTCCCCGCGTTTATTTGTTTACAAGTGACGGCGTCACGTCGGGCAGTCTGAAATTTCCAGGATCGATTCACCCCGGCGCATCCACCAAATTTGCCATAATTGAAAAGACGGTCCCGATAAAGTGCCGCCTAATCAAATTTTCAGTGTAATGCCGCCGTGGGAGTCAAAGCCTTTTTCGACATGATGCACAGCGGCCCCCACAAGCTCATGCTCTTCGGGGCGGCGTGCACGCACGTCACCGACCCGATCGCCAAAGCGTCGAAGCACTGGCATCTCACCCAGGTATTATTATTACATTTGTACTATTATACTATTATATTACTCTGTGTCAGCTCTCCTACGCGGACACGCACCCGATGTTCACCAAGGACAGCTTTCCAAATTTTTTCCGAATAGTGCCGTCGGAAAACGCCTTCAACTCTCCAAGACTGTCGCTCCTAAAAGAATTCAACTGGACCAGGGTCAGCACAATATACCAGAACGAACCGCGCTACTCCTTGGCGCACAACAGGTAAATTTCTCTTGTGGGCGCGCACTGCCTTAAATCGCGTTTTTTCGGCCAGATTAGTGGCCGAACTGGACACTCTAGGATACCAAGTAGTCGAAACTCAAAGCTTTACCAACGAAGTGACCACGGCTTTGAGCAAGCTCAAGGAGAAGGACACGAGGATCATCCTGGGGAATTTCAACGAGAGGTGGGCGCGGATGATCTTCTGCGAAGCGTACAAGCTGGAGATGTACGGGAGGAAGTACCAGTGGGTGATCATGGGGACTTACAGCAACTACTGGTGGCGGAAAAACGAAACCGACGGGAATTGTACCCTGGACGAGATCGAACTGGCCTTGCAGCAAACTATTCTCACGGACCTACTACCTCTGTCGACTAGTGGGGAGATCACGATATCGGGAATTGTAAGTAAAGACTCAAAATTGTTAAGTGCTATTTTTCGCAAACATTGGGTACTTGTTACAAAGGCGTAACGGTTTTCGAAGAGTGTTTATGACAAAAGTATAAGCTTTCAAAGCGTTGGGCTTGGAAATATAATAAAAGAAAGAGTTCTTTGTCGAGGGGTAATTGGATCGAGTTTCGTTTAGAGCCTGCTTTCTAATCTAATCGGTCTGAAAGACATTTAAAAAGTCAATACGATATTCCCCAATGAACGCTATTCAATAACCCTAAACACGTTTTATTTTTTTCTGACAGAAAGCGTCTTTCCAGTTCGCCTTTACAACTGGTATTTCATTAATCTTTCATATGTTTACAGCTCGTGATAATCCTTTATTGCTACTTTAATTTGTCCCAGTCGTTGCTTTTTTTGTCGCCGACTTCACTAGCTTTACGTTTAGTTTGTTAGTAAATATAGTAGTAAGTTTTTATGAGACTCTGGATATATCTCGTGTCCATTTATTACACGATTCAATTAAATTATTTTTTTCTCCTTTTAGAATTTCCAAGAATTTTATAGAACTTTTTTACTCAATTACAAATCGAATTTTCTAAAATCTCGATCTGATACTGAAAAATTTCCGTCCTTTCTAATTTCTGGATAGAATTCTTCCAGAATTTTCCTAAAAACTTTCTTAGAATGTTCTATAAATTCCTCGAAAATTCCTTCTAAAACGCTCTGGATACATCCTTTTCATTCCTACTTGACGTCGAAATATATCTGTTTCTGTTCTGATTTAAATAGAATTCTTTTAGAACAACATCTTCATAATAGAAGTTTCCTTACTCACATAAGGATGGAATTTTTTAGAATCTCGATCTTATGCTGAAAATTTTCTATCCTTTTTAGTTTCCGGATAGAATTTTTCCAGGATCTTTCCAATAATTCTCGTCTTTTGGAAGTTCTAGAAATTATTCGAAAATTCCTTCTAGAACGTTCTTGATGCATATTTTTCTGTTGATTCTATTCCTATACGAAGTCGAAATATTTTTGTTTCTGTTCATAGAATTCGTCTAGAACAGCATTTGCTATTTATAATATCAAGAATTTCGGAAAAAAAATTGCCTTATCAGTATCAAGTTTTCCATAAATTTTGTTTAAAAATGGCCACTGCAGCGAAATTCTCGTATCTTAAATTGTTTGCAACAAATTCCTAGCTCTGAGAATGTTTGTGAACAAACGATCTTTCAATTTTTCGCTTTTGAAAATTTTTGATTTTCCGATTTTTAAATTTTTGATTTGTCGATCTTTTCAGGTTTCAATTCTTCAATTTTTCGATGTTTTGATTTCCAGATTTCTCTTTTATCGATTTTCTAATTTTTCAGTTTTGGGATTTTTTAGTAACCCGATCTTTCAATTTTTGAGCTTTTTGACTTTTTAAATTTTTCGTTTTTTTTATAAATTCACATTTTTCAAATTCTTGATTTTTGTTTTGATTTTTGAGTTTTTCGATTTTACGATTTTTTGTTGTGATTGACGTTGCGATTTCTCCATTTGTAACACTCCAATTTTTCGATTTTCTTGGATTATCGATTTCTCGACATCTCTGTTTTCCGGTTTTTTAAAGTTTTTTGATTTTCCGATTTTTCAAGTTTTCGATTCCTCAATTTTTCAACATTTCAATCCTGAGAATACATGTTTCAATTTTTCCATATTTTAATTTTTCTTATTTTTGATTTCGATTTCTCGGTTTTCCTTTTCAACTTTTCATTTTATGAAAAAATCGATAAGATTGAAAAAAATCTAAAATTTAATAAGTCAAAAATATGAAAAATCGAAAAATTGAATAAAAAGATTCTGAAAATTCTATATATTCCAGAGATTTTAGAAATACTAACGAATTCTAAAATAAAGATTTTAGAAATTAGATTCTAGGGATTCTAAAGCGTCTTGAGATTCTAGCGTTTTTAGAGATTATGAAGATTTTAAAGATTTCGAAGTTTTCAAAGATTCAAAGATTTCTGAAATTTCCAGAATCTAGAGAATCCAGAAGTTCTAAAGTATCTAAATATTTCGAAGACTGAAGATTCGAAAAGTTCTGAAGATTATAAAGTCTCAAGATTTCAGAAGTTTCAAAAATCCCGAAGATACCGAATATTCAGAGAGTGGCGATTCCAGAAACTCTAAAGATTCTGATTTCAAAAGATTCCAAAAATTTCCGAAATTTCCGTAATCCTAAAGATTTCAGAAATTCCAAATACTCTTGAAAATTCTAAAACTTTGGAAGACTTTAAAGATTCTCAAGATTCTGAAGAAAAAATTCGGTATATTCCGATACTCTTTAGCTTCCAGAGATCTGAATATTTCGCAAATTGAAGATTATACAAATTATAAAAATTCCAAAGATTTCACAAAGGTTTCAGAAATTCCAAAGATTCCGGAAATTATAGAATTTAGAGATTGCAGAATCTTTAAATGTTTTGAGGATTCTGGAAATTTGATACATTCGTCAGATTTTAGATTCTAAATAATCTAGAGATTGTAAAGATTTTAGAAACTTTACAGCGCCTTGAGACTAGCGATTCTAGACATTCTAAAGATTTTAAAGATTTCGAAAGTTTCAAAGATTCAAAGATATCGGATAGTCCCAAAATCTAGAGAATCCAGAAATTCTAAAGAATCTGGATATTTCCAAGACTGAAGATTCGAAAAGTTCTGAAGATTTCAAATTTTCCAAAGATTGCAAGAATTCCAAAGGGTTAATAGATTCTACAAATTCCAAAAATTCCAAATATTCAGAGACTCTTTAGCTTCCAGAGATCTGAATACTTGGCAAATTGAAGGTTATAAAAATTCTAAAAATTTCAAAGACTTCACAAAGGTTCCGGAAATTCTAGAATCTAGAAATTTCAGAATCTCTAAATATTCTGAGGATTCTGAAAAATTTAAACATTCTTCAGATTTTAGATTCTAACGAATGTAGATTCTAAATAATCTAGAGATTCTAGAAACTCTACAACGCCTTGAGTTTCTAGCGATTCTAGAGATTCTGAAGACTTTAAAAATTTCGAAGGTTTTAAAGATTCAAAGACATCGGATGTTCCCAAAATCTAGAGAATTCAGGGGTTCTAAAGAATCTGAATATTTCTAAGACTGAAGATTCGAAAAGTTCTGAAGATTATAAAGTCCAAAGGTTTCAGAAGTTTCAAAAATCCCAAAGATACCGAATATTCAGAGAGTGGAAATTCTAGAAACTCTAAGAACTCTGAATACTTTGAAAATTTCGAAGACTAAATATTCCAAAAATTCAGAAGACTAAAAACTTCGGAGATTCTGAAGATGATAAAGATTCCTAAGATTTCAAAAGATTCCAAAAATTTCAGAAATTTCCGCAATCCTAAAGATTTCACAGATTCCAAATACTTATATGAAGATTCCGAATATTTCGTAGGTTGAAGATTCCAAAACTTTGGAAACCAGATTTTACAAATTCCAAAGATTCCTTATATTTCGAGATTCTCTAGGTTCCGGAGATCTGAATACTTCGAAAATTGGAGATTATAAAAATTCTGAAAATTATAAAAGTTCCAAATATTTCACAAAGGTTCCAAAGATTCCGGAAATTCCGAGAATACTAGAGATTCCAGAATCTCTAAATATTCTGAGGATTCTGAAAATTTTGTACATTCTTCAGATTTTAGAGATTCTAACGAATGTAGATTCCAAATAATCTAGAGATTCTAGAAACTACAGCGCCTAGAGATTCTAGCAATTCTAGAGATTTTAAAAATTTTGAAGATGATAAAGATTCCAAACATTTCAAAAGATTCCAAAAATTTCAGAAATTTTCGTAATCCTAAAGATTCCAAATATTTCTATGAAGATTCCAAAATATTTCGACGGTTGAATATTCCAAAATTTTGGAAACCAGATTCTACAAATTCCAAAGATTTCGTATATTCCCAGACTCTCTAGGTTCCAGAGATCTGAATATTTCGCAAATTGAAGATTAGATAAATTCTGAAAATTATAAAAATTCCAAAGATTCACAAAGGTTCCAGAGGTTCCAAAGATTCCGGAAATTCTAGAATCTAGAGATTTCAGAATCTCTAAATATTCTGAGGATTCTGAAAATTTTATACATTCTTCAGATTTTAGATTCTAACAAATGTAGATTCTAAATAATCTAGAGATTCTAGAAACTCTACAGGGCCTTGAGATTCCAGCGATTTTAGACATTCTGAAAACTTTAAAGATTTCGAAGCTTTCAAAGATTCAAAGATATCGGATAATCCCAAAATCTAGAGAATCCAGAGGTTCTAAAGAATCTGAATATTTCAGTGACTGAAGATTCGAAAAATTCTGAAGATTATAAAGTCCAAAGGTTTGAGAAGTTTCAAAAATCCCAAAGATACCAAATATTCAGAGAGTGCTGATTCTAGAAAAATCAAAGGATTCTGACCACTTTGGAGATTCTGAAGATTATAAAGAATCCACAGATTTCGAAAGATTCCAACAATTTCCGAAATTTCCGTAATCCTAAAGATTTCAGAAATTCCAAATACTCTTATGAAGATTCCGAATATTTCGAAGGTTGAAAATTCCAAAACTTTGGAAGACTTTAAAGATTCTCAAGATTCTGAAGATTCTAAATTTTCCAAAGATTGCAGGAATTCCAAAGGGTTAACAGATTCTATAAATTCCAATGATTCCGTATATTCCGAGACTCTAGCTTCCAGAGATGTGAATATTTCGCAAATTGAAAATTATAATAATTCTAAAAATTATAAAATGTCTAAAAAATTATAAAAATTCTAAAGATTTCACAAATTTTCCAAAGATTCCGGAAATTCTAGAATCTGGAGATTTCAGAATCTATAGTACTATGAGGATTCTGAAAATTTTATACATTCTTCAGATTTTAGATTCTAACGAATGTAGATTCTAAAAAATCTAGAGATTCTAGCGATTCTAGAAACTCTACAGCGCCTTGAGATTCTAACGATTCTAGAGACTCTGAAGACTTTAAAGATTTCGAAGGTTTCAAAGATTCAAAATATCGGATATTCCCAAAATCTAGAGAATCCAGAGGTTCTAAAGAATCTGAATATTTCGATGACTGAAGATTCGAAAAATTCTGACGATTATAAAGCTCAAAGGTTTCAGAAATTTCAAAAATCCCGAAGATACCGAATACTCAGAGAGTGGAAATTTCAGAAACTCTATGAACTCTGACGACTTTGAAAATTTCGAAGACTAAATACATATTCTAAAAATTCAGAAGACTTTGAAAACTTCGGAGATTCTGAAAATGATAAAGATTCCAAAGATTTCAAAAGATTCCAAATACTTATATGAAGATTCCGAATATTTCGAAGGTTGAAGATTCCAAAACTTTGGAGACCAGATTCTACAAATTCCAAAGATTCCGGAAATTCCAAGAATCTAGAGAATCCTGAATCTCTAAATATTCTGAGGATTCTGAAAATTTTATACATTCTTCAGATTTTAGAGATTCTAACGAATGTAGATTCTAAATAATCTAGATTCTACATTCTAGAAACCACAGCGCATTGAGATTCTAGCGATTCTAGAGATTTTAAAGATTTTACAGATTCTGAAGGTTCTAAATATTTAGAAAAAAGAAGATTCGAAAAATCCTGAAGATTTTGAAGATTGCCAAGACTCTAAAGATAAGAAATATTCCAAAGGTTTTAAAAATGAGAGATGCTGAAAATTCTGAATATTTCGGAGATCTTCCAAAAATTCTGAGAATTATAAAGATTTCAAATATTCCAAAGGTTACAAAAGCCAATAAATTCCGCAAATCCGTACACTTTAAAGATTTCAGAGATTCTAAATAATTCGAAGATTCCAAAAATTATGAAAACGGAACATTTAAAAAATTCTAAATTCCTAAGAGTGGGTATATTCCGAGACTAGCGATCGAGATATCTTCACTTCTTCAAATGTTCTAGAATGTCTTTCTCTTATTGTTAATTCATTTTTTAACCCCCAATTTCTTTTGTAGACAGCAGATGAATACAAGCTAGAATACGACTCTCGCCGCGGCCCCGAATACTCCCGATTCCACGGCTACACCTACGACGGCATCTGGGCCGTAGCCCTCGCCATCAAGAACGTAGCCCATAAAATCCGAGTAATCAAACGAAACATGACAGTTAGCGACTTCCGCTACCACGATCCCATCTGGGAGCGACTTTTCCTAGAAGCCCTTCGCAACACCAGTTTCGAGGGCGTCACCGGACCCGTCAGATTCTACGACAACGAACGCAAAGCCAGCATCCTCCTCAAACAATTCCAAGACGGCATCGAAGTGAAAGTGGGTGAATACAGTGCAGCCACCCAGCACCTAGACCTCACCCTCGGAGCGCCCTTGAAGTGGATCGGAAAGTAATCCCGACCGCATTTTCGTCATTGTTGTGCGAATAATCTAAGACCATTTCAGGCATCCCCCCAAAGACAGGACGTTGCTGATAATCGAACACACCAGAGTGAACAAGACGGTGTACGCCATCTTGGCCACGTTAGCGGTGTGTGGGATCATAATGGCGACGGTCTTTCTAGCCTTCAACATCAAGTATCGCAATCAACGCTACATCAAGATGTCGAGCCCTCAACTCAATAATTTGATCATCATTGGGTGTATCTTGACGTACACGAGTATTATTTTTTTGGGATTGGATTCAGGTCTGTCGAGTATCGATGCGTTTCCGTATATTTGTACGGCGAGGGTTTGGACTTTGATGGCGGGCTTTTCACTGGCTTTTGGTGCTATGTTTAGTAAAACCTGGAGGGTGCACTCTATTTTCACCGACGTCAAACTCAACAAGAAGATCATCAAGGATTATAAGCTTTTCATGGTGGTGGGGGTGTTGTTGTTCATCGATTTGGTGATTATGACGACGTGGCAAGTCGCTGATCCGTTCTACCGGGAGACTAAGCAGCTAGAGTCCTATGTAAGTTATCAAAGTAAACAAAATATGGGTGGCGATAAATATCGCGTTTTCGGTAGCCTCACCCCTCGAGTGAAGACATCTTCATCATTCCCGAGAACGAATACTGCGCCTCGGAACGCATGACCATTTTCGTGGGCCTCATCTACGTGTACAAAGGTATCCTCATGGTAAGTCACGCCTTTGTTCTTGATCTAGGTTTCGGTCTTTGAGGATGATTTATAGATCTTCGGCGCTTTTCTCGCTTGGGAGACCCGACACGTGTCCATCCCGGCCCTCAACGACAGTCGCCACGTGGGCCTCTCCGTCTACAACGTGGCCATCATGTGCATCTGCGGCGCCGCCGTGGCCCTCGTCCTCGTCGACCACCAGGACGCCCTCTTCTTGATAATCGGCGTGTTCGTGATGTTCTGCACCACTGCCACCCTATGGTTAGTCTTCGTTCCGAAGATGCTCGAGCTGCGCCGAAACCCCGGCGGCTCCATCGACAAGAGGATAAGGGCCACGTTGCGCCCCATGTCCAAGACCCGGCGGGACTCCAGCGTGTCCGAGCTGGAAACCAAGCTCAAGGACGTCAAGGCGCTCAACTCCAAGTACCGGAAGACCCTCCTGGACAAGGAGTCCGAGTTACAGGTGATTGTTTCCGGCTCGTGTGCGGCCATCTCAACTGGCTTTTTATGGTTAGATGTTAATCAGGAGGTTGGGCAGCGAGGCGAGAGAGATCCTGGACTCGAGGACGGACTCAATGAGCGACACGAACCGGCTGTCGGTGCCGCTGCTGAGGAAGGAACCGCCGAGTGCGACGGAGACGAGCGACATTACGTCATTGTGTAGCTTGAGCTCACAAGATTTCACGTCACTGCATCATGCAGACAGCCAGAAGTGAGTATATCGTAAAAAAAAAAAACTGCTCGGGCGCCAGTTTTCTAACAAGATTTGACTTCTTTGTGTCTCAGGAAAAAGAAGAGCCCCGTGACCGAGTCCCCCAAGCCCGACAAGCTGGAATCGAACGCACAACCCCCGCCCCCGAAGCCCGCACAAACCGACCCGCCCAAGCCCACCCAGAACGGAGACGTCTCCTCCGAGAAGCCCGTGGATAGCAACTACAACACCGTCAAGGAGCCCCCAGAGCCCGAACCGCGCAAGTCCCCCGAGCTCAAGAAGCCCGTCGTCAACAAGACGCCCACCCACGAGCGGCGGGCGTCGCGCGTCGTGGAGCCGGACGCCGCCCCCGAGAAGCGCCGCATGAGCATGAAGACGGAGGTGTCCGAGCACGACGAGGTCTGCCACCGGCGGGTCTCGGTGCCCAGCAACCGCACCACCCCCAAGAAGAAGCCCGAGTGCGGGACCCACGTCGTGGCGAAGAGCGAGCTGTGGGACACCGGTAGCCAGCACAGGTGCATGAAGGGGCACCAGAAGGCGAGTCGGGTCAGCATCTCGCAGGAGGAGGAGGACGCGCACATGCACAGGTCGGTTTCGGAGCGGAATAGGCACTCGCAGAAGCGCGAGAAGTCGCCGGTGGCCAAGAAGGACGTGAACATTTGCAACCAGCAGTGCAACAAGCTGGGGTACTTTCAGTCGACGCCGAACGTGGCGGCGCTGAAGACTTCCACGTGTCCACCGAAGAGGGATAAGAGCATGTACAACGCGACTTCGGAGAGTGAGTTGTTGGACAGGGAGATTTTGCCTATTTTCCAGAAACTGTTAACTGAGAGGAATAAGAGTCAGCACAACATCGATTACTCCTTTGGTAGGTCATGCCCAAACATTTCGATTAAGTGCGACATCGTAGAGTATTTGTAAGAGTGGCACTGTGTTTCAGCCTAATGACCCGCTTTTTATACTAGGTGTTTGTTTTTTTTCCCTTTCAGTTTCGAAACAAACACTTGGTGTATGAGAGACTAAACGACGATCTCCTCATGGTTGTGTTAATATTAGTGCTATATGTTGTATAATTCTAAATTTTAGACTATTAATGTTAACTATAACAATAAATTTAAACACTACAAACTAGTTTTATTCACAAGAAAATAACCCCGACTTTATAGCGGATTCATAAATCACAGCTATAGAAGAATGTTATTTCATAAAAAAAAATTCTTAATAAAAACACTTTTTTTTTTCAATCAATTCTTATTTGTATCGCCCCCTTTTTATTTCTATTTAGTTTAATTAAAACCAATAAATTAACCACTACATACAACTTTTATTTACAACGAAACTAACATTATTTTTTTGGAGGAATCCAGGCCTCAATTTTTGGCGTAGTTGTTGAGTAGGGCATGTACTGACCTGGAGTCCCCGACGGGTTTTCTACATGATCCAACATCCACTTGTACTTTGGCCTAAAAGGCTCTTGATCTGGGGGTAGATCAGTTTTATAATGCAACCAACCATACCATTCTGCTGGAACTTGACTACCATCATAGTCTAAGTCTATAAATCACAATAAATTAAACCTGTGAACACAAAATATACACGATCGGACTTACAATATTGGGGCGCATACTCCACCCAGCGGTTACGCCCATAGAAAAATCGTTTATTTTGATAGTACTTATTACCGTATTTATCTGTTCCGACTAACGTACCCAGTTTAAGTTCATCCATTCTAAAATGATCAAAGAAAATAATAAACACAAAGTGAGGTTATGTTACATAACCACCACTACCTGTATAATTTATACAGAGAAGCCCTGAGACCTCCATTCTCTTTAATGATGTTTAAAACAGAAAAAACTTTATCGATCCCGAGGTACCTGGCCATTTGTGCCCCCTTTTCTTACTTAGGTTGCACAAACGTCAACAATGTCAACAAGTTTTGACCAATACCAACATAAGTACTTTCACCCTTAAAATCACAAAATATTACAAATAAAAAGTCATTTTTTAGTTTACGTAAACCAGAGAAACGTAGTTCTACTTTTCCTCTAAATATCTATCTACAAAAAAGCGAACAAATTTGTGCAGCGATTTTTCATTCTGGAGACTTTCGTTGCTCAGTCGTTACGGTTGGCAGCCAGGCTAGTTCGAAAAGTTTGTTTTGATCGTCATAATTTGCCAAGAAAACCCGTTGCGAAGGCGTTTTCCGACGTTTCCACCTCGAAGAAACACACATCATCAGGTACTGTACCTCCCACTTACGTGCATGCTTAATTTACCCCTTTTGACACACTTTTTTTGTCCACCACAAAAGTGAGGTTATGAACACCTCGAAGAAGCGATCACACTTTATTCTCACAATTGAGTAAATACATTCTCCATAAATAATATAAAAATTTCAATTTCGCCTATACTATAGTGTTAAAAATTGTTTCGTTAACAATCATGTTACAAAATTCGAAATCGAATCCTTTCCAGGACCGGACTGGGCCCCATCGATTTCCGAGCCCAGTTTTATCCCAGTTCTGCCAAAACCGAATCTAGATCCTCCTGCAAACCAGCTGTCAACTCCTTCTGTTTATTCAAATCGTCTTGTAACCTCTCGGCGTTCGCTTTCATCATGAAGTTGCCTTTCTTCAAAGCGGCGAGAATCTTCTCGTGTCGGTTCGACCGTGCGGTTAAATTAGTTCGTTTCTTGTCTACTGGTGCATCTTCGGGTTCGCTTTGACTCCTCTCGGATTCGCTGTCGTCTTCGGTCTCGGTTTCGGATTCCTCGCTGCTGGTTTCTTCCTCTTCTTCTTCGACTTCCTCCTCGCTTTCTTCCTTTTCTTCGTCTTCTTCCTCGTCGTCGCTGACGTCTTTCATTAACGCCGCCATTTTGTCGACTTCTTTCTGCAGCGCTTTGTACTTCTTCTTTTCTTCTTTGATAGCTTGTTGGTGCTTCTTCATTATTTCCCTCAAAGCGACTCTCTCTTTCTTCGCGTTGTCTTCCTTGTTCTTGAAATTCCTCAACTTGTTTCTCAGTTGTTTGAGTTCTCGCTGTATTCTTCGTTCTTTCTTTTCTTCTGTATCTTCTCCGTCGCTCTCTTCGCTCATTTCGTCTTCGGCGAATTCCTCTCCGCTTTCTTCTCCATTCACCATGTCTTTACTAATAGACGTTCGTTTTCCTTGTGCCGCCTCTTGGAATTTCTTCTCTAACATCTGGTTTTGCTTCTTCAATTCTTCTAACTGGAATTTCGTGCTGTCGAGCTGTTCGGTCGCTTCCGTGTATTTCTTTTCGACTTCCTCGGACGATTTTCGCGCTTCTTCTGCTTCTTTCTTCAGTGATTGGATGAGTTTGTCATCTGCTGTTGTCGCGTCTCCCGTTGTCCTTTCTTTGTTGCGTTCTTTCTCTAGTTCTGCTTCTAGGTTGAGTATTCTGGCCATCAGGCGTTTGTTTTCGCGAATTTGGGCTTCTTTGTTTCGTAATTCAAGGGCTAACATTTGTTTCGTGCTCTGTAAATCGTCGCGGACTTTATCGATGTCGTCCATTTCGTCCGCTTCGTCTTCAATTTCTTCCTGAGATTTATCACAGATCTTAGACAAAAAAGAAAATGTGGGAGTACGAATTTATAAAATACTTACAGGTGGCATGCTAGCCATAGAAACTGACTTCTGGATCTGTTCTTCGATCGTCATCTGCCTTCTGAATTTCCTCAAACCTTCGAGCATCGGTTTGCTTCTGTCGTTCGTCTTGACTCTCTTCAAAGTGATGCCGCTACAAATCTACAATAAACATGGAATTATTTTTGTTCGGATTAAAACTATCGACTTACTTGTTTAAGGAGTTCATTGTGAACGTTGGCTTTCTCACTTTCGAAAACGAAGTGTTCAGTGGCTTTGGTTTGGGGTAGAAGAGGTTCCGACCTATCGTTGCATTCCACGTGTTTTAGTTTTTTGTTACCTTCTATTTCTTTCAACATGGCCGTCCAATCGGGGCGGTGTTTGGGTCGTGCTCTAGTTAAAAATGATAATTTAATTGTAATAATTGTACACACTCGAAAATGTTTTGATTTAGAGTTGGCCTAGTAAATTGTAATCGGGCAATACTATATGTATTTGTGAAAAAACTTACTTGAGTTGTTCGATTCGCTCTCTTTGTTGTGCAGTTAAAGGCTTCAGGAACTCGGCTCCGGGCGCTCCGGGCATTGCTGGCGCTGGGGGCGGCATGGGAGGCGGTGCTGGTGCTTGTTGCGACAGTGATAGTTTTCTCATGCTCTCATTGCGGACCAAAGCGTTCCGCATAACGGGAGTGGCCTTTGGGCAAAACCGAAATAGATTATCACGTAATGATTCTGTGTCAGAGCATCGTGTGTTTAATTAGTTCGATTAAAACTGAGAGCGACGATTGGTTTCTTCAGTTCTTAATTTTTCTGGTTTTGTTACCTACCTTATCAATTTCTACATCGTCGGATAGCAACCTCTGAATCGGCGGCGGCTTCTTCGCCTCATTCTTCTGCCGCTCCGCCACGCTGTTCAGCTTAACAGTGGGCAGCGTCTCCTTCGGCGGCTTGGTCTCCTCCTTGGGCGGCACCGGCCGCAGCTGCGGCCTCTTGAACGTGTTGTCCTTCCCATTCTCCTGGGGCTCCTTCGTCGTCACCGACGTCTTCCTCAGCTGCACGCCCGCCAGCGGGTTCTCCGAGGGCGAGTCCTTGCTGCTGTCCCTGCGCGCGTTCTTCAGGGTCCACGGGGCCGTGGGCACCGGGAGGGGACTAGGCCCCTCCTTGACCCACGGCGGGCGGAACGTCGTCCGCTGGGCGGGGTTTGAGGCGCCGGCTTCGTCTTTGCCAGCAGGCATGGCTTTGGTGAATACCCTGCAAGAGGCGCGGTTAAGGGCGGTGCTTGGTTCGGTTTTCGGGGGCGGGGTTAGCGGGTTTGGTGAACTGCAAGCTAATTAATTGGTGTGTGCAGTTCGTGTTTTTTAGTAGTTGGCACGGGGTATGAGTCAGTGACTTGATATTGTTTGCTGCTAAAATAATGTAACCGAAATCACCTTGTGGAAGGGTTACGTGCCAAGGCTTTATAAATATATTGAAAGTGCTTTTTAAAGGATTCTTGTTTATTGCGTTCCGTAAAAATAGTGCGGTGGTGAATAAACTTGGTGTTGATTTAGAATGTGCGTATGTGAAGAGGAAAATGAGGTGGAGACGAAACGGGTTATTTTGAAGCGGGGACAATACAGACTCTGTATTTTATGATAAAAAAAAGTAGAATGTTAGTAAAGTGTCTTTTTTTATTCGAAAATTATTAATGAACGAAAATAATGTGCTGTGATTTTAAAATCCAGAGAACTAGAGATAAAAATCATGATGTGGAAACGTGTTTTGTCACATTTTAGTATATTTGCGAATTACGTTACAAAAAACGAGATTTTAGCAAATTTCACTGTGATAATTAGTTACAGAAATAGTTACAACTTTTCTTGGGTTGTAAATAAAAAAAAATCTAATTAAGATTGTGATTCAGACTATATTGTACAATTTTATTGCAATTAACACAAAAACATTGTTAGTGAAAAACAATGTACATATTTGACTTGAATTTCTCATTTATCTTATGTACTTAATTGGAAAAAACAATTAAACTGTGTAGGCAAGTTCATTTTTTCATATTTTTGACATTACATACATCTATTCATCATTTTTTTTTATAGCTTTGAAGAGTCTTTTGGATTTTTTTTTGGCAAGTTTTCCAAGAGCTTATTTTTTTTTAAATCCCCCTTATGAAATTCTTGACCTCTTTCTCAGCATCTTTTTCGAAAACCAGTCATCGTATCGACTTTGAATCATTTTCCCCGATAGAGGTATAACTCCTGTGCAAACATGATTTTTTTTTTTAATTTTTTTGCACCCAGTTTTTCAAAAACCCGCCTCATGAACTTTTTTGGCATTTTTCTGAGCACCTTTGAATATTGTCAAACGATTTTTTTTGTTCTTGTTTGGATTTAAACTCCAAAAACATTTTTACTGGTTTAATTTTTCAAAAATTCGTGCCATTTGTCGAGAATTGCCAAAATAAAATTATGGCAATTTGTTGAGATATTTTAAAAATTCGACTTTGAACTCAAAATTTTTCGAAAACCAGTCATTGTATCGACTTTGAATCATTTTCCCTGATAGAGGTATAACTCCTGTGCAAACGTGATTTTTTTCAATTTTTTTTCCACCCAGTTTTTCAAAAACCTCATGAACTTTTTGGCCTCTTTCTGAGCACCTTTGAATATTGTCAAACGATTTTGTTTTGTTCTTGTTTGGATTTAGACTCCAAAAACATTTTTACGGCTTTAATTTTTCAAAAATTCGTGCCATTTGTCGAGAATCGCCAAAATAAAATTATGGCAATTTTTTAAGATATTTTAAAAATTTGACTTTGAACTAAAAATTTTTCGAAAACCAGTCATCGTATCGACTTTGAATCATTTTCCCTGATAGAGATATAATTTCTGTGCAAACATGATTTTTTTCAAATTTTTTTCGACCCAGTTTTTCAAAAACCCGCCTCATGAACTTTTTTTGCATTTTTCTGAGCACCTTTGAATATTGTCAAACGATTTCGTTTTGTTCTTGTTTGGATTTAGACTCCAAAAACATTTTTACGGCTTTAATTTTTCAAAAATTCGTGCCATTTGTCGAGAATCGCCAAAATAAAATTATGGCAATTTTTTAAGATATTTTAAAAATTTGACTTTGAACTCAAAATTTTTCGAAAACTAGTCATCGTATCGACTTTGAATCATTTTCCCTGATAGAGATATAATTTCTGTGCAAACATGATTTTTTTCAAATTTTTTTCGACCCAGTTTTTCAAAAACCCGCCTCATGAACTTTTTTTGCATTTTTCTGAGCACCTTTGAATATTGTCAAACGATTTTGTTTTGTTCTTGTTTGGATTTAGGCTCCCAAAAACATTTTTACGGGTTTAATTTTTCAAAAATTCGTGCCATTTGTCGAGAATCGCCAAAATAAAATTCTGGCAATTTTTTGGGATATTTTAAAAATTTGACTTTGAACCCAAAATTTTTCGAAAATCAGTCATCGTATCGACTTTGAATCATTTTCCCTGATAGTCATATCACTCCTGTGCAAACGGGATTTTTTTCAAAATTTTTCTCCACCCAGTTTTTCAAAAACGCACCTCATGAACCTTTTGGCCTCTCTCTGAGCACGTTTGAATATTGTCCAACGATTTTTTTGTTCGTCTTGATTTATACCCCCAGAAGGCTTAAATTTGGTGGCTTTTGAGGAATTCTAAAAACCTAAATGTGAATCCCAATATTTTAAAAACCAATCGCCATATCGACTTTGATTTTTTTTGTGGATACGTCATTCGCTAAAGAAAATGATTCGTGCCCTCCGGAAATTTCGATGTTTCTGTACAGTTTTGGTCCGTTCTTAATTTTTCAAAAATTCGGAAATTATGAAATGTGTGACCTCTTTCTGAGCACTTTCGAATATTAATTACCAACAGATTTTTTTTGTTGATTTCGACTTTCAAACGTTTTTTACGGCTTCAATTTTCCAAAAATTCGTAACCTTTGTCAAGAATCGCCAAAATGAATTTTGGAAATTTTTGAGAGATTTTAAAAATGACACTTTGAAACTGAATATTTCTAGAACCGGCCACCGTATCGAATTTGGATTGTTTTCCCTGATACACACCTGTCATTCTTCTCTTTTTTTTAATTTTTGCTACCCTAAGTATAATCGACCTTGCCAATATACAGGGTGGTAAATTTTTCATGCGCTACTTTTGTACAAAAAATGGTGTTTTTACTTCTCGAACGTATTGTAATGGGGTCCATACGGGGAATGGCTGCTTTCATGTTTTTTCGATGTCTATGTGAATTTTTATTAGACAGATAATCTATTTCTTTTAATTATTGGTGTTTTTCATAAAAATAGAAAAGAATATCTGATTCCCTGTTTTTGCCGTTTCATAGCTGGTTTTTCGTCTCTGTTTATTACAAAATATAGTTCACTCTATATCGGAGATAAGGTTATAAAATTCTTAAAAACTAAGTAGGCTTTTATCATTGATTCATAGATTGCATGACATTGGGATTTTCTTTGTTTAGTTGCGCCAGAAAATTATCAGAAAATTTTATTAAAAAAATATTTATTGAAGGATACGTCGAGATTTTTTGGAATTTCTACAGGTGTCTGGAAAGTGATGAATGAAACGATTTCTTTTATCTTTTGTAATTTAATCCACTCATACATTTAATTTCGCAGTAAAATTGTTGCGTTACAATTTCATCTGAACGACCATTACTTCAAACGTACCACCTATACAAAAAAAGCGAATAGACGTTGCAAATTATGAAATATAATAAGTTGTATTCGTCCTATTAATCCACCTTTTGTGTTTTTAAATAGAACACGCCATTTTCCAATTTTCTCCGAAACGATATAATTTATTGTATTGCACGTATTGTATACATAATGGATGGAAATTTATGTTCCACCTTTTATTGTGAATACCAATCTAGAATAAAAATGTGCGATCTAATTTAAGACAGTGGAAGAAGTGGCAACAAACAATAGTCGGATGAAGTAAAACCTGCAATATGCCGATGTGTTAAAAATAGACGTTAAGATTAAATAAACAAAATATGAGACGTCAAGTAATAAAAGGCGGCTTGAATCAGTATCGAATTATAACTATCTTTAAGACGATAGGAATAATAAATAAGAAGAAACTAGAAGGTTAATAAATAGAGAATATACAAGAAGCAACAGTTACAAATTTGAGTACGGTCCTGTCCCAATATTCATAAATACATAAACTATTTTTTGCCGAATGTAGAACAAAACTTATAATAATAAATTTGTTAATTTGTCATTTTGGCATGGAATAACCCAGTCGTAAAATATTGCAGTTGTTTGTAACAAAAATAAATTTTCCTTTGCTAATCGTGTTTGTGGAATTAATACCCTAGAGTGTTAAATAAATAATAAATTATCACTGTTATGCAGTTGTTTCCAGTGTACTTATTCCAAATTCGAAAAAAAAGTTGTGTTTATTATTGCGACCACCGCTAGACCCGTGGGAACCCAGACTTTTGATTAATTGTTTCATCAAGTGCAGCAATAACAAACACCAAAAATACGACAGCCGCCCCCGCAAAAGCCTCGTGTGAAAAACGCTGCACTTCCCAGACCGAAACGCTCTCGACGAACGCCAAAACTCCGACGATAATGGAAACGTTTTGATTTATTTTTGTTGTTTGAAGCAACGCATGTATCTGTATTTTCTACACTTATGTATATATTCGCGATCTCTGGCCGGATGCTCGCCGCCTCCGTCGCATCATTCGTTTCGTAGATTCGCGTTTTCGTCTATTTTTATCGTGCGTCGGCCTTGCCTTTAGATTTTAATCTCACACACACTGTGTCGATCTGTGCGATCCTGATTTTGCTGCGGCAGCTTGACGAAACGTCACACTCATTATTGGCACGAGGCTGCACGCTGACCCAAATGGGGTATTATTAGAGGTGGGTGCATGTGCATTGGGTTTAGAGGTGGCCCGTTTACGTCTGTCCGTCCGTCCGTCCGTCCGTCTGTCCGTATTTTAGGAGTATCGTGTGTACTAAATTCTAGAAAAAACTTTATGTGCAGTGCACAGGTTAATGTGAACGATGAACGATAAGATAAAAATTAATCCTTTTATAATTATTTTGTTGGCAACTTAGATTTTGTCATGCCATTGTTCTTGCATCTTTTCACAATAATATCAAGTCTCTGACGTTCATACCAAGATTACTGAAAACCAAATAGCTTTTGATAAACAAATAACACTAATGGTTGTTAGTCATGCGATGGTCATGCTTAGCACCAATGACTTACATGATTCCTATAGATCTCTACGTGGCACTACCTCTACAAATTCTATTCTCTTAAGCTGCGTTTTGTTAATGTCGCCACTAAGAGCCTGAAATGCTGAAAAATCTTAGCTGAAGCTATGTTTGATGTCTGAAATGTGAAAAATGTGACAAAAAAGCCAAAATTTAAGCAATCGGTCTTCTTGATACCCGAAATCCAGCTGTTAATTTGCTTCGTGTCGAGATTAAGAGGCCAATTTACCATCTGTTGCGCGATTTTATTTTCGAAATCTCTCAATGTAAACATCGTCAATGAAGAATTAATTGGCGTAGTATTTTAATGTGCTAAGAACCAAACTGTTACGTGCTTGTTTATTATGTTTTATTTTTTCGGTCGCGGTTTATTTTTCGTCGAAATAAACTAATCCATTTCCGAAAAATCATATTTCGTCTAAGAATAAAATATTTACGCAGCGGAATGGGGGTTTTTAATTTTTATAAATATTATTGCGGGTTTATTTGTATGTGTGCGAAATAATAACTCATGCCATGCGTTTTATTATTATTATTATTTTTAATTTTTGTGATTTATGGGGACATGGGTGGTCTAAAAATGAACTGACTGGAGTCAATATTTACAATCAATTTTGAAGTGCAGCAGTCTACCTTTCGTTCTGAGTATGCATAAAGTCTAAAATTAGTTCGGCTGATGCATTACCCGGAATCTGACTGCAATAATTAATTAAGCAAATTGTATATACGTGATATTTAAAAAAAACTGGCGCCCGAGTATACCTTTTAAACAGAAAATAGTGAAATATAGAAACTTCAGAATTGAGTTTTTATCAGAACTGGAATTTTGTGTAGCATCGCTGCCAATGCACGTGTATATTTTGCATGAAAGTATTCGCAAACGTGAATTATTATTGTAACCCGATTTAAAACTAGAACATTTGAATGCCTAGACCTGAACTTAACCTCAATACCATCGATGTCCGCTTAATCGCTTATCAGTCGGAAGTTAATCGCCCTGATAACATCCGTACTTGTCGAAAGTTGGGGATTTTTTCTCTATCGATTACACAAAATTTCAGGAAGACTTAAGTGACTAACCCGACTTTGTCAAGTGTACTTTTTTAACTTCCAAGAACGAAAACATCTCGAGTAAACGAACCCATTCCGCTGCCATGGAAAATTCTCCAAACACGAAAACACAGCTGAATTTCCAGCATCGTTGACCGATCTGTTCGATATCTTGTGCAACTGTTCGAACAATCAGAACGCCGCTAACGAAAGAAAACAGAAATCATCTGTTATCATCAATTATGAAGAAATCGAAGTCGAATCCAGGCTAAAAAAACAATCATATAAAAATCATCGAAAATTGTTTTCCTTCTGGATCTATTTTTGCGCGTCGTAAATTATGCGTCCAAAAATAATCCCGATCGGGCGATGATAAAAAATTTCATTGTAAATAAATCGCATTGTACGGGAGAAAACCGCCCGAGAGGAGCGCGGGGGGCAATTTTCGTGTCTCGGGGGTGCCTCATCTTACATAACTTACCTTCGCTAACCCAAAACCGCAAGAACTGACTTCTCGACGAAGAAAATTCGAAAACACCCACTGCAAACACAGCCACCGGAAAATGCAAAACGCAAAATCGCCACTCGACACAGCACTGCAAAAAAATTTTTCGCTCGGTTTTTTGCGCAAATTGTGCGTCTACTTTTCGCCGATTTCGGTTGTTTTTCAGTGCAACACGCACACGTTTTCAGTGTGGCATTCGCGTTCGAAATAGCTGGTGGTTATTTTGGGCGTCGTGACGTTTCCCGACGCCCAACCGATTCGAAATATTTCGTGGATTTTGTAATAAAAAGGGGAATATGGACACGAAGTGGACGTCGTGCGGGGTCGGCTCGGTGACGTTTGCTGACCGGAATGGCAATTCGAGAATGTTCGTCGCGAGGGCGAGGGACACCCTGTATATGCGTGACGACAATGCGGCGATTTTAATTGGATGAATAAGACGCTTGGGTCTAAATTTGTGGGATTATTTATTATGTTAGGACGAATTTTGGCAGACGCTCGTGAGGTCTGGGTTTTCATTGTTCTGTTCGCATTATTAATTCTATTCATGGTGTAGAGAGAAGTTTTGTTGTGATGTTTTTTTTGTGATTTTTTTTACTGTTGTATCCATTCGTTTTAGTTTTGAAGCATCTCTTTTTTTGTCAAAAAAAGAGTCTCTATATTTTGAAATTTATTATCTGTATATGTATTCAGACATTTGAGTCCAGGGGTGCAATTTTGTTTCTCGATCGAAAAAAACTCGATAACGATAAAATCTCGTTTGTTGATTGGTTGAGACGCTGAGTTGGTGAGACATTTCTGTCACATTTCTCGATTCTGTCACGAAATCAAGTCTTCATGGAGTGATATTTTCTCGATAGCTCTGAATGAAGTGATAAATTTTGGAGACATAACCTCGAAATGTATGGCAAAATAGAAGTTCAAAATCGTAATTCTGAGTTATAAGTTCTTAAAATTAGGGTAATTGTAAAGTTTTGAGCATTTAATAAGCCTATATGTAAAGAATAAATGCAAACTTTGCATTTAAAAGCTACGCAATGACATTTATCGCAAGTGATAATTTATCACTTCGATCAAGAAACAAAATCCCACCCCAGGGGTGGGATTTTGTTTCTAGCAATACGATACGAAGCGATAAATGACAAGGACGAAAATATAAATTTCACATGCGAAAGAAAAAGACGACCACATTTTATCGGTACCGATATTTTATCGTTGTAGAAACAAAATTCCACCCCAGGGGTGGGATTTGGTTTCTAACGATACGATACGATGCGATAACGAAGCGATAAATGACGAAGGACGAAAATATAAATTTCAGATGCGAAAGAGAAAGAGGACCACATTTTATCGGTACCGATATTTTATCGTTATAGAAACAAAATCTCACCCCTGGTCACATGTCCATTTTTTTTTGTTCTTTATACAACTCAGGGTGAGTCAGATCAGGTCACATTTATTATATTAATTATGTTGATTAATTATTGATTTTGAAATTGCCGCACACCTACAATAAGACACCAACAAAGACTTAATAGATTTATTGACATTATTTTTCATTTAATTTTCCATCGATACAATTTATAATACTTCCCCCCTACTTCTACAACCTACGCCTCCTGTAAATCTATAGTAACTTCCTCTTTGTACTCAGTGGTCAAACTCAATCCACCTCTTCAAAACACCGCCCACCACCACCATCGCCCCGATCAGGATTTGCCTTTGAAAAAAAAAAGCTTGTTATCGTCCACCCCGCTGCTCCCTTTCTCCTCCTCCTTGGGGCGGTACCTGGGCATGGGGTGGAAGTGCGGCCACGTCGTCACCTCCTGGAATAACCTATCCCCGGGACACTCCGTGTCCCTGACCTGTCTGTGCCCTAGTAGCTTGTAGTCTTCCTGAATCATCCCCATCTCCACCCCGCACGCGATTAATTTATGCACCGCCTCTAGTTGTTGCGGGGGCGGCAGCTCCGCCTGCCAGTCGCCGATTACGCAAATCCCGATGCTGATGTTGTTGTACCTGGGGGCGTGGGCGCCCACCGCCGACCACCCCCGACCTTCGTAGGCGTTGCCGTCGCCGCCCACCGCGAAGTGGTAGCCGATGTCGTTCCAGCCGTTGGTGATCTGGTGCATGTCCTGCATGCGCTGCATGGCGGCGACGCACTCGGGGGTGGAGCTGCAGGCGGGGGGGATGTAGCTGTGGTGGATGATGACGTAAGGGACGGGGTTGGTCATTGGCTCGACGAGCGTAGGGGGGCGGGCTTTCCAGTCGGCGCGGCTTTTGAGAACGAGCTCGGACATGGTACCTAAAATTATAATTAATTGTAATTAATTAATGTATAGTTATGGTGCGTCAGATAACATTAAAATTGTACTTGCTTGTTATACAACTTTCAGTCTTGACCTTCATCGGTTGGTAATAAAGTAGTAATAATAGAGATAAGAATCGTGTTAATAATATTTTATCACTTTGTTAACGATCCATTGCTCTACTCTTCACTATTACTAGCCGAATACTGCTACACTCGTATTTTTATAATTATCTAAATGATAAAATAGACACGTGTTCGCGTGTACGATTTTGACTTAACAATGATACAGCGTTGTGGTTTCCCATGTTTTAATACAAAGTTGTCCGAGCATTATTCATTATTGTTATAAATAAATAGTGGGGCGAACTTAATCAAATGCTTTTAATTAATTATACGCAGAATTTGACGTGGCTGTGAGTTTCGTTATCAGTGTTATCAGTGAAAGTAATGGTTTGATGTTTACATAAGTGTACTTTACCTATGTTTTTACTCTTGCTTTTTTTTTTGGAAGGTTTGAGGTTTCCTGGTAGGTATTTGTACATTACTCGAGTATTTCGCGATGTCATCGTTTTTAATAGTTTTCGAGTTTGCGTTAAAGGTATCGATAAGACTAATTGTGTTGTAGTTGTGGAGTAATTATGAAATAATTGCGGTTGAGTTACCGCACAAAAAGTGTGTAATTATTTTGTTGTGAATGATTAATGGGAGAGCGAAAGAGTCTACTACTAGTAGATGTGGCGCCTTGTTGATTTTAAAGTTCGTTATTGTCATATAATTTTTACGAGGGTTTTTGCTGATAACGATAACAAAAAAATTATTTTGGTAGTATGATGCACCAAGGTCGGTATTTTTTTTTCAGGTTTATTGAACTTTTAATATTTGCTGTGTTAATTCGTGTTGTATTTGTCGCTGTAAAAGAAAATTTTGTGAAAATTACAGGAAAATTGAAACCTTGGATTTTCCACAGTTGTCTGAAATAGGTTTGTCGTAGTAATCTTAACAAGAATTTTGTGTTACAGCTTAAAACAATAAATAAATAAGATACATAATGTGAAATTTCGCAAATACTACCTTGAAATTTAGTGAAGAGTTTTTCCACTTTAAAATTAAATTGAAAAATACGTGGAAATTTTATTTTAAGCTGACTGTATTTTCATGACATGTAAAATTGAATAAAAGAAAAAAGTTCAGCATTTTTGATTTTTTTTCCACTTAAGGGTTGATAGTTTGGGATTTTAAAGTTAAGGCGTAAAATGCATCAATTTTGAACCTGTTTTACTACCGAAGCATAAACTAAGTGCAGTATATATTTCTATATTTTCGTGATTTAATAATAATTCACTTGTGTGAGATTTGTAGAAAAAAATTGAAAATTGTACAACAAAATTTGGCAAAATAAACTCTGAAACTACTTGATCTGAAACTTGATGATGATATCTCTAATTTACATTAGGTATACATAAATCGCACTTAAATTTTATAGCTCAACTAGTAACTGGATCGAAATTTGCTTGGACAATAATTTTGAAAACTATTAAATTGCTCGTTTTTCGTACGTTTTACTTCTCAAGCCTAAGCTACTGGCTACTTTCATGTGTTTTAGGCCTCTAGAGTACGAAACAGTTGGCCTCCTGTTTCCGTTCTTGTTTCCGAAACTCGCATTAAATTAAAATATCTTTACTTTCAAAATTAAGTAAGATAAATAATTTTGAGTAGGGCTGGGGAAATGGCGCTGAAATTTTCTCATTTATTTTGTTATCAAACTTCACTTGACGTCCCCACAAAATTTTTGTTAGTAAACGCCATTTAAATTTTATAAAATGACATAATTCTATACTTGTAGTTTATGAATCCGTCTTGATTTTTTAGCCTAGACCAAATATAAGCAAGCCAACAGTGTGTCAAGAATTTCTAAAAAAATACAAACAATTATATTGAAGTATCACCAGACAATTTTTATCTGAACAAGGCCGCTTTTAAGGTAACAGTTTAATAAAATTGATAAAATTAATTGTGAGATAAGAAGCCTCCAAGATAATATTTTTCTGAAATGCGGCACTAAAAGTCATGTTCTCGATATCAAATTTTTATTATTTTTGTTATCAAAAAAATTCAAGGTACTCACTCGAGTGAAAAAATATATGTATGTAATATACGTAATAAATAAAAGGAACAATATCACATTATTTTAAAGAAATTCGCTTCTCAGTGTATTTATGTTACTTTTACAACGAAATATTTATTTTTTATTATCCAGTTAATATTTTGGCTTTTTAAAATCTTAAAAAAGTGTTAGTTAAACCACATTGAAAATGTGCTCTGAAATTTTTTAGTAGTAATAGTAGACTTGGGTAATACTATAATATTTTAATTTAAAATGAAACTAGTTGCTAGGAAAAAAATTGATAGTACCACGTGAATAAAACGATTTTATACATTCAAATCATAATTTTAGTCAGTCACTAAGAATGTAGAAACTTTCGGATTTTCAATAATCAGACCACATTAAAAATACAAAGACTACAATAATAGCGTTAATCTTTAACATATAACGAAACAATAAAAGTCACTTAAAGTTTACAAAGTTGTTTTCTTAAAGGCAATTAACAACGATAAAAATGATCAAAACAAATAAATCAAAACGGCGTATTTAATTTAACTAACCATTATTGATTTAATAAACGGTCGACAATATTAGCAAAAAACGAACGTATTTTCGTATGACAAATAAAACAAACACATTTCTTACTAGCGTAAACTCGCCACCGGAATCCCAGAGTCGGTTAATAAACACTTTAATCGTCGCCGCTCACAACAATTTTTCACTGGTGTGATAATTACCCACAAAATGAAACCAATTTCATACAAGTGCGCGAAATAATTGTCGAACCTTGACGAAAAAAATACCTTTACATCCACGTGTGAAAAATTCGCGAATTCCTCGCGTTTATGAAAAGTAGTTAAATTGACAAGGTGTCATTGCCACAATCGAGCCACTACTGTTGTTTTAGCTAATAGATCAAGGTTAAGTAGGGGATTTTTCCTTCACTTACCAGTTATGGTAATAGAGAGTAGGCAGCACAGGAATCGACTCATTTTCGTCAAAAGCTTCGATAAAATTTGGCGGTGGTTTAAGCTGCGACGGGGTTTAAGTACTACTTGCCATCACACAAAACCGCAGATAAAATTGTAGTGTAATCTAATCGAAATTGTGAGTACCAATTTTTTTTTGTAGGTTTATTATGGTGATATAATTTTTGCGACATAAATAGCGACACACTGGCAGTCGCGCCGACTTTGACATTTTATATGAATATTCATAATTGAGCAAAAAATTCTAATCGGTGTATAGTAACAATGACGAGTACAGCGTGTTCTAAAATACCTCACAGCCCAAATTTTCGTACTGAGTTCCGCAATTTCAGATACTTACGGAATTTTCGGTACCTCAGTCCAAAGCTGTGACGATTTTTTTCACTTTTGTAAATCACACAAAAAATTCGTTGTGGATTGAAACGTGGTGCGTGTTTGTGACCAAGCTGTAGCTTGACTGAATTATTTGCCTTGTAGTAGCCAATGAAAGTGAACTCGCGGGTATTCTTCGGAAGTATTGTGGTTCCCCTTTGTCGGTCTCTGTCTTTGCGACCTGACGCAACTGGTCCGTATTACGGTCAAGATTAAGAGATTTGTTTCAGGATGTAGGTAAAAAAGCGACCTTATGGAAAGTTTTGATAATTTTGGATAGAAATTTCAGAGTAATTGCTCCAATCGTGAGAAGTTATTTTTGTTTATGTATTATGTACATTAGGTGCATTTTCAATTTTTTTTCAGTGACGTTACCACCCAAATTTTGAAATTTGAAGAAAATGTGTCTTTTGATGGTGCTTTTTATTAATTGTGTCAAATAAAGAGATAAATTTGGGTTATGAGAAGATGTATAGTTTTTCGCAATGCAACGAAAATAGTTTTTCTTAACACGCTAATTTCATGATTTAAGGTGATTAGTTGATTGCACCTGTTATGAATTTTGCATTAAAATTTTAGTAGTGTTATTTGGCACATTTCCTGCCTGTGAAACCAGAAAATTTGGGTGATAAAATTGACTAAAGCTGGCAATTTTTTTAAATAGCTCACTCGTTAAGCTTTCGTAACAGGTATTTTAGGTATTTTCTCCACAACACGTATAAATTTAAGCAGGCTTTCAACTCGTTCCTTTTTTTTTAATCTAAACTCATTAATAGCTTGCTAATTAATTGTTCCCCCACCACTTCTTTCTGTTCTTTTCTGCAACTGATGAGGTTTCTCTAAAATGCACAAAATAGTATAAGTTTACATTTATGATCTGTGTATTAATATACAAGTACTTGCTAAGATAAGACTGATTTTAGCAAATGACATACCTTTGAAGAAAATAAAGGGTGGGTGGGCGGTACTAATATTTGATAAGATAAGACTTTTGACATTTTCGATCAGTTTTCAACCATTTTCGAAAATTAGTTTATTATAAAATTCCTACCGTTTTTCCAAAATTGCGAATTTAAGTATAACAATTTTTGCAGTTCCGTCAGTCGCGCTGTATAAAATTTTTGTAGATAAAAAGGAAATTATTAATTTTTGTTTTACAAAATACAATTTACAGAAATGTTTAAAATTTGTTTATTTGAGACAATAGAGAAGTCAGAACAGATCAGGTTACATTAGGTCAAGTCAGGTCAAGGGCATTAAATAAGAAATAATTGTCATAGCAAATAATGTAATAAAAAAAGTTACGATTAGCGCTTTTTTTACCTTGTTCACGTCCTAAATTCTATAATTAGTTTCCACTCCCACTCGACAGAAGAACATAATTAGCCCCGCCCACCCACCCTGTCTCGTTTTCAGTGATTGATTTTTCCGATCTGATTGAAATGAATGATCTTATACTGAACAGAAATAAAGTTAGTTGTTAGAATGAGAAGAGGGAGTGGGTGGGCGGGGCTAGTGTTTGCTCAGATAAGACTGATTTTAGCAAATGGCATACCTTTCAAAAAAATAGAGGGTGGGTGGGCGGGGCTAATATTTGACATTTTCGACCATTTTTCAACTATTTTCGAAAATTAGTTGAAGACATTTTCTTGTAGATTTCGATATCCAGAAGTCATTTTCGACTTCGTTTCTTGGAAAGTTCTTACCGTTTTTCCAAAATCGCTAATTAAAATATAACAATTTTTAGAGTTTTACGTACAGTTGTCGGTAGAAAAATTTTGTAGAAAAAAATGGAAATTATTATTAATTTTTGTTTCACAAAACACAGCTGTTTAAGAATGTACTTTGTAGATTTTGTATATTAACATAAATGTTTAAAATTTCTTTATTTGAGACAATAGAAAAGTCAAAACAGGTCAGGTCACGTTTGATCAAGTCAAGTCAAGCGCATTAAATAAGAAATTAATTTTGTAACAAATAGTATAGCAAAAAAGTTCCGATTACCGCTTTTTTTTACTTTATATTGTATTTTGTCGTTTTTTAATCTTTTCGTTCTTTTTTAGTTGCATTTTTTCGATGTCTTTTTGCCGCAGTTTTGTAATTTTTTGATGACTTTTTTGAAGATTATCTTCCCCTTTTTTGGTCGTATTTTTGTGGCTTTTTTGTCATTTTTTTTACAAGTTTTGCGTCACTTTTTGCATCTTTTTGTCGCTTTTGGTTCCCTTTATTTGTCATAATTTTGCTTTGTTGACTGTATTTTTACGCCCTTATGTTACCTTTTTTTTTAAATCATTTTTTGTACAGTTTTGTTATGACTTTTGCTTGTTTCTGTTGCCCTTTTTTGTGTTTGGTGCTGCATTTTTCAAACTTCTTTTTAGTCACCTCTTTTCGAAATTTTGCGGATTTTTTTTGTAGTTTTTTTTTTTTGGTGCCGTCTGTTTGGCCCGTTTTTAGAGAATGAGAGAAAGTGTGATAAATGGGAGAATGAGAGAGAGTGATAAATGAGAGAGTGAGAGAGAGAGTGATAAATGGGAGATTGAGAGAGAGTGATAAATTAGAGAATGAGAGAGAGACTGATAAATGAGAGAATGAGAGAGAGACTGATAAATGAGAGAATGAGAGAGATTGATAAATGGGACAATGGGAGAGAGTGATAAATGGGAGAATGGGAGAGGGAGTGATAAATCGGAGAATGAGAGAGTGTGATAAATGAGGGAATGAGATTTGATAAAGAGGGAGAATGAGAGAGTGATAAATTAGAGAATGAGAGAGAGGGTGATAAATGGGAGAATGAGAGAGAGTGATAAATTAGAGAATGAGAGAGAGAGAGAGTGATAAATGAGAGCATGAGAGAGATTGATAAATGGGAGAATGAGAGAGTGTGATAAATGGGAAAATGGGAGAGGGAGTGATAAATGGGAGAATGAGAAAGAATGATAAACGGGAGAATGTAAGAGAGCGAGGAGAGAGAATGAGATATTAAGAGAGACAAGACGAAAGGGAGCATGAGAGTAAGAGTTAGAGAGTGAAAACCCAAAAAGCGGAAGAGTGAGAACGAAGAGCATGAGGGAATGAGAGCTAGAGATTTTGATAGCGAAGAAGGGAAGAGAGTGAGGGCAAAGAATAAGAACGAGAGAGCGTTAAAGCAGATCGAGAGAGTGAAAGCAAGGGAGAAAGAAATTGCGGATGCCAAGTAGAAAACGAAGAGAGCGAGAGAAAATACGGACGGGAGCGGAAGGGAATAAAAGCAAGAGAAAATGACACAGGGAAAAAGCGGAAGAGAGTGAGAGGACGGAAAAAATGAGAGATATAGTCAATGGGAGAAGTAGAGCGAGAGAGAAAGGAGAAGAATGAGAATGGAGATATTGATAGCGAAAGATGGAAGAAAGAGTAGGGGCAAGGAGGGAGAGTGAGAACCGGAGGGAGAAAATAAGAGGAAGAGAGAATGAAAGAGAGTGAGAGTTAAAGTGAGCGGGGAGAATGAAAACAAGAGAGAGGAGAATAGAGTAAAGGCGAGAGAAAAACAAATCGCGAGATTGAGAAGGCAAGAGAAAGAATAAGATCGAAACCGAGAGCAGGAGAGAATGTAGCAACAAAAAACGGAAAAGAGTGCGACCGAAAGAATGAGAGGGAGCGAGAGAAAATGAGAGAGGTATAGAGAGTGACAAGGAGAGAAACGGAGATTGTGTTATTTTAAACTTTTTTGTGTTCCTTTTTTGCAATTTAAATAGTTTCCCCCTTATTTTGTGTTCCTTTTTTGCAATTTTTATAGTTTCCCCCTTATTTTGTGTTTGCCTTTTTTCACTTTTTTTTTTTTTTGACTTGTCGCATTTTTTGCGGCCTTTTCTATAGCTTTTTTGGCTTTTTATTTGTCTATTTTTTTATACTGTTTTGCTTCCCCTCTTTTTTGTTGCCGGCATCTGTCCTATTTTCGTTCGCTTTTTTATTACCTACGTTTTTTTTGTTATCTTTTTTTCTCTCTTGTTTGTATCCCATTTTTTGTGCTCTATTTTGTCGTCTTTTTCTGAGGCTTTTTTTTGTTGACATTTTTTGTATGTTTTTTGGTCATCTTTTTTCCCTCTCTTTTACCTTCTTTTTAGTAGTCACCGTTTTGTCTTTTTTATCGCACTTTTGCGTCCCAGATCTAAGGGTGTTTTTTTTTGTTGCTTCTCTTGTTCTTATTAAAAATTGATTATTATCAAAGTCTCACTTGAAACACATTCTGATTTTAACTTATAGTATAATAAAAAATAATAAAAAAATAAATTCGTAAAATCTGATTTTCCCATTTATGTAAGAAACTGGATTTGTTCAATTTACTGTACTTCGGGTGTCAGGAAAGTTCTGTCTAGATAACTTTAGATACATTTTTTATACCTGCTGGATATTCGCCGGCGTTCTCAAATAATGTAGCTGAAGAACGCCTAAAATAGTGTCCTGTTGAGTTTGGGTGGTTTTATAAGTTATATGTGTATAAGTGATGAGAAATGTTGAACTTGAAGAGAAAAATAATTCTTTGGAAATCGTTTACAATGGTTGCAATGGAAACTTAATAACCGTACTACATATACTGGAGTCTTCGACCAATTTTAGTCAATAAATTGGTTAGAAAACACATATCTAGAAGTCTGAAATTCAGTAGTAATAGGGCTGTTCATGCGACTTTCACGTGATTAGCGGTTCTAACTTGTTTCAAAATCTAACATAAACAATCGAACAACCAAAAAACCTAAAATTGTTTTCTTTTCTTTTCTTGAGAGCAATTTTAAGAATCACAACAATCGCAACATGAGGAATTCGTTGACGTCTATAAACAACTTCACTTTTGTATTGTATACACCGAAGATCTTACAACAGATCCGCTTCAGTTGATTGACCTTGCTATAAGTAAATTTTCTTTGTAGTATTGGTTCCTTCTTTCTCATTAACGCTGTTGAGATACACAGTCATTATTAATTGTGGTGCGGAAAGTAAAGATTACTTGTCTTGCCGTGCACCAATTTGCTGTAATCTTTTTGAATAAATGTCCTTGTATTTGCTGTACATTACGACACATATTTCTAAAGTTTACAACACATTTTAATTATCTTGTGTTTGTTTTAATTATTTTAAATAATCCAGGAAATCCTTCAACTGTCTTGTTGATTTTTGTTCCGCTGTCTTCATTAGAGATTAAAATGGCGTATTTTTGTAGGTGTTACATCTTCGTTTCCTGTCGCCTGATTTATGTTTTTTACAGTAGCTGGATACACAAAAATATCATGCTTTTATGCGAATTACGTCGCCAATTTTATTAATATAATTTTGACAAAAGTGTACTTATTTAGTTTGCTCATCGTAGTTTATTTGTTATGTGAAAATGTTGATGTTATGTGGCAAATTGGAGGTCATTGGGAGAATCCCCACGTAAAACTGTACTAATTTCCTGAAAACTACTCAACTATTAGATTTTTTTCAAGTGCGGGCCTGTATTATTATTATTATTGTCATTATCATCATCATCATCATCGTCACGATCATTATATTAGTCATTGTTAACAAGAAAAATGAAATGAAAAAAGCAATTAATCATTCTTAAAAATAATATTGTTATTTATACAAGAACACAAAAAAATTCTTCGTGAAATCTTATCTTGATATCAAAATCGCAAGACAGTTGTAACAATTTGTGGACCCTCTTGAGACAAATCTAATCTGTCTGTAAAAATTCTATAAAAACAAGCACACGTGTCCACGTCCTCACACACAACCATGTATCTTTTCCTTGTCCTCATAGCTATCGGTAAGTCTTCTCCATACCCATCCAGATCTAAGTAACCAGATTCTAGGAACCACCCATGCCCTCGACATCGTCTCTCGGGACGAATGGGGAGCTCGTCCCCCCACCAACGTCGTCCCTCAAAGCAACCCAGTACCATACGTAGTCATTCATCACAGCGTGGAACCTGAGGTTTGTTACACCAAAGAGGATTGTATTCAAGCGATGCAGACCATGCAAGACATGCACCAGATTGATAATGGATGGGCCGATATTGGGTACAGTTTTGCGGTGGGTGGAGATGGTAATGCGTACGAAGGAAGGGGATGGTCGGCTGAAGGTGCCCACGCTCCTGGCTACAATTCCAGGAGTATCGGGATTTGCGTAATCGGGAACTGGATGGAAGCTGTACCGTCAGAGAAGCAGTTGCAGACGGTCCATGAGTTGATAGAGTATGGGGTGGAGTTGGGGATGATTAGTGGGAGTTATGGGTTGATAGGGCATAGAGAGGCGACGGAAACTCTATGTCCGGGGGATCTGTTGTTTGAAGAGATCACCACATGGCCGCATTTTGTTCAAGTTTAACAAGTTAATAAAAATTTACAAGGAGAATGAGTTTTATTTGGTACGTCATTGACGTAAATCACAAAACTAAAGAGACCAAGAATGCACCCTTGACACATTTTTTTCCAATACACAAAAATGTATTAAATGAATTACACTTGAATATAGTGTTCCCAGGTGGTTATCTCCTCATAGAGTTGATCACCCGGGCACAGAGTCTCCTTGGCTTGCCTGTGCCCAATCAAACCGTAGCTCCCACTAATCATCCCCAGTTCCACTCCATACGCTATCAACTCATGGACCGTCTGCAGTTGCTGCTCTGATGGTAAAGCCTCCATCCAGTTCCCGATTACGCAAATCCCGATACTCCTGTCATTGTATCCAGGAGCGTGGGCACCCACAGCCGACCATCCTCTCCCCTCGTACGCATTACCATCTCCACCCACCGCAAAACTGTACCCTATATCAACCCACCCATTGTCAATCTGGTGCATATCTTGCATGGTCTGCATGGCTTCAATACAGTCTTCCTTGGTGTAGCAAACGGCAGGTTCCGCGCTATGGTGGATCACCACGTATGGTACTGGGTTCGACATGGGGTCGACGTAGATGGGTGCTCGAGCGCCCCATTCATCCCGAGACACGATGTCGAGGCCATGGGTTGTCCCTAAAATTTACGCTTAGATATAGACAACCACGGAAAAAACTTACCAAGTACTGTTAATAGCAGGAGAAGATACATGTTTATGTGTGAGGAGAAACTGCACGTGTTCCAGTTTTGTTGATAGATAAGATTTTTATCTGAGAGTGGGTCCAAAAAAAAAATATTGTTTGGCGTATCTGAAGTGTTTTCGCGATTTGGATCTTGATTTAGTCCCATTGAAGATTTTATTTCAGGCTCCTTTGTTCTCGTTAACGCATTTGAATTTGAATTTGTTCTTCCAAAGAAGAAAATTACTCTTGAATATTCGCACATTATTTTAACACGTGCACGACCTCTGTTGCCACCCCTACTACAATATTTTTCTTTTAAAGTAATGGCCAGACCACTGCCCCGTACCCACCGAGTCCGCGTAGAAAACGAAATGATCAAACGAAGAGAACGCGAATTCCGACACGACCAAGTCTGGAATAACCGAAAACAGTACTACGAAGAGTGGGAAAAAAAGAACGCGAAATTCGACGAATGGACGTCGCCTCGGTACCACGAAACCAACAACAAACTGATCGAAGAAACGAAAAAAAAGCGCGAAAAAGAAGAAAGTCTGGCGAAACGAAGAGAGAATTTGCGGAAATTGCTGACAGAAGAAGAAAAGCTGTACGACGTGGAATTGATGATTCATAAAACGAGAAACGCGACGTACCGAAGGGCGCCGAGGAGCGACGAAGTGCCGGTGGAGGTGCTAAAGGAGCTCAATAGGGGTAAAATTTAGATACGAATGTAGAACTGATAATAATTGTGATGATTGAAGGTTTGAAACTGGAGGAAGACGATAGGAGGCGACACGAGGCGGAATTGAAGTTGTACCATCAATGGAGGGGTAGCAATCCAGTGTTGAAACACTACGAAAGAATGCAAAGAGGAAGGGACTTAAAACTGTCGTGGTTGGACCAACAAATCGAGAATAGAATGCGTAGAGAGACGGAGGAAGAAGAGTGTCGCAAACTTCTCAAAGAGAGAGAACAAATGCTACTACAAGAGGACGAAAAACACGAAGAAGAGCAGAAACGGATACAACTGAAGAAAGAAGAGCTGAAAGTAACTCTAGAGCAACAAATGGAAGAGTTGAAGCTTAAGAACAAAATCAACGACGAACTAAAACACAAGGAGGAAGAAGAAAACAACAAACGTGCCGAGTTGCACAAAATTGAACTGCAACGAATCGAAGACGAAAGAAAGAGAAGAGAAAGAGAGTGTGCTTTGTACAACATCAAACAGTACAAAATGCGACTGAAAAAGAAAGCCGAAAATGTTCAGACGAATTTAGAACACGAAAGAGAACTCATCTTGAAATTGAAACAACTAGAAATTGCTGAAAGAATCGAAGACGAAAGGAAAAAGAATGAAGTGAAGGAAGCTTTAAACGACTTTTTGGTTTTAAATCAAGAACAGAAAAACTTGGAGAAGGCACGCCAAAGACACTTAGATTTCTTGTTCGATTCGGAAGCCAAAGTTCAGTACGAACAACAGGACGAATTTTGGAAACAGGAGGAAACGGCGAGAACGAAATTAATTAAAGACGTAATTGACACAATTAAGACACAAATTGAAGCAAATTTGGAACGTAATAAACAAAAGCAGTTGGAGGTGGTGAAAGAACGTGAAGAGATGGTGAAGCGGATCGAGGAATACAATAAAGAAATGGCGGAATTGAAGGAGAAAGAGGAGAAGAAGAAGTGGGAACGGAAGAAGATGATTGACGAAGACGTGAAGATGAAGAGCGTGCGGAAAAAAGCGCGCGAGAACGCCGAATTGAGGCGTATTGACGAGGAATTGGAAATGGTGAGGAAGGAGGAAGAGCGATTAAAACAGGAAATAATGAACATACAAAGAAGACAAGGTCCGATTAGACCCAGCCGTAGCAAATTGTTTTAATTTATTAATTTATTAACACACTGAGTTTACACAGGACTGGTAACTTCGTCTAGTTGTTTTTTCATATGTTCTAGTTTTTCCATGTCGTTTACCGACGTGGTGCATTTATACACCACTAGAGAATGGTAAAAGTGGACGGCGAAAAGAACGAACGTTATCAAAACGGGAATTACGATGATGGTGGCGGCCGTTGCTGCTTTGAAGGAGTAGTCCCAAAATTTGACCCAACAAAGTATGGCTACTTCCACCAGGAACAAAAACAACCCTTTAACAAAAATCAGTCACAGAGTGCGAGTGCGATAGCACAAGCTTACCTAATACTGTCGAAAACGCCCATGCTAACTCTATAAACCCTCGCATTCTCTCATGTGGACTCTCAGCGACCATCTCGCACACCTCCAACTTCGCTATAGCATCTATATTTGGTAGAATATACGTCGAAATCATCAAAGCAAAAATGTGAACGGCAACTAGAACGGTCGTACATACAGCGAACATCACAAACAACCATTCTGGAACATTCGTGGGTTCGTTAATTTGAAGTTCGACCATGGCTACCATGGCGAACCCAGACAGCAGCTCACTAGTCGTAGCAGTTGCTTTTAATTTAGCCCTCGACATGTGAAGACGCCGCCATGACAGTCCTTGCGCACTGTTACTCGGAATTCTCCTACAAACCCCATTTTCTTCCGTACAACGAAGACACGTCATCGTATCAGGACTTTTCTCCGTTATGTGGTTAACTTTGTACGCTGGCGCCGACGTCACCGACGAGTTACAGGAGAACGGCGGCGTCCTCTCTCTGGAGATCGAGCCGAGGTGGAGGTCGCTCACTGGAAGAGGGAGGCGCGAAATAGGACTGTCTGAGCAGTAGTAGATTTTTGTTCTGGGGTTGATGGCTTCGGGGGTGAAAGTGAGGGACTTGGGGCGAGACATCGCCGGTCTCAAGTGGTTCTGAAAATTGTTCTATGTAATAATATTATTTAATAAAGTTATCGAGTTTCAGAACTGGTTTTTGTTTCGGGTAACTAGAAACGTCGAAGTTGCACAAACTCGTCGGATTTGCACGTGGAAACTTATTTACTTTGAATAATGTGTAATTCAATGTCAAGTGTCGTCTTTAACTCGACAAACATGATATTAAAGGCGACAAGTGTGTAAACAGTGTTTTGGTAATAACGAGTTATTTTTTTGATGTCCGGTTGTCTACTGCTATTGAATGCCATGCAATCGTCGTGGGAAGGTGTTTATACAAGTAAAAAAATACTGGGTATTCTGATAGATAATTATTTTTTGAGTTGTTTTGGGTGTCGAAGTTTCGTTTTTTCATCTATGGTTCTCGATGATGAATTATTTTAATGGTGGGTTTTATGGAGGAGTTCGCCGCTTAAACCCGCTTGTTTAAAACAAATAATGATAAAATTCTTGCATGTTATCAGCGCTGTTTTAGTCACCAGGTTTAATTGGACTTGCAGGTTATTTTTGTTGCATAGAATAACAACTCATTAATTTTCTGAGTGTGCAGAAAATCTAATTTTTCTGCAGAGGTATTCTAGGCATTTTTTGTACGACCATTTTAGAAAGTAACACACCTGCATGTGTGGTTTATGAATCCGTGTTGAGTTTTTATTCAGATTTTTGAGAAAAAAACAAAATAAAAAAAAATTGGTCGAAAGTTATTTCGACAGAACTTCCCTTTTACATGTTTAAAAAAGACAGCTGGGACCCCCGAGAAGGTTTTATATTAAAAAAAAACATCTGACGTCGCCGAGAAGGTTTTACATAAAAAAAAACCAGTTGGGAGCCCCGAGGTTTCACATTCTTAAAAAAGACAGTCAGTACCATCGAGAAGGTTTCACATAAAACAAACACACTTGGCGTTCCTGAGAAGGTCTTACATTTTAAAAAAAGACAGATAGGACCCCCGAGAAAGTTTTACATTAAAAAAACATCTGACGTCCCCGAGAAGGTTTTAGATTTTTAAAAAAGACAGTTGAGACTCCCGAGACGGTTTTACATTTTCAAAACAGCCACTTAGGACTCCCGAAAAGGTTCTACATTTTCAAAAAAGCTAGTTGGGACTTCCGAGAAGGTTTTACATTTAAAAAAAATTATGTTTGGAGCCCCCGAGAAGGTTTTACATTTTCAAAAAAGACAGTTGGGACTCCCGAGAAGGTTTTACATTTTCAAAACAGCCAGTTGGGACTCCCAAGAACGTTTTACATTTTCAAAAAAGCTAGTTGGGACTCCCGAGGTTTTATATTAAAAAAGAATTATGTTTGGAGCCCCCGAGAAGGTTTTACATTTTTAAAAAGACACTTGGCGCCACCAAGAAGGTCTTACATTAAAAAAAAAAGACACTTAGCGCCCCCGAGAAGGTTTTACATTTTCAAAAAAGACAGTTGGGACTCCCGAGAAGGTTTTACATTTTCAAAACAGCCAGTTGGGACTCCCGAGAACGTTTTACATTTTCAAAAAAGCTACTTGGGACTCCCGAGGTTTTACATTTAAAAAAAATTATGTTTGGAGCCCCCGAGAAGGTTTTACATTTTTAAAAAAGACACTCGGCGTCCCCAAGAAGGTCTTACATTAAAAAAAAGACACTTAGCGCCCCCGAGAAGGTTTTACATTTTCAAAAAAGACAGTTGGGACTCCCGATAAGGTTTTACATTTTCATAACAGCCAGTTGGGACTCCCGAGAAGGTTTTACATTTTCAAAAAAGCTAGTTGGGACTCCCGAGGTTTTACATTTAAAAAAATTTATGTTTGGAGCCCCCGAGAAGGTTTTACATTTTTAAAAAGACACTTAGCGCCCCCGAGAAGGTTTTACATTTTCAAAAAAGACAGTTGGGACTCCCGATAAGGTTTTACATTTTCAAAACAGCCAGTTGGGACTCCCGAGAAGGTTTTACATTTTCAAAAAAGCTAGTTGGGACTCCCGACAAGGTTTTACATTTAAAAAAATTTATGTTTGGAGCCCCCGAGAAGGTTTTACATTTTTAAAAAAGACACTTGGCGCCCCCAAGAAGGTCTTACATTAACCTTCAAACTACCGGGTGGGAAAATTTACACATCGTTTCGGGTGGGGTCCGTTTGGACCCCATGGCCTTTTTTAGCCAAAATTAAAGAATTAATCAAAAATTTTTAACGAATCCAAATTATTTATTAATTTTAAACACAACCAAGTTAAAAAAATTACATAACAATATTAAATAAGCATTTTTCGTTACAGTTTTTTGTTCCAGCATTCCTGGCATTCAACGTTACGAGTAGAATATTCTCGGCAAACAAATCTTTTGCAGGAAATGCAAAAATTTCTTGATTTCTGTCCCTGCTACTTATATAGACGAAGCAGCGTCCGCGGGATTGTACTGATATCGATTTTGATAACGTGCCATTGATAAAACAAAATTTAATTTTTTACAGTGATTACATTGTCACACTGACACCGATACTGACACTTGCAAGTCAGTATCAAAACTGCAACGCCGTCTATAAACTAGTAAAGAATAAAACAATGGTTTCTGGATTCTGGATTCTGGATTCTTAATTTATGGGGGCTGACCGTAGCCAGCCGGCACTTAGGCCTCGCCTTTGGGCCCATTGTACCTTCCCCAAGTCCATATCAGGGTGTTTTCCCGCTCCTCTACTCGTCAAGCCATCCAACTGCTTGAATGTACTTGAGTAATGCAGAGGGTGGAAACTCCCTGATATTTGCCATACTAGGCCAGATGTCCCCTAGTATGGATTCCCTGTAGGAGGCTAGGGCTGGACACTCACGAAGAATGTGCTCAGCTGTTTCCTCTTCTTCATTGCATCCACGACAGATTGGGTCTGTTGCTACCCCTATCGTATGTAGATGTTTGTTAAACTGGTAATGTCCCGTAAGGAATCCTACCAGTTTACGCAGTTTGTCCCTTGAAAGTGAGAGATAAAATTTTGTCAACTTACGGTCTGGTGTCGCCATACAAGCTCTACTATGCCGACAGCTGCTCAACGTCGCCCATATCTGCTCATGGCGTCTATGGGTATATTGCTTTACGAGTTCGTTCGAGAGGGCGACCGAAGGCGTGATTGCCGGTTCGGGTCCCCAGAAGGGCATACGCGCGGCTCGCTTCGCCATCTCATCTGCCCTCTCGTTTCCTTCGTTGCCACTGTGTCCTTTGATCCAACAAAGTACCACACTATTCCTCTGCGTTACATACTTTAGCGTTTGTCTGCACTCCCAAACCAGCCCGGATCGAACCATACAGCTGTCCAGGGCTAGTAGTGCAGACTTGCTGTCAGTAAGTATGCGTATTGATTTGTTGCCGATTTCACGTTCAGCAATGATTCTAGCTCCCAGCATTATTCCCATCAATTCTGTTTGTAAGACAGACGTGTGGGTGCCGAGAGGTACACTGATTTGTGCGTTCAGTTGTTCGGAGTAGATGCCGGCTCCTGAACCACTATCTGTTTTGGCACCATCGACATAGATATCTATGTCGGCTCGTCCTTCTGAATTATCACTCATTGATATTCTATATGTCTTCTCATATATTAATTTTGTGCCCATTCGGTCACAACCCATCCTCAACAAGGGTATTCTGTTGAACGCCTCCGTTAAGATCCGAGTGTGCTTCGTTGTGCGGCCTTGCTTGTTCCATACTCCCAGAGAGTGAAGTCTTAGAGACGTCGTCATTGCCGCTTCCTCTATGTAAAGGTTGAGAGGTGCTAAGCAAAGAAGAGTCTCCAGAGCCGCTGTGGGAGTGGTCCTCATTGCTCCTGTAACACTGAGACACGCCATTCTCTGAACGTGTTCAAGTTGCAGGGCTGTTGTTTTTTGTCTGGCTCTGGGCCACCAAACTAAAGCTCCATAGCACAGCATCGGTCTGACTATTGCCGTGTAGATCCAAAGGGCGATCTTGGGATTTAAACCCCACGACCTTCCCACCGCCCTACGACATTGCCAGAGAGCCGAGCGTGCCTTTTCTACTTTATCATCTACATGCTTCTTCCAATTCAGTCGCCAGTCCAATACAACTCCCAGGTATTTGACTTCGTCCGAAAGTTGAAGCGTTGTGTTAAATATTTTTGGCATCTGTAGTGTGCCAATTTTCCTTTTCCTGGTGAACAGGATTAGTTTCGTCTTTTCTCCATTAACGGAGAGGGTATGTCTGTTGCACCATTCCTCGACTATTTTTACTGCAGCTTGCATTATCTCACATAATGTATCTGCGTTTTTTCCTGTTAGCAGAATGACTAGATCGTCCGCGTATCCAATTGTGTGGTAGCCAAGATCATTGAGGCGTCGTATCAGGCTGTCAACGACAGTATCCCACAGTACAGGAGAGAGAACTCCTCCCTGAGGACATCCCCTGTCTACAACAGCCTCGATCTCAGTGCCACCTACATTAATCATTACTTCCCTGTTCCTCAGCATACTGGCCACCCACCTACTTAGGGTGGGGTCCACGTCGTGCTTTCGTAGGGCTAGTTCTATGCTTTTGAAGGTCGTTTTATCAAACGCTCCTTCAATATCCAAAAACATTCCTAAGGTGAAGAGTTTGTTCTCCATCGCCCACTCTATACGGTTTACAACTGTGTGTAGGGCCGTATCGGTGGATCTTCCTTGGATGTAGGCATGTTGGTTCGGATGTAGAGGTTGCTTGCTCAAAGCAGTCTCCCGAATCTCTTTTTCGCTTAGTCTTTCTAGCGTTTTCAGCAAGAATGATGTTAAGCTAATTGGTCTGTAGGATTTAGCCAAGGTGTAATCTTGTCGTCCTGGCTTAGGTATAAAGATAACCTTTACTTTTCGCCATGCATTCGGTATGTAGCTGAAAGCCAGACACGCCCGAAGCATTGGCAACAAAATAGGGCGTAGTCTGCTCATTCCCCTCTGCAGGAGGGCGGGATAAATACCGTCAACTCCTGGAGATTTGTAATGGTTTTTGTAAGACTAAATTCCCAGAATAAGACCTGCAGGTGCAATAAAATCTCCAAAATATAGACAAAAAAATAGCAACATAAAGAACCAGGTGGGGTCCATGCGGACCCCAAGAGACTATTTTTTTTTTTTTGTTACAAACTGTTACACCTATACAATTGATATTTTTTGTATGCATAGCAAAAGGCCTTAACCGAAGCTACTAAAAATACCACTATCGTTAAACCAGAAATAACGGGAAAAAATAGGAAAATGTAACAATGGGGTCCATTTGGACCCCACCCGGTAGTTTGAAGGTTAAAAAAAAAAGACACTTAGCGCCCCCGAGAAGGTTTTACATTTTCAAAACAGCCAGTTGGGACTCCCGAGAAGGTTTTACATTTTCAAAAAAGCTAGTTGGGACTCCCGAGAAGGTTTTACATTAAAAAAAAAATATGTTTGGAGCCCCCGAGAAGGTTTTACATTTTTAAAAAAGACACTTGGCGCCCCCAAGAGGGTCTTACATTAAAAAAAAGACACTTAGCGCCCCCGAGAAGGTTTTACATTTTCAAAAAAGACAGTTGGGACTCCCGAGAAGGTTTTACATTTTCAAAACAGCCAGTTGGGACTCCCGAGAAGGTTTTACATTTTCAAAAAAGCTAGTTGGGACTCCCGAGAAGGTTTTACATTAAAAAAAAATGTATGTTTGGAGCCCCCGAAAAGGTTTTACATTTTTAAAAACGACACTTGGCGCCCCCAAGAAGGCCTTACATTAAAAAAAAAGACACTTAACGCCCCCGAGAAGGTTTTACATTTTCAAAAAAGACAGTTGGGACTCCCGAGAAGGTTTTACATTTTCAAAACAGCCAGTTGGGTCTCGCGAGAAGGTTTTACATTTTCAAAAAAGCTAGTTGGGACTCCCGACAAGGTTTTACATTTAAAAAAATTTATGTTTGGAGCCCCCGAGAAGGTTTTACATTTTTAAAAAAGACACTTGGCGCCCCCAAGAAGGTCTTACATTAAAAAAAAAAGACACTTAGCGCCCCCGAGAAGGTTTTACATTTTCAAAACAGCCAGTTGGGACTCCCGAGAAGGTTTTACATTTTCAAAAAAGCTAGTTGGGACTCCCGAGAAGGTTTTACATTAAAAAAAAAATATGTTTGGAGCCCCCGAGAAGGTTTTACATTTTTAAAAAAGACACTTGGCGCCCCCAAGAGGGTCTTACATTAAAAAAAAAGACACTTAACGCCCCCGAGAAGGTTTTACATTTTCAAAAAAGACAGTTGGGACTCCCGAGAAGGTTTTACATTTTCAAAACAGCCAGTTGGGACTCCCGAGAAGGTTTTACATTTTCAAAAAAGCTAGTTGGGACTCCCGAGAAGGTTTTACATTAAAAAAAAATGTATGTTTGGAGCCCCCGAAAAGGTTTTACATTTTTAAAAACGACACTTGGCGCCCCCAAGAAGGCCTTACATTAAAAAAAAAGACACTTAACGCCCCCGAGAAGGTTTTACATTTTCAAAAAAGACAGTTGGGACTCCCGAGAAGGTTTTACATTTTCAAAACAGCCAGTTGGGTCTCGCGAGAAGGTTTTACATTTTCAAAAAAGCTAGTTGGAACTCCCGAGAAGGTTTTACATTTGAAAAAATTTATGTTTGGAGCCCCTGAGAAGGTTTTACATTTTTAAAAAAGAAACTTGGCGCCCCCAAGAAGGTCTTACATTAAAAAAAAAGACACTTAGCGCCCCCGAGAAGGTTTTACATTTTTAAAAAAGATAGAAAGGACTCCCGAGAAGGTTTAACATTTTGAAATAAAGAGGGGCGTATTTACCTTTTCCAGAAAGTGGGGTAATGTCATCAATAACAAATATGTTATGACATCATAAACATAGATAATACACAATGCGAAAGAAAGAGAAAAAAAAAAAGAAAAAAAAACGAGAGATCAAATTTGGAATCGAACACTCGCCGTCCGATCCGCATTCCTGACTTGTAACCATTAGACCACGACCGGGATGCCTGACGCTAATGGTAACCTGTTATTATACCGTGAATTATATTGTTGCAAAAATTGGACGGTTAGGGCAAACTCAAACCGGATTCGTACACCACACTTATAGGACAGTTGATCAAATAAACATTAAATTCTTTGAAATGACGTCATCAAATTGTTAGTGGGGATGAGTAGCAAAATTTTGGTTAGCATTTAACCATCCACATGACATTTCTAATATACTCGTACATACAAAATTTGACATCAATCGGTCCAGCAGTTTCGGAGATTACGTGCCTAATAAAAATAGATACAGACACCCGACAGACATGAACCTTCAGAATTCCATCTGTTCGGTAAACGGAGTATAACTGCAGTTTCGTTGTAAATATTTCTTAAATGATAATAATTTATACAATTAAGAGAGCAAAAAGAAATTTGTTTGTTGTACGCTCTCTCATGAGTTTTATTTTGCGTGAAGGCAACAAAAAAAAAGAAAAAGCTCAAGATATTTTTTTCTTTTTTCCCGTAGTAGTATATAATATATTTTTAATTAATTAACAAAAAATCAAGCTCTGAAAAAATATGAATTAAGATTATTTTTTAAACAAAATTTAGAAGTCAAAATTCTATATTAAAAAATCGTGCCTACGAAAGAAATAACGCAAAAAGTTGTATGTAATACACATAAAGTTGATGTAAAAATGAGTAAAAGTAGCAAGTTATTTAAATGTTGCCTTGTTTGCAATTTTAATGTTGAAATTATGTACCATTATACCAGTTAAATTTATTAGTTTTCCTTTTTTATGAATTGTTAATATGTTTTCAAACAAAAAACAATAAACTTCAAAAATATGAATGTATTGATTTACACCTACAGACACGCATTTTACATACTTTAAATAGGGCTTCGCAGACTTTTAATGTGACGTCGTTGAAGTTTTGGTAGGGACAAAATTACGATCTGTCAAAATAAATGTTAATAATGACGTTTGGTGATAGCAGAATATTATTTAAATATCGAATGTGTCGCAATCAATTAAATTGTATCCAGAAAATATTACAGTAAAACTAACGCGTCAAAATTCAATTGTTAAAATAAGCATTTTCATTTTATGATTATTACAATACATACATGTTTTTTTTACAGTAAGTACCTATGACTAATGATTAAAAAACTATTTGAAAACCCATTGTTGTAGAAATTTGTTAAAAACTCACGTTCACTCATGTACTCGTAACTATTGTTGAAAAGTTGAAAATAACAAAAGGTCGAATACATTTTTCCGAACTTTCCACTAGATACACACCGAGAATAGAAATAGGTACACCAGCAAACATTTTCAACTCTAAATGTTGGATTTTATGAAAATTAAAATAATAATAATAATAATAAAAATTGTACCACTCCCATTTTGTTTTAGAAGCAGTTTATTATTATTTTTTGCCTGTTCCTTGGACCTGCAACGTCATTTTAATTACATAATAATCCTCCTCTATTTACGTAATCACGAATTCCCCAAGGTGATGAAAACTATTCCAGTATTAAAATTTCAAAAAATTCCAAACGATCAAGCCAAAAAAATCCATCGATTCCATATGAATAGTACACTATTGATCGAAGGTCGCGGTTCCCCTCTGCCGTCACAAACAGACATAGCCTCCTCCAAGGTTTAGTTACCTTTGCCCTTGCAAGATTCCTCCTCTCCCACAATCTCTTTCACCCATACTAACAACTTATCACCAACCATTACCGACTGTTTACAAATCGAAACCTCTTAATTACCGTCCTATCGCATATTTCTTAGCCCACAAATCACCGCAGCTCGTGAAATGTCAAGTGCGCCCATAAGGAACGAATTCCATCCTGATCTCGTCTAGCTCGCTGCGAACACCGTGCCAATGAACTCCCCGAAAAACTGCCCACCGATAATAACCCACAAAACTCGAAAATTACACGTCTGAAAATTCCTCGCGGTCAATGTGACATCAACGCTACCGTTTCCGGTAAGCAGGCGATTGTTAATTTGTCGTGGGGTGTTGGAAACACTCACCCATGAATTGGTGTGTCCTCTGCTCGTCGTCACATAGAGATCCGCCGAGGTGTTGTGTCTTTTCATCTTTCGAACGACGATCGGGAAATCGACCTGGGTCGACTGGTCCATTTTCGTTCTGGAACGGAAAATATACGACGGATTATTACCGGTCGGGAGGGCTGTCATTAATGCGTTCGTCATATCCTCGGTATTGAGAATTATTAGTGGTTTTAATTTATGGCTAGGAACGCGCTTCCGATACTGGGACGGTGATTACTAGCGAGGGGAAATGGGGTGCCTCAAGGCCCGACGCGCGGTCCTCTACTTTCGATATGGTCATGTAGGTGTACCACGAGTGATCGGTTTAAAAAAGTTCTTGTTTTTTTAACTATAAATAAATTATATGCTTGCTAAAATTGAAAGAACTTGTTGCGTGCCACAGGGTTCACAAATCTGCCCCGTCCTCTCTTTCAGTCAAAATGATGGACACCATCACCTTGAGTCCGTTCTTCTCCCAGAACACCCTCCTCGTTGCCGGGATTTGCAGCCGCTGCTACCGCGACCTTGATGACGTCAAAATCGTGAAGATAAACACCGCGTTCTTGCGCCAGATCATCAAGAACAGGACCCTCAGGTGGAGGCCTCCACGCTCCCCCCACAACCTGGTGGAGGAGTCCTTTTACGACAACCCTTGGGGTCTCCTGGTGGCGACGATTTTCCTCAACAAAACCACCTGCTTTAGCGCCAGACCCTTGATCGAGCAATTCCTGGAGGACTTCCCCGACGCGGTGGACGTAGTAGCGAAGAAGCCCGAGGACTTAGAGAAATACTTCGACAATTTGGGGCTGGTGAAGAGGGCCCGACAGGTGTGGCAAATGAGTTACGATTTTCTTTACAAGCGGTGGAGGAGCGTGGGGGAGCTGCACGGAATCGGGAGGTATGGAGAAGACGCCTTCCGCATTTTTTGTTTGGGGGATTTCAGCGTGGAGCCCGAAGATAGGTTTTTGAAGATATACAGGGCGTGGTATTTGACGAAGGAAACCGAAGGTGAGCGATTTTTAATAAAGTTTATCAAAATTATTATTATTAAACAATCGTAATAATCATTAAAAATGACGTGTCGCTCATATATTATATTTGTTGATAACTGCCTACTAATAATAAATATAGATAAGACACATTGCGGTGCAAAGTTGTGGAATCAATTTATATTTAATTTATTTATTCACCCCCTCTGAAAATTTAGTGACGTCACGCAGTCGCTCTATCGTTGATCTGCACCGACCAGTGAAATTTCTGTGTAAATCTCTTCACAATTTTTTCCTGAGGTCAAGGTACAACCTTTATTTATTTTATTGTTCCATTTGAGCCAATTTTTTGCCCGACGGCGTCACAGTCATTACTTGCTTTTCCTTCCTCGTCCACCTAATGACACAAAAATCGCATTTATCATCGTCAATATTATTATTTCACCAATTTCACGGTCACGCCACGAATTACGAAAATCACCCGCAAAAATTTTATAATGTTTTTCCGAAACTAATTTTTGCGCTTTTGTTGCGTCAAACCGGAAGCGACTCCTGCACCGTCATTAAATCCTCCGATTAGCAAGGAATTATCTCGCAATTAGACGCGGGGTCGCAGTTGCCCGGTTTGACAGTTTTTTTTCGGACAGTCAACGTCAAACGAAATTTTTGCGCCCCGGAATGGAGGCCTCCGGATCGGCCGAAGAGAGAATCGCCAAAATCGAAAAATGCCAGGCCAAATTGGCGGCGGCCAAGGCCAACTTGGAGGCGAGGAAGCAGGCGGTGGGGGCGCCGGCGGGGATCGTGAAGTAAGTGGTTTTTGTTTTTGTTTTCAGTAATTGTGTTTTGAAAGTGACTTGAGAGATTTATTAGTATCGGATTTGGCTTTTTATATATATATTAGTTTGTTAAGGTTAGTTTGCGGTGACGTAAATGGAATTGTGGTACCAGTTTACATAGGCTGTTTCACTCGGGATGTTTCGTTCGTGGCTAAATTTACTATTAGTATTAGTACATACTTGAATAAAGCGGACAAAAACACTCTGTGAAACTCTACATTCTTCATGTAGATTTTTTTATAAACCTTGTGAAACACGAAAAACCTATATCAAGGTTTCTGCATTGTTTCAGTGATGGCAAAATTCTGCTGGATGTTCTACCGTGACGCTATAAAATATAAATATAGGGAATAAATAATAAAAAACTTAGATAATGCGCTAATTGCGGCACGTGTCGTTGGCACGTGCTTCTAATATTTAACCGTGATTTTGACACCACATAAGGATTTTCTGTTAAGTAACATATTTTCTTACATTTCGTAATTCCTTCTTCGCTTGGAGGTTAACACAATACATGTTTTTCATATTTGACGACTTCATTATCTTCTCTGTTTTGTGCTTTCCTATTGAATTTTCATTATTCGTTCAATCACTTCTATTTACAGAAAATCGTGAAAATTATTAATATAGATTGACGCGCTGACAGTTTACGAACTTGTAGATATCGCACTAGAAAAAATCGCAGTCGGTGGACTTATGCCAAACTTTTGTAGGTACTTTATTACAGGATTTATTCCAGGTCTATTTTAAGTAGTTACAATAAGCACACATAAATATTATTAAAATATGTATAAAAGTATTAATAACAGTGAGTTGGTGCTAAAATTGTGAGAATGATAAACCAGTTTTCATATACAACAAAAATTTATTTCGTGATCAAATTAGCTTTCTGTGGAAAACATTTTGCGTGATATGGAGCTAATTATTGTAGCTGATGGTCTAAGTATTTCTTAATTGACAAATAACGACGCAAAATGGTTATTTTTAATAAGTCATTTAAGATTTTGATTTGTACTACTTGTAAAATAAATTAAAAAAATAGTAGCTTTTGCCTGTTATGTATGTTTTTTTATCTGGATGTAAGGGTTAAAACATAAAGGCGGATTCATAAACCGCAAAGATACAAGTATATTATTTTATGAAATTAAAATAACATTTACTAGCCAATCTTAAAAATCAATTGAGGCATAATATCTCTGCGAAAAAATTAAATTTCTAAAAGTTTACCGGTTTTGGAAACGTGCACCATTTTCTTTTAATTACAGTTTTATAAATTTTGAGAATTCTGCGAAGTTTTGTAAACTTTTAAAAATAATTTTAAATTTTAAAAACTTTTTCCATATAAACTATGTATGTTACATTTATTCAAAAATTATTACGCAAAAATTTCTCTACCTTTTCAAGATTATACCGGGTGCCTGGAAAAGCTCGTAATTCTTCCAAATTTTTATTATTTTTTGTAAAAGTTAGTCATCAAAACTTGCTAAGATAAAACTGATTTTGGCAAAGACATACCTTCCAAAAAAAGAGTGGGTGGGTGGGCGGGGTTAGTACCTGCTAAGATAAAACTGATTTTGGCAAATGACATACCCTTTAAGAAAAGAGGGGGTGGGTGGGCGGGGCTAGTACCTGCTAAGATAAGAGTGACTTTGGCAAATCAGATACCTCCTAAGGAAAGAGGGGGCGGGTGGGCGGGGTTAGTACCTGTTAACACAACCATATCTTTGTACATTCTAACTGAAATGGTAATTCAATATTGTCGTGGGCGAGAGAAATATTAACTAAAAGTTTGATTACATATATACATACTTAATTTTATAGTACCGTCAATTTACTCAAAAACCTGTATAAAATGATTATATCTATTACAAAATTAAAATGATTTATGGTGGAATTTTTGGAAAAGTTGGCTGGTTTAATGACGTCATCATTTATTTAAGAGGATGAATGTGCAGATTTCATTTAGCATTTTGCCATCTTCACCACAATCGTAAAAGTGTAATTTCCAAAGTAATCGATTGAGTAATTTCTAAGATTATTTCTTGAATAAAATCGCTAACAGACGAAAACGGTAAACTGGTTTTTTCGTAATTTACGATTTATGAAACGCCATAAAATTACAAATTCGACAAAATTAAAAAAATGGAATTTCTCAAGTACAAAATGAATCAATAAAAGTCGTCACGTACCCTGCAGCACACCAAGAAAAATCACTTCTCTGAAAACACTCAATTAATTACCCCTTTAATCAAAACATGACCAGTAATATTTTTCCTACGAAATGAAGATGCTCTTACATAAGATTTGCACATAATAGAGTACTTGCAAGAACATCAACAATTACGTTATTCCCGGATATTAATTCTCCACATTCTACATATTCACGACAAAATAAAATGTATTTTATGAATCACGCGAGCTAATTGTTTACAAATACTTGGACATTATGGAGAATCACGCATCCAAGCGACCAGTAATAACTTCCAGAGCACGATTTCCATTTTTTTTTTTTTTTGAAATCGAAGGAGCAGACGTGGGCTTCAAGCCGCCACCACGCATCGATTTTTAATTGTCGTTCCAAATCGATTGTTTTTATTGACATTTCAGCCTCATTTAGCTAATTACCTTAAATAAAATTAGAGACCGGGCCGAAAACTCCCCGCGGCTCCACTTAGCACCAGATCCATGGTCGTACCGTACTAAAACTCACCTCTAATCTTTGGTACTTCGACAAATGGCACACTGATCACCTAACACTGGTACTACGTGAACTTGACTGCTCCGCGGCAGTACCGCGAGTGAAGTGCGGAACTCGTGGAGGTACTCACCTGTCGGTACTGACCTACAGTTTATAAGCAGATTTTTTTGGTACGGAGGTTCAACTTAGGACCTTTTCTTCGGAAGCTGTGGCGGGATTTGGCAGACTTTGGACGTGACGGTGGTACCGAGAATGGGTCAATCAAAAGGTTCTGAGGTGACGTACGAAATAATTAAAACTTTCTGGGAAATAAATACGAATGGAGGTAATGTAAAATGACTAAAACGTAATTTTGTTCTGAGGATGTTTATTTATTTGACAATAATTTTGTGTGCTAATATTATTATTACCTGTCAGATCTAATTAAAGTCATTTGATTGACATAAAACATAAAGTTTGTGGATTAACAATTGGTTTATGTGCAATAAAAAAATCTTATAATTATAATAGGTAGGATGTTATATAAGGTGGAAATTGCATTATAAAAATAATATTTTTTACGACTTTTTGTTAACTATTTTTTAGTAGAGTATAAATATTTTAAACACCATAAAGTTGTTACCGTTTATTCTGACAATAATTTTATTAAACCCACTGTGTATACATTATATTGAATTTTCCAACAATGTCACTAATTAGTTTCGTTCATTTATCATAATTGGACTCACTCGTTACATTGGTCTAATTAATTTAAAAAATGCTTAATTATCTGTACAGAAAATATAGTGTCTGGTCAACCTAGACACATTTATTAGAAACCCTTGAATAAAACGCAGCAACAATTAATTCACAACGTTGGCATGGAAACTAACATAAACCACCAAAGAAGGTGGTAGTATCAATACGAAAATTACTGTAACTTAAGTAATAATTACCCAAATTAAGTTCCTAATTTTTTTAATTAGTAGAAACTTGTGTAATGAATAAGTAGCGCCACCTAACCATTTCCGCACCAACTACATCAAGGCAGTTACATCATACAACTAAATAATTGCTTTAATCAAAGACAGAGGGCATTCAAGTGACAACACTTATTAAATTTACACAATTCACAAAACCACCCAATTACGCCACGACAATTAATTATCTAATTAATTACAATTACATATTCATGCACGCAAATCTCCCATACCCGTGCGTCTAGCCACTTCCACGTCGTTCGGTGAACTCGTTCGTTTTCGTAACGTTGCATCAGATGCCCTAACCTGACCCTTATGCCCACTTGACGTGCGGTCTAGTGGCTACAACGTGATCAAAGTCCCGTCTATAGTTTCCGACACGTCATGCGCCACTCCTTTACACACAGCATTTATAAAAGAAGACGCCAGGTGACGTCGTGACGTTATATCGGTATCGTTATCGTTCTTTTCGACTCGTATTCGACCTTCGTTGTCCTCTGTGAGAATATCTCAGTTGCACCCCGACTCTGATTGTGGACAGTTTGTTATCTCAGTTTAATTAATCGTAAGTACTTCTAATTGCGATTTTGTTTAATTTTGCCTTGGTTTGTTTTTGTATTGTTTTTAATTGACGTAAAAGGAAATGGGTTGTTAATTTTGTATTAGTTTTTTATGTGGGGTTTCATAATTGGGTTTTTATTTCCCTGTTCTTGTCTTATGTACAGCAATTATCTTTTATCTTATGTACAGTATTGCTAATTCTTGCTATTTCTATTATCCGGTAAAATTATAATAATACTGTTTTTCAAAATCTGGCGGAATTATTCAAAGGTCAAATTCAATGACATTCCAGTTAATTTGGCACGTTTTGAGTGACTGGGACACAATAAATGTTTAATGACTCTATAATTAATTATCTAGATTGTGAAGAAAGTATTGGCACACTTTATTTCCCAGAGTAATTATCGCGTGAAATTATTTGAGAATGAGGTATCTGTAGGGTCAAAGTCAATGACATCGCTCCACGTTTGTTTTTTTTTTCATTAATTATTTTAATATTTTTAATTCGGACGTTTACTCGTACAAGCTTGAATTCACTAAGTTGGTGTTTTTGCAAATATTTTTCAGATTGTTTTTTTCTTTAATCAGGTATTATAAAATTAATCTTCTACGAGTGTCCACCTGTCTCTGTGCTATCATAACATCACAAATTTACGATAATTTGTTAACAAATCCCGCGCCCTGTGAAAATAGTAGCGGTAGTTAGGAGCAGTGGTGCGAAGAAGCGGCAAAACACCGTCTTCCATAGTAGGCACTCGCGAATAGGTATGCGGCACATGGTCTAAATTTATAGAAACCTCTAAATATATCCAAAATGTTGAAAATTTTCGAAATCTGTAAGTGTGGGGTTATCTATAATCTGCACACTTATACCTCTTTGCATAATTTTTAAATAACAATGTCGAAAGGATTATCCTTATCCTGTTTGTGTTTTCTTCTTGTTATCGACTTGTTATTCGTTCTTCATCGTTATCTCTTATCTTTAGAAATTGTTTTTCAGTGGTTATTTTCGGCGATCGGTTATCAGGGCGAGCCTCCGCGATCCCAAGTCCAAAGTATCGCGATAAGAACGGAATATTTTGAATCGGTGGTCATATTTTAATCAGTTAACATAAAGCTGTGAGTGTGTGTGATAGTAATTGTTAAGGTAGGACGCAAATCGTAATGTTGTTGACCCTGCAACTTTCCCTTACTTTTATGTGTGGTTATTCGATATTCGTATCAAAGTTATTTTTAGCTATATTTTGTGTGAAACGTGAAGAGTTTCAAAGCCGGTCCGGATTTTTGCCAGATGCGTTCTAAAATAGGTGCTCTAAATAATGACCGACAGTTCGAATTACTCCAAAAATATTTTTATATTTGTTTTAAAGCGACATGTTTTTGATGGAACTTTACTCGGGGTATTTTAGGGATTTTTTAACAAGAGTTGCCTACAACTTTACGTTTGGAAAGTTGCTCAATCAATGTCAAATCAATTATTTCTAAATATCAGTGTCAACAACCTTGAATTATACGAAATCAATTTAGTTATCTGATACTAGTAAGTAATGTCGTCAAGTGATAAGTTGTTAAAAACAAATCACTCATTCAAGACTGATTGATCACTTTTTTATTGCCTAGGTTACACACACAAAGTGGTCATAATTAAAAAAATAGACAACCCAAACGTCACTTCAAACATGTCCCACCACTCCGTCTGCCTCACCTTCAAGTACCCGCCCCCCCCATCCACCCGCTAGAATAACCCCGACCTCTAATTTCCAGAGACGACAAAGTCTACAAAATGACTACCCATTTCAACTACCCGGACCCCGCCCTCCAGGACGAGCTCCGCAAGATCGCCAACGCCATCGTGGCCCCCGGTAAGGGCATCCTGGCCGCCGACGAGTCCGTCAGCACCATGGGCAAACGGTTGGCCGACATCGGTGTCGAGAACACCGAAGAGAACAGGCGCAAGTACAGACAGCTGCTGTTCACCACCGAGAAGACCATCGGCGACTACATCTCCGGCGTGATCCTCTTCCACGAAACGCTGTACCAGAAAGCCGACGATGGTACCCCGTTCCCGGAACTGCTAAAGTCCCGCGGGATCATCCCCGGAATCAAGGTCGACACAGGGGTCGTGCCCTTGTTCGGGTCGGAAGACGAGTGCACCACCCAAGGTACGTCGTTACACGAGAATATCGAGTTATCATAACTGATTTAACCTGTTGCCAGGTCTGGACGATTTAAGCAAACGATGCGCGCAATACAAGAAAGACGGCTGCCATTTTGCAAAATGGCGGTGCGTGCTCAAGATCAAGGATCACACTCCTAGCTACCAGGCGTGTTTGGAAAACGCCAACGTCCTAGCTCGCTATGCCTCCATTTGCCAGGAAAACCGTATCGTGCCCATTGTAGAGCCCGAGATTCTTCCCGACGGCAACCATGACTTGGAACGGTGCCAGAAAGTGACCGAAACTGTTCTAGCTTTCGTGTACAAGGCGCTCCACGACCACAATGTCTTCCTTGAGGGGACTTTGTTGAAACCCAACATGGTAACAGGCGGCCAGAGTCACCCAGTTAAGTTCAGTCCGGAAGATATTGGAAGGGCCACCGTCACCGCTTTGCAACGTACTGTGCCTGCTGCCGTGCCCGGAGTCGTGTTCCTGTCGGGAGGGCAGAGTGAAGAGGAAGCCACTGTTAATCTAGACGCTATTAACAAGTAGGTGTTTTGAACTGGATTTTGGAGTGTTATACGTTAATGAATTTTGTGTTAGGTTCCAAGGGAAGAAACCATGGGCTTTGAGCTTCAGCTACGGGCGTGCCCTTCAAGCCTCCGTCCTCCGCGGTTGGTCGGGCAAAGACGAGAACATTGCCGTTGGACAGCAGGAACTTCTGAAACGTGCCAAGGCCAACAGCGAAGCGTCTCAAGGAAAATACGTGGCGGGTACCGCGCACGGGAAGGCGGGGGATCAGGGACTCTTTGTCCAGAATCATGCTTACTAGAGGAAATCTCATACACCGATTTACCACAATTTTACAATATTTACAATAAAGTACTATTTTAGGCCGCGGTAGACATTGTTATTGTTATGGATTTATATTATACTATTGTATTTTTTATTTATACAGGTATATGCCATTTTCGAGATGTATTTATTTGATGGAAGTTTTAAGAAAAAAATTGTGAAATTGTGATTTTCTTTTTAGATGTGCATGTATAGGTTTAAATTATTTACGTAAATGTACGTCACTGGAGACTGTTAATAACTAATAAAAATTAATTGTCAGTTTGATTTTACTTACAGTTTTTTTAATTCATTTAATTGGTCAAAAAAATGCGCGTTTTTTGAATCAGCCAATGACGTTACAAGATTAAGGGCACGCCATCATGCTACGTCACGATTAACCAATAGCAGGTTTTAAAGACTTACCAAAGCAAAATTTTCGAGATTTAACTAAAAACATGTATTAATTCAGTAATAACTCACCCTTTTCTGTTTGCTTGCCTTCCATTGTCGAGATTGTGAAAATAAAGCCGGTTTTTCAAAAATTTTTGGTTAGCACGGATGCAGAGCACTCATGATGAAGTGTTGACTCACTTTTGATTAAACAGTTATAAAAACACATTGTGGGGTAGTTTTACTCACACTTTAAGTTTATAGGTATTAAATTGGAGTGAATTTGTTTAAATAAACACTATTTTGCAAAAATAGAACTAAATAAATGTGAGTCAGAAGTCGACATTTTTATTTCAGCGCCAACTAGTTTGATTTAAATTTGTTGTTGAAACAGTTCGAACTATGTATTGGTGGTTGCATAGTCACACAAAAACAAACTAACAATTTAAATTAAACTATGTATCGCCAATTGTTTGTCTAAGCATTGTAACAACATTTCATAATTTTAATCACACAAATCTGCACTAACCGGCACAAAAAAAATATTAAAAAACCAAGGATAGTTTTTTTCCGTTGTGCGATTGGCTATTGGCACCGCTCTCCCCACTTCCATTGACACTTAATCAAAATAACGGCTCTTTTTGAATTCGAACCCTCTGTCAAGTCAATCCGTGTTTATTTTCGTAAAATATGTGTTTGTGTTAGTTAGTGTATAGTGTCCCACCATGGAACCATCCCAAGAAACCATCACGTCGCGCCGCGACAAACTAAACTCCCAAATTTTAGGCAAAACCATCGACGAACAAAAACCCAGTCTCGTCCACCGGGAATGCCTCCTAGACGCCCTGCAAGCCCTCTACGACGAATGCTGCATCGAGACCCTCCAGAAATACGACAAACAAATCGCCTCGTTCGTCGAACGATACAAAACCACCATCTCCGAAGTGAAAAAACTGAGAGTGAACATCGCGGACTTTGAAATCAAAGATGTGATCGGAAGGGGGCACTTCGGCGAAGTGCACGTTGTGAGGGAGAAGCAGACGGGCGACATCTACGCCATGAAGGCGATACGCAAGTGCGACAGCCTGGAGAAGACGTCGTTCGACGTGGAAAGAGACATCATGGCGTTTGCACAGTCTTCGTGGATCACGAGTCTCCAGTACGCGTTTCAAGACAGCGTGTACTTGTTTTTCGTGATGGAGTATCACCCAGGGGGCGATTTGCTGGGGCTGCTGTATCGACAAGGGGGCACACTCCCGGAAAGCGCAGCCACTTTTTATTTAGCCGAAATTGTGTTGGCGCTGGAGGATTTACACGTGATGGGGTTCGCTCATAGGGATATTAAACCGGATAATATTCTTCTGGATCGGTGTGGGCACTTGAAGTTGGCGGATTTTGGCTCAGCGGCACGTCTGGACGCGAAAGGGTTTGTGAGTTGTGGGATTCCGGTGGGAACGCCGGATTATATAGCCCCTGAAGTGCTACAGTCGGTGGAGAAAAATTCAAAACGTGTACAATATGGAGTTAGTTGTGACTACTGGTCACTAGGTATCTTAGCGTATGAATTAACGATTGGGAAACCCCCTTTCACGGGTCAAAACACCACCACCACCTACTCCAAAATTATGAACCACGCCAACCATTTAAAATTCCCACCGGACGTCCTCCTCACCCAGGCCTACGTTTCTCTTATCAAAGGTCTAGTAACTGAAGAAAAATCGCGTTTAACGAAACCCCAAGTCCGGCAACACCCCCTTTTTAAGAATATTCATTTTGACACTTTACGGGACCAAGTGCCCCCATATGTACCTAAAATTACTTCTCTCGACGACACTAGTAATTTTTGTGACGTGGTGACTAAAAAGAATGGTCCTAATATTGACAATTTTAAGAAAAAGACGCAATTTTCGGGACGCAATTTGCCATTTATTGGGTTTACGTTCACGAATGGAGTTAGTTCGTGTGGGAGAGACTATGACAGGGGTTCAAAGGCCAAAGATGACATTATTAGAAGTATGAAGGAGGAGCTGGAGGCTGTGAAACGGACGTTGATGAAGAGCGAGGATTTTGAGGAGCTGAAAATGTGTTTGGAGAAGAAGGTTCTGGAGAAGAGTCACAAGTTGGAGAGTATTGAGAACGTGAGGGAGAAGCTGGAGAGGGATTTGGCGGCGAGTATGGCGGAGAGTACGGTGAGTATTTGTTTTTATACCGAGTGTTGCAAATTTATAAGTATCGTTGAAAAAAATCCTACCGACTGCGCCATTTTTAATAGCGTTTACTCGATAAAACGGAAAAAACGTTCTTTAGTTTTTGACTCAAAACTATCACGTATTTTGGCTTGGAAAAAGCTGATAGTGTATCCATTTTTTAGTTATTGTTGATTAAAGCAAGATTTAAAGAGGGCATTTTTTTGTAAATGTAGGCAACCAAACATTTTCTTTCCTCAAGAACTAGTCGAGAAAGTGTATGATTTACGATAGGGTTGGTCATTATTGACATTTGATGGATTTAAAACCCTTGTTGAGAAAGTATGCAAATAAGGTGACCCTAGCGAGTTCTACCTGAACACGGTAAGGAGCCTTAATTACAAAATTTTGGCCTCATAAGTGTATTTAGGACTACGGTAATGAAAATTTAGGGACACAATTTATTTTGAAACCCTCGAAGTAATCCCAAAAAGCCACTACATATTATAATTCTGAGCAGCTTACTCTCGGCTTTTATTGACCATTTTTGGAATTAGAAAGTTATTTTTGGAAAAGGTTAAGCAGGTAGAATTTTCTGAATAGGGCTATTTATGGGTAATTATCCCCTCTCATTTCGAAAATTTACCTCATGCACGTCTTTAGACTGCCAAATTCATTTACTGTTCAGTTCTCGTGACGTGTTCCTGCAATGGCAGTAAAAAATTCCGCTGTTGAGTTACTACGGGTGAGTAAATTTTTTTTTCATTTGTGTTGGTTTTGGTGGACATCGTTTTCTAAGACAAGATGGATAAGAGATAATTTCGTGCATAAACTTTTGAACTTTAGAGAAAAAATAGTAAAAATTCTGGTTCCATGAACTGATATTGCACAACGGTGGAATATCGTAGGTGTCCGATTCCTCCATGAAACACACACCGTACACATAACGGATACAAATTTTAGAATTTGAGGTCGTAGTTCCTTTACGTTAATAATAATTAATTATAATAACACCTCATATCAAGTTTAAATGTCTGTCATATTTTTACTTCCCAGCATAAGCTAATTGCCACTTTCATATTTTCTCGACATGTCATGACCTCTAGACTACGAAAAAAGTGGTCTCCCGTTTTCGTCTGTCTGTCTGTCTGTCTGTCTGTCTGGTGTTTGTATCCATTTTTATTAGAATCTCCGGAACTACCAGGCCGATTGTTGTCAAATTTTGTATTTATATTAGGAATATCATGTATGTGGTAAAACGCTAACCAAAAAATTGTACATAGTAAATGGGTTTTAAATTGTGTATAACATAGTCCTACACATGTAGTTTATTCTCAGTGTTAAGTTTTTATCCGAAACGTTCAGATTTATGGAAAAAAAATCAAAATTATAAAACAGTATTTTGCAATTTAATTTTTAATAAGCAAAATCGATTGCTTCGAAATCGTACAGATGTTTTAAAGTTATCATAAGCATGGTAAAGTACTTTAAAAGCTATAAGGTTATATGACCGTCATAAAATTATCCCATTGTGTCGAAGTTAAGTTGTTTACAATAGAAAAGGATTTAAGGTCGTAAATAACCTGTACAATGCAGCTCGACCGGCTACTGTTGGTTTGTTCAGGGGTGGCTTTCATTAAATATCTAACTATAGTGAACCAAGAGCTATAAGGTTATATGGCCATCATAAAATTATCCCATTGTATCGAAGTTAAGTTGTTTACAATAGAAAAGGTTTTAGGGTCGTAAATAACATGTCCACTACAGCTCGACCGGCTCTTGTGGTTTCGTTCAGGGGCGGCTTTCACTAAATATGAAAATCCACCACTCCACTATTCCTTTACTGCAGCCGCTGAGGGTTAATAACCACTCGCTTTGAAAGCCGGCCCTGTTAAATATGAACAAGAAATATTTAGAAGATGATTTATTGCCAACCGGTAAGCTTAGTGCGAACCACACAAAGGGGCTATTTATTTGCAGTCAACTAATTTTATGATGGCCATATAACCTTATAGCTCTTGGTTCACTATACCTACAACTACCTGCAGCCACAAAGGGTTCCGAAATAACCAGTCGCTTTGAAAGCCGGCCCTGCTAAATGTGAGCAAGAAGTGTTTAGCAAGACCGGTAAGCTTTGTGCGAACCACACAAAGGGGGTATTTATTTACGGTCAACTACTTTTATGATGGTCATATAACCTTATAACTTTTGGGCTACTATAAATTTTTGATCAAAATGTATTTGCTCATCCCCCCTAATAAATTGATGACGTCACCTCAAAATATTGCTGAATAAATCATATCTTAAATGTCTAAAGTATGATGAGTCTATATTTGTAATTTATCACTGCATTAATATTTTTTCTGCTTATACCGGGTGTCTCAAAAAATCAATGACTGAGTCAATTTATTGTATTGAATAAATCAAGAATCGCAAAACTGTAAACGGCGGGTGGGCTTTCAATTTTTTTAGAAGGTATATCATTTGACAAAATCAGTCTTATCGTAGCTAGTAAATACTTGCTAAGATAAGACTGATTTTGGCAGATGATATACTTTCTAAAAAAATTGAGGGCGGGTGGGCGGGGCTAGTTGTTGCTAAGATAAGACTGATTTTGGCAGCTGATATACCTTCTTAAAAAATTGAGGGCGGATGGGCGGGGCTAGTACTTGCTAGGATGACATTGATTTTGGCAAATGAAATAACCACTAAGAAAATAAATGGCGGATGGACCCCCTATTTTTTTAGAGAATATATCATTTGCCAAAATCATTCTTGCCGTGACAACTACTGACCCGCCCCCCGCATTTTATTTTCTTAGAGGGTATATCATTTACCAAAATCAGTCTTATCTTAGCAAGAGCTAGCAACGCCCACCCGCCCTCAATTTTTTTTGGAAGGTATATCATTTACCAAGTCAGTGTTATCGTAGCTAGTAGTTGCTAAGCTAAGACTGATTTTGGTAGATGATATACCTTCTAAAAAAATTGGGAGCGGGCGGGTGGGGCTAGTACTTGCTAAGATGAGATTGATTTTGGCAAATGAAATAACCTCTAAGAAAATAAAGGGCGGGTGGACCCCCTATTTTCTTAGAGGGTATATCATTTACCAAAATTAGCCTTATCTTAAAAAGAACTAGCCCCGCCCACCCACCCTCAGTTTTTTTAGAAGGTATATCATTTGCCAAGTCAGTGTTATCGTAGCTAGTACTTGCTAAGATAAGATTGATTTTGGCAGAAGATGTACTTTCTGAAAAAATTGAGGGTGTGTGGGCGTTACTAGTTATTGCTACGATAAGACTGATTTTGGCAGCTGATATACCTTCTAAAAAAATTGAGGGCGAGTGGGCAGGGCTAGTACTTGCTAGGATGAGATTGATTTTGGCAAATAAAATAACCTCTAAGAAAATAAAAGGCGGGTGGGCCCCCTATTTTTTTAGAGGGTATATCATTTGCCAAAATCAGTCTCATCGTAGCTAATACTTGCTAAGATAAGACTGATTTTTCAAATGATATATCTTCTGAAAAAATTGAGGGTGGGTGGGCGGAGCTAGTTATTGCTAGGATGAGATTGATTTTCTCAAATGAAATAACCTCTAAGAAAATAAAGGGCGGGTGGACTCCCTATTTTTTTAGAGGGTATCTCATTTGCCAAAATCAGTCTTGCCGTAACAACTACTGACCCCGCCCACCCGCCCTTTATTTTCTTAGAGGGTATATCATTTGCCAAAATCAGTCTTATCTTAGCAAGAACTAACCCCGCCCACCCGCCCTCAATTTTTTGGAAGGTGTATGATTTGCCAAGTCAGTGTTATCGTAGCTAGTACTTACTAAGATAAGACTAAGTTTGGCAAGTGATGTACCTTCCAAAAAAATTGAGGGCGGGTGGGCGGGGCTAGTTATTGCTAAGATAAGACTGATTTTGGCAGCTGATATACCTTCTAAAAAAATTGAGAGCGGGTGAGCGGGCCTAGTATTTGCTAGGATGAGATTGATTTTGGCAAATGAAATAACCTCTAAGAAAATAAATGGCGAGAGGACCCCCAATTTTTTTATAGGGTATATCACTTGCCAAAATCAGTCTTGCCGTGACAACAACTGACCCCGCTCACCCGCCCTTTTTTTTCTTAGAGAGTATATCATTTACCAAAATCATTCTTATCTTAGCAAGAACTAGCCCCACCCACCCGCACTCAATTTTTTAGAAGGTATATCGTTTGCCAAAATCAGTCTTGTGGGGGCTGGCAAGTCCCACAAAATTGTATACTATTTGTATATTTGTATATAAGCTGTATTTAATTACTTCCAACCAGTATCACCCCGAAACTTTCTCTTCGTCCACCTGCATGTCGTAAAACTTATCTCTTGTTCACCCTTCTCGGTAATACTGATCCTTTCCCAGATTTCGAATACCTTCCAAGAACCCTTTAGACACAACTGTTTCCACCGCTTTCTACCGACCTTTCTTTTCATTTTCACAAACTCCAAGACTTCCTTCATCTGCCGTACCGACAACATCAAAATAAATACGCCAAAATGCAAGTACTGTTTCAATCACCTGATCACCCCACAGTCTTATCTTAACTATTGCTTGCTAGGATAAGACTGATTTTGGCGAGCGTATACGAGTTGCGCCAATTACCTGCTAGCTTCTTCATGGGGGATTAGGAATTTAATTTAATTAATCGGAAAATTAATGGTTACCAAGTACCATTCCCAAATTTCTGCAACTGCACTGAATGATAAGGTGCGTTGTCCACAACCACCACAATGTTTTTGAATTAGCTCGTCGATACTGCATTTTAAAATTTTTTGTTGATTTTCGGACAACATCGCCAAAAGTTCAAATTTTCAAACTTTTGAAATTTTTGATATTTTCCAAGCACATTCGAAAATTACCTGAAGTCATTTTTGGCAACGTTTGTTCTAAAACTCCAGCCACATTTTCAAAATCACCAAAATAAATAGACTATTTTTGGGATATTCTAAGAAGTTTAATTAAAAACCGAAAATTTCGAAAATATTGGCCTGGGACCATCCATAGACTATTTTTTGAATTAGCTCGTCGATATATGCATCTCAATTTTTCTTGTGGATTTTTAAGCGACTTTGCCAAAAGTTAAAATTTTCAAACTGTTGAAATTTTTTATATTTTCCAAGCACATTCGAAAATTACCGAAAGACATTTTTGGCAAAGTTTGTTCGAAAACTCCAGCCACATTTTCAAAACACCAACATAAATAAGGCCATTTTTAGGATATCCTAAGAAGTTTAATTAAACATCGAAAATTTCGAAAATATTGGCCTGGCACAATCAACAGACTATTTTTTGAATTAGCTCGTCGATATATGCGTCTCAATTTTTTTTTGTGGATTTTTAGACAACTTTGCCAAAAGTTCAAATTTTCAAACTGTAAAATTTTTGATATTTTTCAAGCACCTTCGAAAATTACCGAAAGACATTTTTGGCAAAGTTTATTCGAAAACTCCAGCCACATTTTCAAAACACCAACATAAATAGACCATTTTTAGGATATCCTAAGAAGTTTAATTAAAAATCGAAAATTTCGAAAATATTGGCCTGGGACCATCAACAGACTATTTTTTGAATTAGCTCGTCGATATATGCATTTCAATTTTTTTTTGTGGATTTTTAGACAACTTGCCAAAAGTTCAAATTTTCAAACTTTTGAAATTTTTGATATTTTCCAAGCACTTTCGAAACTTACCTAAAGTTATTTTTGACAACCTTTGTTCTAAAACTCCAGCCACATTTTCAGAATTACCAAAATAAATAGACTATTTTTGGGATATTCTAAAAAGTTTAATTAAAAACCTAAAATTTCTAAAATCTTGGTATGAGACCATCACTAGACTATTTTTTTAATTAGCTCGTAGATATCGGCATCTTAAAAGTCTTTATCGATTTTTAGGCAACTTTGTTAAAAGTTCAAATTTTGAAATTTTTGATATTTTTCAAGCACTTTCGAAAATTAACAAAAGACATTTTTGGCAAAATTTGTTCGAAAACTAGCCACATTTTCAGAATCACCAAAATGAAATAACCATCTTTGGGATATTCTAAAAATTTTAATTAATTTATTGATTAAAGCTGTACTTTATGGGCGAGGGAAGTTCTGTCGAAGTAATCTTCGACCAAATTTGAATAATAAATCCGAAACACTAAAAAATAAACCCTAGGGTATCGTCAAAGCTTTGAAAACCCAACAAAAAAATACACGTTCCATTAAAATAGAATTTAAAAAACCATTTTCCGCGCCTCATTTCCAGGCCCTCAAACGCACCCTCGAAATCGAGCGAAAAGACCGCGCTGAACTCGAGCGTCGCGCCCTGGAACTAATCAAATCCGCCAAGACCAAGTGGGAAACCTCCGAGCGCACCAAAGTCGAAGCCCTGAGGCTCGAAATCGAACAACAAAAAGACAAAATCGCGCAACTAACGACCACCAACAACATGCTGAACGAACAGCTGCAGCGCGCCTTCAAGCTCGAAAACAAGCACAAAGAGTCCCTGGAAGCCGTAGAACAGATGAACCGGCGAAGCCTCGTAGGACTCGAGTCCCGCCTGGAAAAAGTGGCCGTGGAATCCAGAGGCAAAATCTCGACTCTGCAGACCATGCTGGATAGAAGCAACGACGAGAAGCGCGCGCTGGAAGAGGAAATCCAGAAGCAGAAGGACGAACTAGACGCGTTGATGAAGAAGCTGGAGAAATCGAGCGAAGAGTACAGCGTTTTGAACGGAGCCGCTCTAGAAGCCGAAAAACTCGTGAAGGAACTGAGTGAAAAAGTCGCCACGTTCGAGGACGAAATGGAAGACAACAAAACCTTGAAAGAGACGGTTGAAGAGTTTTTCAAAGAGAGCGAAATCCAGAGGAAGAAAATCAAAGACCTGGAGCTAGCGAACACTCTACTGACGAAAGAACTGCGCCACATGGACGAATACAGAAAGTACATCGACTTACTCAAAGGAATTAAGACCGAAAACGAGAAGAAAATCCACGAGTTGGAAAGCAAATTACAAGAAGAAGAACAGAAGAGTGCTTCGTTCCAGAAACAACTAGTCGATTCTGAAACTTTGGTCAACGAAAGCCAGCAACTCAAAGAACTAAGAATGAACATGTGGAAAATGGAGAAAGAGCTAGGAAACACGAAAATCGACAAACGAATAGCAGAGCGGGAGCTGAAGGACGCGATGAAAGAAGCCAAAGAGCTGAGTGAAGAAATCCAAACATTGAAGATCAAAATCGACGAAAATAGAAAAGTGCACGAGTCGGCTATGTTGGAACTGAACAACATCAACGAGTCGCTATCGATCGACCTAGTGAAAGCGCGCGAGTCCCTCAAGAACTTTGAAGACAAGCTCGAGAACGAAAAAACGAAGAACGGTGAAGAAAAAGCGCTGATTGAGCACTTGAAGGAAACTATGAAAGAGAAAGACGCCAGAATCGCGACTATTACATCAGAAGCAAAATCTTTGAGAAACGATTTGTCATCGCTGAAGATCCAGATGGCGAAAACTGAAGAACAAAAGCAGCAAATTTTGTATGAATGCAGAAGGAGCAGAGACGACAAGCAGAAACTAATAGATGAAGTGAAAGACACCAAGACGCAGTTAGAAAATCACCAAAGGAGCTTAGAGGCTCTTCGAGAAGCCTGCTTAATCATCGAAAACCAAGTCATCGGGTATGAGAAAATCAACGCTTCCATACAAGCCGAGAAGGCCAAACTTGCCCAAAACACCGAAGAACTCATCAAAGATTTGTGTAAGGCGAAAGAAGAAATCCAAGAAGCGAAGAAATCAGCGAACGAAGAAAAGTCGTTGAGATTGTTAACTGAAACTAAAGTCAAACGACTGAGTGAAGATATGGAGAGCTTGCAGACCGAGTGCGACTCTTATAAAGACCATTGTCTGAAATATAAAGAGTGTTCGAATACTTTGAGCGAAGAATTGACTGTGAGTGAAGAAAAGGTGTCCGATTTGGAAGTGACAGTGAAGAGTTACGAGCGCCAAATCGAAGACTTCGTCTCAGAAAATAACTTACTCAAAGAAGAAATCTCTCAGTACTTGACACAAATCGCAGGACTGAAAGAGTCGAACTTTAAACTCAAACAACAAGTGCAGGATTTGAAGAACGCGAAGAATCTTCTCATCGAAAGGTCAGAAGAACTGGAGAACATTCTCAACGCGAGAGTGACGTATTTTGAAGAACGAGAAATCAAGCACGTGTCGACCATCAAACAACAAACCAAACTGATTGACTATCTTCAAGTTAAGGTAAGTTTTCATTGTTCGAATAGCGCGGTTTCTTTATTTAGCAACCACAGATCGACGAATACAGCCACAAGAAGAAAACCCTCACGGACAAACTTTTCGGACACTCGAAGAAAGAAAATCAACCGATTATCTTACCAATCAACTATAAAGATCTAGAAAGTGAGTTGCAGAAGCACAAGAAGATGAACAAAGATCTTCAGGAAGAAATCTACAAGTTGAAGGCCGAAATTAGTTGTAAAGTCACTCCTGTGACTAAACTATTGCGACATAAATCGGAAATCACTTCACCGAAGACGAAATTGGCGATGGAACAACTAACAAAGTCGCCGGCGTCGTCAAACGAGTTTGTTAAGAAGAATTCAATGCAGCGGATGCACCACAACATCCCCCACAGGTATTAAAAGTAGCTATTTTGAATCAAAATTTTTTTGTGTCAAACGTCGTTTGTTGCCAACCTAAGTGCTGCCAACTGTTGTTACTAAATCCCTAATACATTACAATTTTGTAGATTCGTATCTAAACTTTGCAAGAAACTGTCAAAGTGCGACCACTGCTCAAACCAGGTTATGTTAGGTCGTGACGTCAGCATCTGTACCGAGTGTAGCATGACAGTGCACATAAGTTGTGCAGAATTGGTCAAAAGTACATGTGGTTTGCCCCAGGCTTATGCCAAACATTTCAAAGATAGCTTGACTAGACTGAACTCGTCGGAAAATGGGGACTTAGATGAGTCGGTGTGTGTGGAAGGATGGATTAAAGTCTTGAGGTGAGTGTGCGGTTTTTTATTATTACCATCATTATTATTATCATTGTAGTAAAAATAACTGCTGGGAGAAGCGCTACGCCTACTTGACTGACTCACGACTAGAAATTTATTCAAATTTGGATCAACAAAATAGGAATTTAGTTGAATCTCTTGATTTGAAGTTGCCTAATAGTAAACGGAAGGTCGTTCTGGAGCCAGTGCCCTCAGAAATCGGAGTCAGTGTGGCTAGTAGTGATTTACCTTTTATTATGAAGGTCGAAATTTCAAGTGATTGTTGGCCAGTGGTTGCTGTAGTCTTTATGGCGTTGTCCATGGCGGACAGAGACAAGTGGTACAAAGGTGAGCATTTATAGTCGTAATAATAACAACAACAACAACACTAATATGACAAAAATTGCAGCTTTACAAGCCACCTTCAACGACACTTCTGACAAATACCACATCGAATCCCTCTTTTCCATCCCCGAAAAAATCTACGTTAATTGCCTCCTGGACCTAACCCAGAACATCAAAGTCGTAGGAACCGACCACGGCCTCTACTCCCACTACAACGACCTCCTCCTCCACATCGAAGGCCCCACCGAGGTCCAACACATCTGCGTCATCCCCGAATCCAACATCGTCGTCATGATTGCCAACCTCACCGGCGTCCTCATCTCCTGCGACTTAAACCACTTAATCAACTTAACGCAATGCGCACCCTGCACTAAGCCGGTACTTAAGTACCAAAGCATCTCAGTGAAGAATTTAGACGGTTTTCACTATCTGCACGCCTCCACGTACTCCAAGCACCAGATGTTTTGCGCCGCCACCTCCAAACACCTGGTTATAGTCAAGTACGAGCTCGAAGCCGGCGAATTCGTGCCGCTGAGGATCATGGACACGGCGGAACCTCTAGGATGCGCGCTTTTCACCGAGCACTCGCTCATAGTAGGCGCTGATAAATTTTTCGAGATTGATTTGTCGGATTTCAAGGCCGAGGAATTCCTCGATAGTTCGGATCTCAGGTTGAAGCACGCGGTGAAGTGCCATAAAATGCAGTCGTTTCCGTTGGCGATTGTGGCAGTTGCGGATAATCCGAAGGAGTTTCTTTTGTGTTTTAACGAGTTTTCGGTGTTTGTAGATGAGTATGGACGGTGTTCGCGCCCGAAAGAAATCAAAACGAGCTATTTACCGATCGGGTTTCATTTTATTCGGCCGTTTTTGTACGTGGTTCAGTTTTCGGGGGTTGAAATCATGAAGTTGGGTCAAGGGGATGAGGATAGTCGTAATGCGGTTGTGGAGTTGAAGAAGATGAGGTACTTGGGACGAAACAGGGTGGGAATTTTTGTGTTTCATGATGGGAAGGTTAAGTTTCTAGAGGGGAGGAAATTAGTGGAAGGGGATGATGGTACGTCTGTTTGTCCGTCGACGGAAGAAGGGGAAGAGTCGAATAGGTTTAGTTTCACGAGTTCAATAGTACAAAGTTTAGACGGGAATTTAAGTGATGAAAGTAGCGTCGAGGACAACACAAAAAGAGTAAAGTTTTCACAAACTAATTTGTAACAATTGTACTTAGCTTGCCGTTTAAGTAATGCCTTAATTTATACGCACTAGAGTGTATTGATTTTATATATTTTTTAATAAAGTGTGATTAAGTTTTGATGTTGTGTATTTATGTTACCTGGCGGCTGCAACCAATCGACGACGAGGTTTCTATAAATGTTGGGTGCGTCTAAATCACACTCCTTAAATTAAAAATGTATATTTACAACACAATTATAGTAAAATATATCCTGCAACTGGCAATGTAAGTACGAATCAACCTAACCCCGCTAACAAAACTTGTGCAGCTCTGTGTACAGTTAATAAATGCATCGGTAAACAACCTCACTTACAACGCCAACGAAAATAAAACCCCGTATCGTCTCATACGTATTAACAATTAAAAATTAACAAAATTACAACGTTTGGCAACAAAATCCATCACAAGGTCACACCACCGATCAGGAAGCACTAGACACGATCAGTCAGGCATTTCGATCGAGATTATGGGCAGAACTGGCTTAAGCAAGTCGGCTTTCTTGACGTTCGCGGGATCGCTTTTCTCGTTTTGTTGTTGGAGTTCGACGCCGTTGCTCCGCCGTTCGCTGTGGTAGGCAATGTTGGCGTATTCTTGGAGGAGGGGGCAAGCGCCAAGGACGAATGCGCAGAAGTCTTTGCGCATGCCGAACCACCCTGAAACACACAATGTGAGCATTTAGTCGACCATAACCTCAAAAAACGTACATCGGTTGCCTCCCTTGGCACTGAACGACATTAAAATTAACGTTGTGAACGAAATGAAAAGGGGGCTGACGACGGCTGTGTACGACAGACGAATCTCGCCGTCCAATTTGTTGGCTAGTAATACCTACAACACAAAATTAGAGACCAAAAATTCACTAAATAATCTACTCACTTGGAATATTAAAATAGGAATAACTAAAAAAGTGTACCCTAACGCCGACTTAAAACTAGACCGTCTTTGTTGAGCATTAACTTCTGGAGTTCTTAACAAAATGGCGGCGAAAATAATGGTGTACAGCACACCCACTAACGACAAGCACATCACTATCCACAGCGGCACGAACACCACTTCCCAGGACCAGCTGATGAACCCGTCTAAGCGTAGGGCTAGAAAGATGAACTGTAGCACGTTCACGGCGCAGAAGAGCTCCAGCTGAAACACAAATTTTCATATCCATTTTACTACAAACTTACTCAAACGTACCTCAAACGACCTGTCATGTTTAACAGCCCAAATGCACACGGCTATGCTAACTATCGATATGAAAATCAGCGGTATAAAAACCAGAATCCACAAATGTCTGTTTGATTCCAGCTTATCACATACGAGCAGTTCGAACATTAACAATATCAAATGTAACGCTAGGGATATCAGCATTGACTTGTAGTGGATGTACGCCTCACAGTCTAACCTGCAACGGGTTCGTTTACTCGGAAAAAATTAGATTAGAATGTGCGTCTACCTGAAATGAGGGTATCTCCACCATACGTAGCTTCCGACTGTTGCACCTAAAATTACCAACACTTTCCATATCCAAATGGGGGCGAATACGCACCAGAAAGACCACGTTACGTAATTATCGAGTCTTATTGCGAAGAGGGCTGTGAAAACTAATAGGCACGTGTGCACCACGAATTTACTGAAAGAGAATTTTTGTGGTGAAAGTTTGAGGTTAGGTGGAGGCTGTGGGGGTAGCAGAGGGGTTGCGGTGGGTTGAAAGGGGCATTTTGGGGGCGACTGAAGCTTACCTTGGGTTGAAGTCTTGGAACAGTGTTTGTAAATTCATTTTTCGGGTGTTATTTACAAACTTTTTGTTTTGGATATCATCTTGACAGGTAGTAGTGGCAGTGTTGTCAGTGCCAACTGTTTCGACTGAAGACACTAGATGAAAGGGGTTTTGGTTTGAAAATTTGGGTCGTTATTTTCGACCAATAGAGTGGCAATAGGTGTTTGAATTTCATTTGCTTATTTGAATTTAAAGTCTTAAAAAACAAAATTATACAGTAATAATATGTAATTTTAACTCCCATGAAACTGTATTAAAACAACAACATAAGTAAACGCTAGTCCAAAAATATCCAGAAGAAGCGGTTTCCCAACGTCGAAAAAATTCGCCGCTGTAAACCTAGGCGCATTACCCACAACCAAACTAGTCAATTCGTACAACTCTAGATTTTCCCTAGTACCACAATTCTTAAAGCACCACCTCAGTTTGAGCGTGAGCGGTAACATCCTCTTCGCTTTTTGACAAACGTAGTCACACATCAAAACTAAAACTATCGTCGGGGCCTGAAATCAACCCATTAGTACCACCACCAACAACCAAACCCACTCACAATCCCGAAAGACAGAATCCATATAGCTGCCATAATCTTCTCCACAAAATTGACATACTCGTAGAAATAAACCGAAAATTCGATATAATTAAAAAGCTGAATGGTCGAAAACAGGATTATTAGAGCAATCGGCCACCCGAATATTTCGTTAAAAATGTTAACTGTTTGTTTGAGCAAGCACATTTCGTACTCGATGTGTTTAATCAAACTGATTGGTACCACTTTACGCTGTTTTCTGCGCTTGAGGTGGAATCCTACCAACTGCGCCAATTTCGTATACCGTTGGGACAACATATGCAGAAGGACGCAACACAGACACTTGTACAAGAATTGCAAGTATTGTTCAATCACGTTAATAACATGAGGGAGTTTCTGTGGATCGTGCCAGTTAATCATAGTGTACATGGCAATAGCTAGGTAGAATAAATTTGCAAGAAAAAAACCCGCGTTTTCGTAGCCGAAGCGTTTTTGTTTGATTTGTCTACCAGTGGATAAATTTTCCAGCAGTTTATACCACTGATCTTTTTTCCAGAAATTTAAAGCAATGATCGCTCGATAGCTGAACGCGTAGAGGATCAAATTGTTCAGGTATAGCACGATCATTTTTATGATGCCTTCTCGGACGAAGAAATTTTTTTCGACGAATGCTGCTATAAGGATTGTTGTTATTAGTGCGAAAATGAATAAAATGTGACATTTGCGGTGAAGAGGGTGAGATTTTTTTTGGATGAAGGGAGGTGTTACAGCACAGAATTGGCTCACTGAAATAATTACTTTGAGGAGAAGCATCATGTGGAAAGGTTGGAGTACACTGTAATTATTGTAGTAAGGTTTTCGATATTGATGAATATTATTGATATCGAAGTTTTCATTCAGCTAATGTTGTTTTTGTACACACGCTATTATTTAGAAACGTTTTCACGAAGCAGGTAATTAAGTGAATGATATTGCATAAACAAATAAATAATTCAGGACACAAAGTTATGAGAACCTGATTATTTTACAATAATAATAGATAATTTCATTTTATATATTAGCCAAAATATTAATATTAATCAAATTTCATCTGTTCATACCTTCCAAACACTTGATGACGTCATGCCCAAATTTATTTAAAGGATCATGATCCTCTATTTGTGATTTAGTTATGACAGTTTATTAACGTAATTTTTGATTATTTTATTGGAGACCAGGAATTAAAATCTGTGTATTCATCCTCTCTAGAAAATTAATGACGTCATGTATTCTTTTTTATTTATTAACATTCATAATATCATTTTTTAAACTGTGTACAGGAGGTTTCAAAAATTTATATCTAATTTTCCGAAAATTCCGGGAACACAGCACTGTTTTTAATTCGCTGAATGACTTGGATTAGGCAACTTTATCAAAAGCACGATTTTTCAATACTCCTCTTTTATGAAAAATTCCCCCTTTCTCGACCACTATTGAAATTTACCTAAAGGCTTTTTTTTTGTAAATTTCGACTTCCGGGTTTATTTTTTCCAAAACTTTTACCAATTTTTCCAGAATCTTCCATTGAATTACGGCCATATTTAAGTTAAAAAAAATATTTGCAGCGAATATTTCGAAAATTTTGCTCAGGGACCACAAACACCATATATTTTTCCAATCAGTAAGTCGATATCTATATCCTAGAATTTTTTGTGGATTTTTAGACGACTTTTTCAAAAGCAAAATTTTTCGCTTATGAAAATTCGGGAATTTTCCGACCACTTTCGCAACTTATTAACTAAAGACATTTTCTTCTTCATTTCAACCTTAAGTTACCAAGAGCAACCTCCAGAAGTTTCTTTTGGGCTTATCTCTTATATAGGTGCTACCATTTTTCAAGAATCTCTCACAGTGAAGTATGACAATATTTAGGATTAAAAAATTGAATTCCGTACAGAATATTTCTAAAACCTTAGTTTAGGGCCATTAAACACGCTATATTTTTTGAGTCAGTTGGTCGAAATCTATACCCCAGAATTTTTTGAGGATTTTTAGATAGAGTAACTTTTTCAAAATCAAAATTTTTCGCTTTTGAAAATTTCGGAATTTTTCAAATTTCGGAATTTTTCGACCACCTTTGGAACTTAACTAAACACATTTTCTTGTACATTTCGATCTCCAGAAGTTACTTTGGACCTCATTTCTTCTATAACTCTTACCATTTTTCCAGAATCTCCCAATAAAATACGAGACCACTTTAAAGATAAAAAAAATTGAATTCCAAAGAGAATAGTTCTAAAATATTGGTCTAGGACCATAAATACGCTATATTTTTCGAATCATGCGTCTATATCCAATTTATAGAATTTTTTGAGGATTTTTAGACAACTTTTTCAAAACCAAAATTTTTCACCTTCGAAACTTAACTCAACACATTTTCTTGTACATTTCGACCTCCAGAAGCTCCTTTCGACTTCATTTCTTCTATAATTTCTGCAATTTTTCCAGAATCTTCCAATGAAATACGACAATTGTAAGGATTAAAAAAAAATTGAGTTCCATAATCACGCTACATTTTTCGCATCGCACGTCGATATTCAATTTCTAGAATTTTTTTGTAGATTTTTAGACAACTTTTTCAAAACCAAAATTTTTCACTTATGAAAATTTCGGAATTTTTCGTTTATGTTCAAAAGATACCTACCTAAAAATATTTTATTGCACATTTCGACTTCTAGAACTGACTTTCGGAGTCATTTCTTGGACAACTCCTACTATCTGCCACTGAAATATGGCAATAATTTGATAAAAAAAATAATTCCTAAGGGTATATTTCTAAAATCATGCTCTGAGATCACAAACACGCTGTATTTTTCAAACCAGGATGTCGAAATTTATGTCCCAGATTTTTTTGACGCTTTTTGTACAACTTTTTTAAAACTAAAATTTTTCACTTATGAAAATTTTGGAATTTTTGGACCACCTTTGACACTTAATTAAAGAAATTTTCTTGCACATTTCGATCTGCAGGAGTTACTTTCGGCCTTATTTCTTTGATAACTCCTATCATTTTTCCAGAATCTCCCACTGAATTGTGACAATTTTTAGGATTGAAAAAAGAACTGAATTTCAAAAAGAATATTTAAAATCTCGGTCTAGGGCCATAAACACGCTACATTTTTCGAATCAGCGCGTCAAAATCTATATCCCAGAATTTTTTGAAGATTTTTAAATAACTTTTTTAAAATCAAAATTTTTCGCTTTTGAAAATTTCAAAATTTTTCAACCATTTTCGAAACTTAACTCAACACATTTTCTTGTACATTTCGACCTCCAGAAGCTCCTTTCGACTTCATTTCTTCTATAATTTCTGCCATTCTCCCAGAATCTTCCAATGAATTACGACAATTTTAAGGATTAAAAAAAATTTGAATTCCATAATCACGCTATATTTTTCGCATCGCACGTCGATATCCAATTTCTAGAATTTTTTTGTGGATTTTTAGACAACTTTTTCAAAACCAAAATTTTTCACTTATGAAAATTTCGGAATTTTTCGTTCACGTTCAAAAGATACCTACCTAAAAATATTTTCTTGCACATTTCGACTTCTAGAAGTGACTTTCGGCGTCATTTTTTGGACAACTCCTACTATCTGCACTGAAATATGGCAATATTTTGATAAAAAAAAATAATTCCTAAGGGTATATTTCTAAAATCATGCTCTGAGATCACAAACACGCTGTATTTTTCGAACCAGGATGTCGAAATCTATGCCCCAGATTTTTTTGACGTTTTTTGTGCAACTTTTTCAAAATTAAAACTTTTCACTTATGAAAATTTTGGAATTTTTCGACCACCTTTGACACTTAATTAAAGATATTTTCTTGCACATTTCGATCTGCAGGAGTTACTTTCGGCCTTATTTCTTTGATAACTCCTATCATTTTTCCAGAATCTCCCACTGAATTGTGACAATTTTTAGGATTGAAAAAAGAACTGAATTTCAAAAAGAATATTTAAAATCTCGGTCTAGGGCCATAAACACGCTACATTTTTCGAATCAGCGCGTCAAAATCTATATCCCAGAATTTTTTGAAGATTTTTAAATAACTTTTTTAAAATCAAAATTTTTCGCTTTTGAAAATTTCAGAATTTTTCAACCACCTTCGAAACTTAACTCAACACATTTTCTTGTACATTTCGACCTCCAGAAGTTATTTTCGACTTCATTTCTTCTATAATTTCTGCCATTTTTCCAGAATCTTCGAATGAAATACGACAATTTTAAGGATTAAAAAAATTTGAATTCCATAATCACGCTATATTTTTCGCATCGCACGTCGATATCCAAATTCTAGAATTTTTTTGTGGATTTTTAGACAACTTTTTCAAAACCAAAATTTTTCACTTATGAAAATTTCGGAATTTTTCGTTCACGTTCAAAAGATACCTACCTAAAAATATTTTCTTGCACATTTCGACTTCTAGAAGTGACTTTCGGCGTCATTTTTTGGACAACTCCTACTATCTGCACTGAAATATGGCAATATTTTGATAAAAAAAAATAATTCCTAAGGGTATATTTCTAAAATCATGCTCTGAGATCACAAACACGCTGTATTTTTCGAACCAGGATGTCGAAATTTATGTCCCAGATTTTTTTGTCGCTTTTTGTACAACTTTTTTAAAACTAAAATTTTTCACTTATGAAAATTTTGGAATTTTTGGACCACCTTTGACACTTAATTAAAGAAATTTTCTTGCACATTTCGATCTGCAGGAGTTACTTTCGGTCTTATTTCTTTGATAACTCCTATCATTTTTCCAGAATCGCCCACTGAATTGTGGCAATTTTTATGATTAAAAAATGAACTGAATTTCAAAAAGAATAATTAAAAATCTCGGTCTAGGGCCATAAACACGCTACATTTTTGAAATCAGCAAGTCGAAATCTATATCTCAGAATTTTTTGAAGATTTTTAAATAACTTTTCCAAAATCAAAATTTTTCGCTTTTGAAAATTTCAGAATTTTTCAACCACCTTCGAAACTTAACTCAACACATTTTCTTGTACATTTCAACCTCCAGAAGCTCCTTTCGACTTCATTTCTTCTATAATTTCTGCCATTTTTCCAGAATATTCCAATGAAATACGACAATTGTAAAGATTAAAAAAAATTTGAGTTCCATAATCACGCTACATTTTTCGCATCGCACGTCGATATCCAATTTCTAGAATTTTTTGTGGATTTTTAGACAATTTTTTCAAAACCAAAATTTTTCACTTATGAAAATTTCGGAATTTTACGACCACCTTCATAACATATCTAAAGACATTTATTTGCACATTTCGACCTCCACAAGTTATTTTCGGCGTCATTCCTTAGATAACTTCTACCATTTTTTCAGAATCCCCATTGAAATTTAGCAATGTTTTGATTAAAAAAAAAAATCATATTTCGAAAATCTTGCTTTGAGGTCATAAACAGGCTGTATTTTTGGAACCAGGACGTCGAAATCTATATCCCCGTATTTTTGAAATTTTTTATACAACTTTTTCAAAACCAAAATTTTTCGCTTAATGAAAATTTTGGAATTTTTCGACCATCTTTGAAACTTGACTAAAGACCTTTTCTTGCACATTTCGACCTCTAAAAATTTCGGTCTTATTTCTTGGATAACTCCTACCATTTTTCCAGAATCTCCCATGGAAATCTGACAATTTTTGAATAAAACAAAATAAAAAAAGAATTGAATTCCAAACTGAATATTTCTAAATTTTTCGAATATACATACATATTCCAGTATTTTTCCTGGATTTTTAAGTAATTCAAAATCTCAGTTTTTTAATTTTTAGAAAAAGTCAAAATCTTGATAAAAATATTTTCATTTGAACATAAAACTTTTTTCTTTTCCAGTTTTTTTTCAATTCGGCCTTAACATGTCACATCATATGTCATTTCTGGCGAATTTTAGACGTTGCCAACATGTGACCAACATAATAAAAGAGGTATATTTTTCAGTAGAAATACGTTTAGATTTAACAATAAATTTTATTTAAATCATGTCGGAAAATAAAACCTTACTTTCAAAATATAGATATTCTGTAGTGTTTATTTATACACTTTATTCATTATTGAGAAATACAAGTTGATCTATTTACCTAATTATCCTAAATTACATATTTCACACTAGAATAATTTACTAAAACTGGCACTGGCAACGTTGTCGAATGTGTTGTTATTTTTGATTTTGGAATAAAATACACTTACAGTTTAATAATCTAGCTCTAATTTTATATAAACTTATAGGGGTTATCAATCAATTCCAAAAATCAAGTTTAGTTTATTAAAGTTATCTAAGACACTAACCTTTTTTAAATGCCTGTGTTTCAAAGAAAACGGTCTTGGAAACCCTTGGTTTTGAAAAAAAAAAAATGAAATAATTTTGAAAATCCTAGGTATGTATTTTATTTTTGGAAAATTTCAAAAAATTCTGGAGTCATCTCAGTACTTTTTTTTAAACTGTGAAAGCGTCTTCAAAGCCCGTAGTATTTATTTTTGGAAAATTTGAACAAATTTTAGGGGATCCTTGTGTTTTGTTTTTTAAAGAGTTTGAAAGAATTAAAGGGGCCCTTGGTACTTTTTTTTTTTTCAAGAATGTGAATTATTTTGGAAACCTTGAAGATATAATGAACAGTAATAATGAAACAATTTTAAAAATTCTCGACGTCTCTGGTATTTTATTTTTGAAAAATTTTGAAAGATTCTAGAAGCTCCTCAGAGTGTTTTTTCAAGCGAATTGCATTTAATTTTTGTTTTGAATGTGATTAAAAAATAAGAGGGTCATTACTAAATTTGTTCTTAAAATTAGTAACAATTACAAATGTTTACAAACACTATTTATAAAAACACAAAACTTGTTCCACTTGAAACAAAACGCTAAACCTAATAATCAAACCACAAATTTACTGAATTAATTCATCCATTTATTTGTTCATTCAACACACGCTTCCACATTTCCAGGTAGCCATAATTATTCCAACCAACAATAAACATTGATCATTTACGCAAACTTTCCGCGTTACCTAATTTACAAGTTTGTTTTATGATTTTTACCAATAATTTCCATAACCAGGGGATTTTCTCCGTCCACCGAGAATCCTTGACTCTTCAGATCCGGCACCAGACAGCATTTCAATTCACAACAAAAAACACATAAATATTTCAACCGCAAACTTTTAATTGCATATTCCACTCACGCATTATTTGTTGTTGAACTGTAACAAAATGACCAGCGTGCTGCTGACGGTCGCCAGAATCTCAATAATCGTAAACTTTCCGGTCCTGAAAAACCCAGCAGCAGTGAAGACCGGAGAATTTAGGACCACGAGGTTGGTGAATTCGTACAGTTCTTGTTTCTGACTGTGACTGACCTGCTGCCACGACCAGCGCAACTTGTAGGTCAAGGAGACGGTTTTTTGGGACTCTTGACTCACTTTGTCGCACATAACGAGGTACAAGCTGGTCATAAACTGGAAGGATTTTGTTAAATTTAATTTAATAAAGTCCTGTACATACCATTGTAAAAGCGGTGATACATATATGGAGCGACAGCGCCTCGTAACTCTCGTCTTGAGTCACCATAACGAACACATAAATCAGCAGTAGCAAAACTGTGTGGAAAATAATCAAAAACACCGGCCAGCCAAACAGGGTGTTAAACATATCTGTAGTTTCTTTCAAGTAGCAAATCACGTAGCCCGTGACGCGCGCGACGTCGTCCGGAAACCCCTGCCTCTGTGTGGCGTAAGCCACCAGTGTTTTGTTCACGCCCCTATACTGCTTAAGTAACATATAAACAAGGTGACACAAAAGCAGAAGGTAAAAAAAGTTTATATATTCCGCAGTGCTAACGGTGATCCTCTTCAGCACCAGTAGACCCTCTATTTGGAACCAAATCACTATTCCATAGCTGGCGATTAGAGTAAAAACCACGTGGCCTGCAACAAAACACGTCCAACACGGAATTTTGCTCAAATATCTTCGACTCTGTCCAAAGTCTGTCATTTTTTTGCTGACTTCCAATCTTGCCAAAAATTTTTTCCATTGCTGGTTTTGCCAGAAGTTGTACACCACGATGACGTGGAAGATGAGGGCTAGAACGATTAGGTCGTTCGCGTAGAGGAAGAATTGCTTCATGAAGAACGTATTTCTGTAGAAATTTCTGCTTTGGATGGTGAAGAAGGCGCCTGTTGTTAGTATTACGAAAATTAGGATACAGTAGATTTTTCGGAGGATGGACGGTCTGGAGGATAAAGGGGGTGTTATGGGTAAAATGTAGCCGACTTTGAAGAATAGTGTTAATAGGTGGAGAGCCATTGTGAGAATGTGGGTAATTGCATGATGATGTGGGTAATCGCATGATGTGTTAATGTAGGGTTTTATCAGGTAGGATCTGTTTATTTAAATAACAATTAAAACCTTTTAAGTTGGTTCGAAATATAAATATAGAAAAAATAAAATTCGGAGATGATGAGTTACCAAATTTTGATTGCGTGATGTATTAATATGAACGTCTTATAATAGTTTTATTCTTTAGGAAAAGAAATAAAGCAATTTTAGCTGGAATCAACTTTTATTGCGTTTGTTTTACTATTGCACGTCATATTTTATTGTTTTATGTACCAATTACGTGAAAATATAGTGTTGATATATCATTAAAATATCGCTTGTGTCAGATAAAACTTTTATTATAATAAAAATAATAGATCTTCTGTTATTTTAACTAAGGAACTGTATTAAAACAAAAACATAAGTAAACGTCAACCCAAAAATATCCAGAAGAAGCGGCTTCCCAATATCGAAAAAATTCGCCCCTGTAAACCGAGGCGCATTAGCCACAACCAAACTAGTCAATTCGTACAACTCTAGATTTTCCCTAGTACTACCATCACTGGTACATCGCACGCAAATGTTTTGAGCCTATGGGCGGATCATTTTTGCCGGTCGTCACCGAAGGAGGCGGTCCAAATCGTCCAAGGGCAGAATTTGTAGGTAGGCTCAAACTACAACGAAATTTACGTGTTGACCAAATTCTTACCCTGAATTAGTTTTAATTTTATGAATACTTACTCTAAATTAGTTTTAATTTTATAAATACCCTATCTAAAATGTTCAGAATATGATGAGTCTATACTTGTGATTTACCATTCCATTAATATTTTTTGGATTTGTTTATACATACAGGGTGACTAAAAAAAATAATGACTGAGTCAATTTATTTTATTGAAGAAATCAAGAATTACAAAACTGAATACTTTGAAATCTTGTCAATTAGTTAGAAAAAAAACCTGTCCTGCTCTAATAACATCGAGAATATGCTCAAAATCACACTAGTATTAGGTCTAATTGTGCCGACCATAGTTATAAAATTCACATTAAAGTAAGTCACGGACATTTTTTGAAGTGTACTACATTTCAAAAAGCAAAAAAAATATTCAGTTTATAAACTTCATAATTTTGGTTTATTAAAGTTTATCAATCATATTTGACGCTTTATTTTATCCGTTCCATTTGTTATCCTTTACTGCGGTCTCTCTTGGGTCGAGGTGTAACACCGGACCGAACGTTCTTCGACCGATAGGATAATTTATTACTTCCGTCATCTTTTCGGTGACAAATTTAATCTTTGCATACTTCAGCGTAGTTAGTGAACTCGTTGTGACCACTGAAATATACAAAGAGTAAATTTTGAAATGGAACGAAAGTCGAAGAATACTTTTAGTCACGATCAAAATGTATTTGCTTATCTTCGCCAAAAAATTCATGACGTCATCGTAAAATTTGATATGATGAGTCTATACCTGTGATTTATCATTGCAGTAATATTTTTTAGATTTACTTATACAGCCTGTCTCAAAAAAAGGTCACTTCGATTTTCGATTTTTCGTTTTTTCGACCAACAGTTTCATCGAATTAGATTTTTCAGTTTCTATTTTTCTATCAACTTTTCGATTTTATTGCTTTCTAATTTTCTGATTTTTCAAATTTGCGGTATTTTGATTTTTCGAGTTTTCAGTTTTTTCGTTTTTCGATTTTTTAATTTTTCGTTTTTTTGATTTTTCGGTGTTTCGATTTTTTTATTTGCCATTCTTTCAATTTTCGATTTTTCGTCTTTCCATTTTTAGATTTTTTGATTTTTCTGTTCGTCAGTTTTTGGACTTTGCAATTTTTTTGCATTTTTGGATTATATTTTACTTTCCGATTTTTTTGATTTTTGAATTCTCGATTTTACGTTTTTAATTCTTCGATTTCCGATTTTTCAATTTTCCGGTTTTTTAATTCTTCTATTCTCGATTTTTCGATTTTCCATTAATCATAAAATTTTTCGATTTTTCGGTTGTTTTATTTTTCGACCTTCGATTTTTCAACTTTCGATTATTCGATTTTCTATTTTCTGATTTTACAATTTTTCGATTTGCGATTTTTCGATTTTCGTTTTTCCGCTTTTGTGGTTTTTCGATTTTTCTGTTGGTTTCAGTATTTATGGTTCTGCAATTTGCAGCTTTTAAATTTCAATTTTGTTACTTTCTGATTTTCCACTTTTCGATTTTTTGTTTTTTTTGTCGATCGTCGTTTTTTCGATTTTCATTTTTTCGATTTTTTGATTTTTCAATTTTTAGGCCTTGTAATTTTTTTACTTTTCGCTTTTTCGAGTATTTGTTTCATCGAATTTTCGATTTTTCGGTTTTTCCATTTTCCGATTTTCGATTTTTTGATTTTCCATGTTCAGATATTTTTCGATTTTTTTTATTTTTAGATTGTTCTGTTCGTCAGTTTTGAGACTTTACAATTTTTACTTTTCCACTTTTCTATTATTTTAGTTTCGGATTGTTCGATTTTTGAATTTTCGTTTTTTTTTTCATTTTTCGATTTTCGATTTCTTAATTTTTCGATTTTTCGGTTTTTTAATTTGTCGATTATCGATATTCCGATTTTCGATTTTTCGATTTTCCAATCTTCGATTTTTCAATTTCCAGTTTTCGATTTTCCACTTTTTGATTTTACGATTTTTCGATTTTTCTGTTCGTCAGTTTTTAGGCTTTGCAATTTGTTTACTTTTGGATTTTTCGATTATTTTACTTTCCAGTTTTTTGATTTTTGAATTGTCGACTTTTAGAGTTTACAATATTATGAATTTTCGAATTTTCGGTTTTCCTATTTTTCGATTTTTGATTTTTCCATTTTTCGGTTTTTTGATTTTTCAATTCTCAGTTTTTCAATCTTGCAAATTTTCGATTTTTCAGATTTGTGAATTTCCAGTTTTTCGATCGACCTACGTATTAGAAAAAATTGAATTTTCGATTTTCGATTTTTCCATTTTTAGATTTTTGATTTTCCAGTTTTGCATTTTCAGATTTCCTGTTTTTCGCATATCTGATTTATCAAATTTTCGATTTTTCGGCTTTTCGATTTTTCGATATTTGATTTTCGAATTTTCGATTGTTCAGTTTTCCATTTTTCAGCTTTTAGACTTCAATTTTTTTACTTTTCGATTTTCCAAATTTTCGAGTTTCAATTTTCAGATTTTTGATTTTTCGATTTTCTTTTTAAATCTTTGAATTTTTCGGTTTTGATTTTTTGAATTTTTGATTTTTAATTTTTCCATTCTTCGGTTTTTAGACTTCAATTTTCTTTCTTTTAAATTTTTCGATATTCTATTTTCCGCTTTTCAGAATTTTCGATTTTCAGTTTTCAGACTTTCGATGATTAGAATTTTGGATTTTTCAGTTTTATGATTTTTCGATTTTAAAAAATTTGAGTAGTCGAATTTTCGATTTTTCAATTCATCGATTTTTCTATATTCAATTTTTCAATTTAAATTTTGCGATTTTCAATTTGTCCATTGTCGATGTTTAGAATTCTCGGTTTTTCAATTTTTCCATTCGCAACTGTTAGATTTTGTTACTTTCCGATTTTTTGGTTTTCGATTTTCCAATTTTCAGAATTTTCAAGTTTTTTTATTCAGATTTTCCATTTTCCACTTTTTCGATTTTAGATTTTTCGAATTTTTGTTTTTCCAATTTTTTGCTTTTTCTATTTTTCTGTTCGTTTCAGTTTTTAGGCTTTGCAATTTTTTTTACTTTATATATTTTGATTATTTTAATTTTCGATTTCTTTTATTTTTGTTTTTGATTTTTTTAATTTTCAATATTACAAATTTTTGACTTTTCGATTTTTTGGTTTTCCCGTTTTTGAATTTTCGATTTTTCGATTTTTGAGGTTTGTGAATTTCCACTTTTCGATCGACCTAGGTATTTGATTCATTGAATTTTCGATTTTTTGATTAGCCATTTTTAGATTTTCGATTTTTACGATTTGTATTTTTCGATTTTCTGTTTTTTGCATTAGTGAATTTCAGTTTTTCCGATTTTTGATTTTGCGCATATTTGATTAATCAAATTTTCGAAAAAGTTACCGTGCTTACAAAAGCTTCAAAACATCTACAATATTTCAAAGTATTCAGTTTTGCTATTCTTGATTTCTTCAATAAAATAAATTGACTCAGTCATTAACTTTTTTGAGACACTCTGTATAACCAAATCTAAAAAATATTAATGCAGTGATAAATCACAAGTGTACAACTCATCATATTTTATACATTTAAGATAGGATTTATTCTGCAAAATTTTGAGGTGACGTCATAAATTTTTTAGAGGGGATAAGCAAATATATTTTAATTAAAAATGTATCATGTTTATCATGATTTTAAAACATCTGCAATATTTCAAAGTATTCGATTTTGCAAATTCAAAATTAATTTGCAAAATATTGTTTTATAATTATAATTTTTTTTCCAAAAATCTGGACGTTTTGGATAAAAACTCAACACGGAGTCATAAACTACATGTGTAGGACTATGTTACTGTATACAATTTAAAACCCATTTACTATGCATAAATTTGAAGTGACGTCATCACATTATTGGTGGGGATGATTAGACAAATTTAATAATTTTGTGACATTTATGAAAAAAATATCAGTTAACAAAAATGGCACGTTTTATTATTATGCCAGTTACATGTCCCTCAACGACAATATCGTTTTTTTTATTTATTTATTATGAACATTTAAGAGTATTTTATTTGAAAAAGTGATGAAATTTTTTATACGGAACAATTGGTCGAAAGATGTTGGAAAGCAAAATAATTCATGTCCGGACCATCGTTACTCACGAACGAAAGTGACCATTATTTTATGGGAACAACTACCTGCTAAATCTTCTCCGACAAATTCGAGATAACTGGTGTGAGCCATAAATATTTCTTACCAAATGTATATATAACTACTGTCCGTCCCGTTATTGTCAATAAAATTTTATAGGGTAAAATGTGAATTTCGTTGTAGTTTGAGCCTACCTACAAATTCTGCCCTTGAAGGGTTTGGACCGCCTTCTTCAGTGAGGGCAGGCAAAAACGATCCGCCCATAGGCTCAAAACATTTGCGTGAGCAGTACAATCCTCTTACCTTTTTCTTCAAATTATTATAATTAAAAATTGACTAAAAGTTGAATGCCCAAATTTTGTTTTTTTTTTTTACAATAGGTACACACTTACGACAGTAATTAAATTTTTTAAAAAAGTACAATTATTATTTGTTCATTGTGGCAAACTCAAACATCATAAATCAAGGTAAATACAGACTTGCGATTCTCAGTGACCACGATGACACATATGCAAATACTCGAGAAGGGTATTATCCTATAAATTATTGTAAACACTATACCCTTGAGAATAGGATCCTCTTGACAAATGGATAATTTCATGTTTTCGACGTTTGACAGCGTCTACAATATAAAACGTCAGTCTCCCGTTTCCGCCTGTCTGTCTGTCTAAACACGTGGTTTAACATTATAGATCTTCCTTTTGTTAAAATCCACAGCACGTTGGCAGCAAAAAAATTCCATAATTGATATTTGTAAGTACGTGAAGTGACGTCTTTCTCGAACTTCTCTAGACTAGAAAAAATGCCGAATTTTTTAACCACTTTACTACCTTGTGTCAGGTTGTGGTTTTGTTATTCATCGAATTCCTTGAAAACACCAAAATAAAATCCATGACGACAATCCCATGCGTAAAACTTTACTCTGCTAATTAATTTTAACATAATTAAATCTTTGTTTAACAACCTTTTCAAAAATGAACAAAACGTAAATTTAGAAAACACACTTACATAACAATTTTCACGTTCTTTTACGATTGCAAATACCACTACAACCGTTAAATCCACAAGATTTTCTAATCAAACAGTGCACACAACGTCCACAAATCAGTTCATTTTCACGCCCTGAATCATCAGACGAGCAGATAAAAACCGCACTGGAACGAAAAAAATTGCATTAACTATCACCTACAGTTTTACTAAAAGTACACGACTTTCCAGTAAACAAAAAACTAACTCTCACTCATTCCAAACACACTTAAAACAATATTCAAATCCCCAATTTGTAAACGTAACACACTTTTCACTGGGTCATAAAAAACCAAAACCAATAAATTGTAAACGACACCTGCTGTACGTGCGTCAGCCCCCACAGCCCCCACCACTCATCGCCAACAATTGAAGAGCACGAACCACCACAAGCCACTCTTCACTAAGCCGCTAACGAAGAAACCAAGATGAGCGAAATGTACCAAACGTACCCCGACCGCATCGCGCGCTTTTTCGAAGACAAAACCGTGCTGATAACGGGGGCCACCGGCTTCGTGGGGAAAGTGTTGTTAGAGAAAATGTTGCGTGCATGCGGCGGGGTAAAGAAGGTTTACGTACTGATTAGAAGCAAAAGGGAGAAGGAGCCGCAGATACGACTGGTCGAGCTCTTCCGGGATCCAGTAAGTCATTATTATTATTATTATTATTATTATTACCAATATTGTTGTTTTATTTTTTTCTGTGTGTAGATCTTCGGGGTGTTAAAAACCCAGCACGACGCTTCTATTTTCCAAAAAGTAGAAGCTATTTCAGGCGACGTGTCCCTCCCAGGTCTCGATTTGTCCCTCTCTGACAGAAAAAAGCTTTGTTCAGAAGTGGAAATAATCTTCCACTGTGCCGCTATAGTCAGGTTTGACATACCGCTGCAAGAAGCCGTGATTGTCAACGTGCGTGGGACCAAACTTATGTTAGAACTGGCAAAGGAGTGTCAAAATTTGCTCAATTTTGTGCACGTTTCGACTGCTTATTGTCACCTAGACGAGGATATAGTCAAGGAGCAGATATACCCCCCACCTAGAAACCCTCACGACGTCATCAAAATCTGCGAGTGTTTGGAGAACGAGCTTGTCGAGACGATCAAAAATAAGTATGGAATTGTTTTTTTTGTCGGGAATTGTTGATTGTTGATGAGTTTGTAGGATTTTGGAGAAATTCCCTAATTGTTATCCGTTTACAAAGGCGCTGAGTGAGGGTTTGGTTAGTGACGAAATGGAGCGTCTGCCTGTGGTGATTTTTCGGCCATCAGTTGGTACTACATTGTCATACTGTTGTAATTACAGATAAGTTTATTTTTATTGTAGTGGTACCTATTTGGAGAGAACCCCTTCCCGGATATACTGATAACATAAACGGCCCCACTGGACTCCTAATAGGGGGCGGGAAAGGCGTGATTAGAACGCTTTTCTGTCGAGGCGACGGCTATTTAGACTACATTCCGGCTGACCTCGTAGCTAACGGACTCTTATTTAGCACTTTCGATTTTGTTACCAACAAAGGGTACTTTGTTTCTTACTTAAAAAATAAATTTATTGTCACTTCTTTCTAGACAACGAAGAGTTTACAACGCCGTTTCGTCCCACGCCTACAAACTAACGTTCAACCAAGTGGTCAAAATGGGCAAAACCATCGTAGAGACGGCTTTACCATTCAACAACATTTTCTGGTACCCGGGGGGTTCCCTCACCCAATCTAAAATCAAACACTACACAATCATGACCCTATTTCAAATACTTCCAGCGCTGATTATCGACACCATTTTGATTCTTTGTCGCATAAAACCATTGTAAGTACGAAAACACACACACACATACACACTTAAACATCGATTTTTAGCTTCATGAAAATTCAAAAACGCACCCTGAATGCCTACGCTCTTTGCGAATACTATGTTAACAGAAACTGGGATTTCGATAACAGTAAAAGCATGGAAGCGATTGAACTTTTGAACCCCAGGGAACGAGAAATTTATAAAATGGACGGACGAGGGGGCAATTTTCGCGACTATTTTTTGAATTGTATACACTCAGCGCGGCTGTATTTGTTGAAAGAAAGTGATGACCAGATTCCAGCAGCCAAAATGCAAATGAAAGTGTAAGAATAAAATACATACATACAATACATATTAAAACCGAAATTATTTTTTAGAATGTGGTTCGTGGATTGGTTGTGCAAAATCTTCGTCGTCTCGGCTTTATTCTACTATATTTCGTCTAAATTATTCTCATAAATGTCTAAGTTGTAGTTTTAAATTGTAGGACACTTTAATTTAATTAAATAAAAAGAATCACTCTGTATATGGTGTTCAAGTTCACTCTATATATCGCCATTATCGAACAATCATTGCCAACCAAATTACAAAAAACCCCAGAATCGTCGTTGACGTTTGTTTACAAAAGGGGCTAAAATTGCTCCTGAAGACCGAAAAACTGAAAATGGTGACCTGTGCTGTGCGACATTGCCCCAATAACGTCCGCAATGCGTGTGGAAGGATACGATTTTTCCGTTTTCCGTCAGACCATCGAAGACGAAAATTGTGGACGGAATTTTGTGACAGAGAGACCCCCTGGACCCCAAATCACAACAGTCGTGTTTGTAGCGTAAAATATTCAACACTACCCAGTTCTAAATAATCGTACCGTAATTTCTAGGATCATTTTGATGAATACCAGTACGAAACTCGCCGACAAGACGGGCGCAAAAAACTCTCACCTTTTGCAATACCTACAGTATATAGTAAACAGATAGATGTCTGTGAAGATTTTGTCAACGAAAATGTTGTCGAAGACGTTATCAAAGAAGAAAAAAACGTGCTAGGAATGACTTTAGAGTTCGTCAGTTGTGAGGACTTCATGTACCACCAGTGCGTTGTTTGGGTATGAAAAAAACACTCATTTTCGTCACCTAATTGTGTTTTTTTTAGCTAGATCACGACTATTGTAAAGTGTGGAGGGACAATTCCGAGACAACAATCAAGAGTGAAGCAATTTTTTTAAAAACAGAACCCGATTGGATGTCCACAGAATTAGAAATAAAGAAAGAAGACCTGCCTGAATCACCGTTAATAGAGACTTTGGAGACGGTTATCAAAGAGGAGTGTTAATTTATATTTAAAAAAACTAAAAATGCGGCATCAAATGTCAATTTCAAAGCCGCCTGCGTTTTTACTTTTAGTAACGTGGTTTGGTCTAGGGACTTTTAATTTTCACCTGTCATTGTAAAAAACCAGCGATTGTTTAGTTAATTTGTGTAAATATTGTTGCTGTTTAAGTTAAAAATGGGTGACTCTCCTCAACCACCGTTTTCGCACGAAGAAGCCCAAAAACTATGTAAAGAGCCGCCTCAGGAAACCAAAGTAGGTAACATAACCTCAAAATTTATCTCAATACCGGCTTTCAGGATTTTCTCTTCCAACAAACCATGTACCGGATTAAGGACCCTAGAAAGACTCTTCCTTTCTACACTGAGGTCCTCGGAATGCGTTTATTGCAAAAGTTTGATTTTCCATCGATGAAATTTTCGCTCTATTTTATGGGGTATGAAGATCCCAAGGACATACAAGGTGAATTGGGGACACCCGATAGGGGAGAGTGGGCTTTTGCTCGTAAAGCCACGGTTGAGTTAACCCAGTAAGAAATTGTGTGTGGGCGATAATGGGTTATTTTTGCTTCAAATTTTAGTAATTGGGGTACAGAGGACGACGCTGAGTGTAAATATCATAATGGGAATTCGGACCCGCGGGGATTTGGTGAGTAGTCACGTGACCTCGTATTCCTGCTTATGTTTTACTTGCGCACAAATTTTTTATCGTTTAGTAAGTTGGCACCATTTTAGTAACCATTAAAATTCCCTGTGACATAAATTGCAGTATTGGTGGATTTTTGTTTATTAAACACGATAGTAGAAAATAGCTGCTTTTCCCCTAAAAATGTTGCTTAGATCGCGATTAATACTGTTCATGTAGGCCATATCGGGATAATGGTGCCCGACGTAAACAAAGCGTGCGAACGTTTCGAGAAACTGGGAGTCAACTTCATCAAAAAGCCCCAAGACGGCAAAATGAAAGACATCGCATTTATAACCGACCCGGACGGGTACTGGATCGAGATCTTCAACAACAAAGTAGCCCGTAACTTCTAATAATATATTGTTAATTATGATACATCAAATAAAACATTTACAGTGATCACAGCAAAAATTCTACCTAAACATCCATAAGCCCATAGATATCTAATAAGGAATTTGATTCTGGTAATACTGAATCATGTCGTACGTTCGCGTTCTGAAGTTCAGGAAACTGTTACGAATGATTTGTAGCATGTAAGTCGCCGCTTCCTTATCGGTAGCTTCGGGGTGAAATCTACCACGTAATAATTTAATCGTTTGTCCCCTGAAACAAGGGAGACCCGTATCGAGCATGAGGGACACCAGAGAAATTATGGCTTCTTGATATGGTCTGAAATTAAAAATTAACCTAACCCTACTTTTGCGACATTGACGAGTACCTGACTGCTAGATATGCCTGTACACATAGCTCCGAAAACCACTTGAAGGGCGGAGCCTCCATTTTGCCCCCCATTATCATGACCATTTCGTCCGTCAGTTTAATATCGGGCTCGAAACCCAGGTTGCCCCCGGGAGACGACTCAAACATGAACCCGAAGTCAATGTGGATAAGGTGGCCATCAGTATCCAACATGATGTTCCCGTTGTGCCTATCCTTAATCTGCAACAAAAAACCCACCACGCTGTAGGCAGCCATTGAAATTATGAAGTTTCTCCTAGCGTGTTGGAACTCTTTGGTACTCTCGTCGCCGTACTTCTTCAAGAAGTACTCATAGAGACCTATATCGGTTTGACGGCCCAGTTGATCGCGTGACTTGGCGTTGGGGACGCACTCGATGACGCCGCACTGCAAACCCAACAAAAATAAAGTCTCCAAATTCAAGTACCACAGTTACCCCAGGAGCAGTAGCCACTACTCTATACGGGAACAAATACAGCTCCAACCCGACCGTCTGGAATATGTTTTTGAAAATCCCGATCACCTGTAGCGCCAACATATCCTGTCTGACGTCATCCCCGACTTTAAAAATGGCGGCTTGCCACATTTCCGGCCCGAAACTTTGTTCATGATTCTAAAATTTTAATTTTTTATTTACACACTAATCGAGAGTGAAATTTCGCACCTCGTTCACGGACACCGCCATGGCGATGTTCTCCAGCTCGTTGATGCCGCACTTGGCCACTTTGAACCGCGCTAAGTAGGGCGCTTTGGCGGCGCTCTGCATGGGAACCCCGCTGTTGTAGTCAATGTCCACGACCATCGCCTCAGGATTACTGGGAAGGTAGCAACCGGGCTGCACCTTGATCCTCCTCAGAGCCTCCAAACAGGCCCGTCGACGCTCGGGTCCCTTCGGGTACGGCCGAATCTCGCCGGAGATGTTCGTGATTTTACCGAAGAAGTCGAACTCGCGTTCGTAGAACTGTTTAGCCGGACCGGACAGCTCGGACAGGATACCTTGACTGAGGGACTCGAGCGAATCGAACAAGATGGAGTCCTTGTGTTGCATGTCTTCGTCGAGGAACATGTTTGTCTTCATGTTCCAGATGAGTTGGTGGGCGACGATTTGGGACTTTTTCGCTATGTATTTGATGAATTCGGTGGCGTAGCCCATCTGGGATTGGTTGTTTATTGAAGAGATGGAGTGGTCACTAGAGTGAGAGTACTTACCGTGTCGTGTCGGAGCGACTGCACCAGCTGCGGGATATAAAACAAAACGGCATCGGCTGGGTACGAACTGAGTACCCGAACCGCATACTGCGCCGTAATCGGGTGCGGCGGAAACTGCCGACTGAAGTAGGCCAGAGCGTGGATGGGTGAGATTCGAGCCCACGTCAACATATGTACTAGTTTGGCACTATCTGATAAGATGGCGTCGGTAGTAACGAGGTACTGCAAGGCTTCGGGTACGTGCGACACGCACACAGGGTTTTGTTGGACTTGGTGACGGATTTCACTCATTATAGCTTCATTGGTTTTAAAACGTGCCGGTAAATACGTGGCTAAAACCGGTGAAATATCCCAGGCTAGTCTAGTATAGTCCTGCCACTGCTTTTCCGTGATGGTTTTAGCCCTCCACGACGCTATATTGTCTTCCCCGGGGATCAACAACTCCTGACGGGACGTAGGGTTGTGCCAAACCACCAGAAACTCGATCTCTACAGCCAGGAGTTCAAGAATGAGATTTCTCTTCTTCAGGTAGCACTTCACGAAGTTGTCGGCCATTGGTACTCGTTTGGACTTAGCCGAGCGTTTGCTCAAGGTAGCAGTACTACTCGACAAAGGTACTGTGTTGATCCAGCCACTCGTAGTTCGGTTAAACTCGCCAGGTTTGGCTAATTCGTTGTTTTGTACCATGGACATGGGTGTGGTAGCCCCGATATCTAGATCTCCAACGTCACTAGCCTTCAGGTACTTCTTGTCGGAATGTAAAGTCTGCCAGAACCTCACCAACGTGGTAATGTCTTCACGCAGCTCCGTCGCCGACTGCGACGGACAAGTCACCGGTTTACAGAAATAATCCAAACAATTACAATAAATGCGCTCTCTTAAAACATTCTTGGCGAGGCTTTTGGGTAAAATATCACCTTGTAAAAGCGACAGTCCACAAGTGAGCAATCTACAAAAAAAAAAAAAAAAATAAACACGACCTGTAAGTCGTTGCACTACGTCGACGTCTTACTTGAATCGTACACCAATCGCTGAAACCGATCTCGTTTGACACGGAGGATCCGCCCCCACACACATCGCCAAAGACCGGTGTATCAAACTCGCCAACATCTCCACTTTCTCGTAGCTACTATACTTGACGGTTTCGACTAGTTCGCAGATGAACTGCACCCAGATCCCGTGAGGTTTCACGAAGGGTGGGTCCGGTTCTAAACGAGCGCCTTCGTAGGCCGCCAAAGGACTAGTTAAGGGCTGGGAAGTCGAAAATAAACCGATGCGTTTTTGCACGGTGCAGTTCCAAGCGGACACCATCTCCTGGAGGAAGCGGATTTCCAGCTCGGGTTTGGAGGTGATGAGCCACTGCCAGCACTCCACGGCGCTTCGCATGGCTTCCGTCGTGAAAAGTTCGACCTGAAATGGTTATCCTCGAAACCACTTGGTGGCGTACGTAATAATTTCTTACCTGAGACCACGCAATACAGTGCAGTAACTTCCGATTGAACTCGGTGGTGGATATTAGAAGAGCCGTGGCTTGCCATAGCGCATCTCTGTGTTCGCTGTCGGACCGCTCGCGACACGCCGACCACACTTTTTTCAAGATGAAGTCCACCAAAGCCGCTTTACCTTCAGTACCGTAAACCGCAGACATACCGATCACCTAAAAATGACTATAGTATTTCTACGTAGTTGGATGCGACGCACCTCTCCGATGTACTTCGACCTCATCGCCGACGTGGACATCAACTTCGACGAGTCGCTCTTGACGCACTTGGGTCTCTTCTCCAAAGTGCTAATACTCAAAGGTGCACTGTACAGATTCAAGGGTCCAAACTGCAAAATGGACTCCAGCGCCATGGATAACCCCGTATGGTGCCACATCCCGGTACTAGGAATCTGGTTAATGTATTCCTGGATGTGGGAGCGCGTCCATTGGGGTGCCCATTTCATCGCCTCCTTGACAATCCGCTCAGAATTGGCTGCGAAATCTTTAACAATTGTTTCCCTAGCTTCTAACGTATCCATCAACTGAATCGAATATGGCGTCTGCGGTATTCTCAAAGTGGGCGTTTCTTGATTCGGGTCCAATTGCAACGAGTACGACAACACTTGTAGGATGTCAAGCATGGTCCACAAGACACGCCTACTCCATAACAAATGTGGGAACCTGTCTACCAAACTCGCGAGAAACTTATCCGAAACTCTACGTATTTGCTTGTGGGGGTCGTTAAAATGTACGAGGAGGAACTGGGCGTGGCCTTCAAGCTCCGCCTCCCGTGCTTCATTCTTTGGTTTGTTCTTCATTACTTCCAAAAATTTCTCGAATACGCGTTCGCTCACGCTTGAAACGCACACCCACATCCCCGACTTGTCCTTCTGGAGGGCGGAGTCGCTCAAATACTCAGTTATAATTGGCACTAGACTAGGTTCGGGGGAGTTTTGTATCCGCAGAATCTCCACCCAGTACACACTTAGTAAAAACGTGCATTGTGCGAACGTGAGCTTGCTCACGTATGCAGTGACCTCGGTTGGGTGCTTCAACAACTCGAGGATTTGGTTCTTGAGTTCTTGTAGCTCGTTGAAGGAGACGCTGTCGTTGCGGACCGCGCTCGTGTATTGGAGTTCGCGCATTTCGGACCTACTGGACGTGGGGGAGACGAGAGCTGGGGACTTTACCGCGATTTCTTTAACGCCTTCGTACCACTCGTTAGGCCAGAGACCCGAGTCGGAGGCTGTGAACCCCATAATGACGCAGTACAACCAGAAGTCGCGGAAGAGCTTGTGGATTCGGGGCTTGGGGTTTTTGATGAGGGGCAACCGGCGCAGGAGGACGGCGATCACGGGGATGAGCACCCCGAGATTACCGGCTGAGCTTGACGCTTTGAGAGCACCTGGGGATTTTTCGCTGGCGCGCTTGCCTTCGAGACCAAGTTGAACGAAGAGCTCTAGAAGCCGCCCCAGGAGCTCATTCATTTGGGTTTCGCTCTGGATGTTGGCGGCGATGTTAGCTAAAGCGTTGATGACGGGGCGGGAGACGTGTCTGTATTGCGCCTTTTCGTTCGTGGAGTTCCCGTACGCCGCGCTGCTACTTTCCACCGTGATCATGGTGAACATTTTCATGACTACTTCGTAGACGTGCGCTTCGCACTGCGCTATGATGATACACCCCAGCTGGTCAACGATCAGAGTGTCTAGAGCCGAAGGCACCCGACAAAATCTCTGTTGGAAAAACTGCAAGATCGTGTCCGTCGTTTTCGGGGTCCCTTTCATCGACACGGCCACGTGACCTAACATGATCACGATGTTGGTTGAAATCAACGTCGATTCGCTGTCGCTCTTCTCTGCCGTAAACAGCCGATTGGACACCGAAGCGACTAACGCTCGGACACAATCGGGATCCGACGAGTGTGCCGCCTCTAGCGCGTAACACAGATTCTCAATAGCGGCATCTCTGAGTTTCTCGAACGCGGATAGCGTCGGGGACATCGTCTTCGCAGCGTCCGCTTTCAAGCCATTCACGTGTGCTAGAAAGCGCGCGGTAAATTTAAATTGATTTCGACTTGTCGAACTAACCTATATTTTTCAGTTTCTCTTTGTTTCCTTTGTCGTTGGCTTGGCGGTGGAGCTTCGACAGGATGGGGGAGGGGGTAATGAGGAAGTCGCGGAGGCAGTAGATGGAGGTGGAGGCTATGTTGGGGAATTTCTGGGCAAGGGCTCCTAGTCCCTCGAGACACACCATGAGTAAGGGCATGTGGGCCAAGACGAGCTTGTAACCGTGGTTGGAGTTGATCTTCTCGGTGAGGCGACCGCAGAGGCTGTCGGCACCTACGAAACCATCGACTTCTTCAGAAGACGAAGGGGGTGAAAGGGGTTAGTAAGGTGGAAAACGTTAGAACACTTGAAGCTTTGGTCTCTGTTGTGGGAGAAAACGCAAAACTTGACAAAAAGAACGGCGCTTGACTGTCGGAAGGCATCACAGGGTTGTCGTTAGCGCATACAGAACGGTTAAAATTTGCCGCCGGAAAAATAGTGTCAAATTTGGATGTTTTTTTGTTTGTTTAGTGACACCTCCGTTGCAGTCAATGCGGCGATCGTTTAATCTCCATAAGGACCAACACTTCTCTTACAACTAGTCGATTTCTACAGTTCAAGTCTGTCCCAATGAAGATTAAAATTGGAACACACCACAAAACGCGTTAAAATTAAAATTACTCTAAACAAGAAAAATTAACACGGGGTCAATTTCTATCACCTAAAGTTCTCATTAAAAACCTTAGCAATGTCGGCAAGTTATACTCTTTATCGACTGCAAAAAATAATCAACAATTATTCGAACAGTTGTGGCTAGGAGGAAGTAGGATAAAGGATTTGATACTTTACCTGTTTCGTCCCCGATAGCCCACACGAGTAAATCTACGCATGCGGCGTTCGCCATAACGTTTACTTTAAATTTGTTAACCAACGCAAAATTGCTTTCGCGATCTTCGCGTTCGCTGGCGTCGTGATTCCGGCTTTGCAGCTCGGTCTGGCCGTTTAAATATAATCCTGAAAAGAAAAAAAAAATCTATAAAATTTGCTATGCAAAATTTTGGGATGACGTCATCAAATTGCTGGCGGGGATGAAACACCAACAATTCACAAACACACGCAAACGACAATTTTTTACCTTTAACAAACTCCTGCACATCTTTAGTAAACGGTATTGGAAGATTCTTCTGCGGCTGTAATAATTCCCTCATCAACGTCACCATCACCAAATTAATAACCTCCGAGAAGGTTTTATACGGAAAAATCTGTATTTTCCCCGTCGAGTACACCTCCAGCGACTGCTCATCCAAAAAACTCAACATATCCTTCGTGAGCAACTTCTTCGCCAACGACAGAATACTCTGCAGATGCTTCACCGGAAAAATAATCGTCGACTTCTTATCATTCGGATCGTTAACCCTCAAATGCGGAAACTGGTTAAAACTCGACCCGAACTTCGCAAAAAAGTACGTCGAGGGGTCGTAGTTGCCCAAACTTTGGTTAATAAGAGAGCCGCGTTTCAAGGACGCCGAGTTGTAAGCGATGTCCGTCGTGTCGTAGCCTTGAGTTATGGCCAGAATGTCGACCGTTGCAGCCAAATTCCCAGAGAGACTGCGAGGTATAATCGAGCGAAAGTTGCTGAAACTGCGCTTGTAGTTGGTGGGGTCGGCGTTGACGGAGTGCGCTATGGGGGGCTCGGGCTTGGGGTACAGCCGGCAAATCAGGGGCGGGTCGCTGTTGCAGAACCGGCCCATGGCCCTCGACAGCCCTATAAGCACGGGGATTGTGGTCTTGCAGAGGAAGAATTTGACGGCGCTGTTGATGTGCTCGCGCACTTTGCTGATGCTGTTGGTCAGCTGGATCAAGCATTCCACCTGGGTGTCTATGATCTCGTCGCGGCAGCTTTCGCATTTTATAGCTATGTCGCTGAGGAGGGTGTGCAGGCTGAAGCTGAATTTCTCCGCCACGGGGATGCCTGGAAGAAGTGTGGCGGTGTTAAAACAATTCCTGGGGTTTTCATTTTTTCGTAAAGAATCTAAATCTGCAAAGACATATAGGTGTTCCTTCTGAAAAAATACTACTTGGTGGATGACCTTGTATGGAACACTTGAATGTAGTGACATTTGAAAGAATTTAGTTAGGCAACCCAAACTACACACAGTTGCGCCACCTAGTAGCGCTTTTTGTCATTACTATTTTGTTACTATACGACTTTTGTTTTTACGATTTTTACAACTACAAAAAAATTTGTAGTTTCAATCAATAATGTTTCTTGTATTTTCTAAATTAACACAAACTTATTTAATGCAAATTATCAATGATAATAAAAAAACGCTTGATTTTTTATTGGGGCGCGTTTTTGGAAGGGTTCTTACGGTCAGTGGGGTTCTGCTTGATCTCGTCCAGCCACGCCGCCTTCCCCAGCGCCTTCGCTAGCCTAAGTAAGTACGGCAAGATAGTGTCTTTGTGCTGGAGGCCTGATTCGAGGAAGTAGATTCCGAGAGCTATGACGGCGTCCTGCTGGCGGCTGTTGAGCGCTATGGTGCCGTTGCTCGTCTCCACGGGACATAGCGAGTACAGCGTTTTTACCTAAAGCCAAACCAATTAAATTCTAGAATGAAAAGCAAAGTTCAAGGTTTCCCGTATGTGGAATGAGCTCAAGGCGATTGTAATTTTTGGAAATTGTTTGGCAGTACCTTGTCCCATGGTGTGTTCTTGATGTTGGCTAGAGATCGCGCTAAATGTTGAACGGTTTTGTGAAAAAATAATTTATCGTCTCTAGCCATTACGTTCTAACCTCACACTTAAACGTCAACATGTTATTTTTGTGGGTGACGTTTGTTAAATGTCATGGTGGTATGCAGTCGGTGGGACGTTGCGCAATGATGAACGAGTGTCAAAATGAGGCGTGCAGTCCATCGTGCGTTGTGCAACTTCAGTTTTGTAACTTTCTAAAGCAAACAATAAAATATACACGAATGTACAAACATCAATAAAGTAATGGAGACGAAATCTATGCAGTCGTTTTTGTTATTACGCTGAAATTCGACCCATGGGCGGACATAAATTTAGGGATTTTCCGCCTCGATGTTGTAAGATCGACCCAACATAACCTCAAAAATCATCGACCGTTTAATTTAACGACGACCAATTCAAACTGGGCGTTTTAGTAGAGTAGTTTAACGGTAACTTTATTATTTATTTAGATAAGGTAGCAACTTTTCTAAAAACGTATCGATTTTATCGCTTTTTCCTTTATCTCGGGCGTCCCGTTTTTGTTTGATTCACACATTCATCAGTGCTTTGTCTTCAACCGGTCATAACCGGCAAGAACTGGAAAAGCAGCTAACTGTAAACCCCAACACAAAGAAGCGGTCAAGCCTCCTCCAGGTAAGTAAAGTGTGTGGTTTCAAATACAGTTTAAAGCCTTTTTTCCAGAAAAATGACGTCTACAAATATCTTTTCTGGCATCCAAGGCGAACGCAACTCTAGCAGGGTTTTACGGCCTCCAGGTGGCGGCCAGACTGATGTCTTGGGTGTTAACACGGGAGCCCCCGCATCGCCAAAGAAAGCGCCCCCGAAGCCGGTGCACGTCGAAGAACCCAAACCTAAAACGCCAACTGTGAACAACGAAAAGCCAAAAATGGAGACTCCTGCAGCTGTGAATGTTCCAAACCGTTCTCGGGTTCCTCCGGGCGGATTTTCGTCCGGGGGCTTCTGGTAAATGCCAAATATTAAGCTCTTCCACATTGTACTTAAAATGTGTTTGTGATACATATTATGATTGAGGTATTAATGCATATACTCTTTTCTTGTGAGTTTCGATGGTGTATTTATTTGCATTTTTATGTAGCAACAATCAAACTACTTTTGCAGTATTTATGAAAATTAATACTTTGTACTTCTTTTGACAAATAAAAATATGCTTCTATTTGTATACTATGAGCGTTTTGTTTTATTTATAGTTCAGTAGTGACCTTCGTGTTCCAAGTTTTTAGGATGTGGTTACCAAAACTGACACTGTTTGAATACTCAATTTACAACAATAGGCGATAAGTTAAATGGTTTAAAAAACAGTTCGTTTTGTTTTTATCCAATTTATGAATTAAATATTCATCGTTAATTTAAATATTTAAAAAAGTGACTTAAGTTGATTCACGCATGCGTACATCACTATTGAAACCGAATATAAAGTATCTAAAAATTGTAGAACACAATTTTCGAAAGTATTAGTTAGCTTTTTATTAAAATAAATTATACATCTATACATACATAAAAAAAAATGGATCCACGGTGTTTACACTTGTAATAGTCACAGTGGTTCACAGTTGAGTGGTTGTTGTGATGCAATAAAACCTTAATTAAAACTCGTTCCAAATCAATATAACTAGAGGTCAAAGTTCGCAAATAAATGACTTATTTATATTTTTAGTCGTTATTCTGCATATAAATAGTCCCAGATGAGAAACAGACAAAAAATTAATCAAAACTTTTAAATTATACATGGCTGAAGTTGGCGGGAAGTCACATTTCGTTACAATCGAATATAGATAGCTATTTTCTGCGTATTTTATTTTTATCGATTTAGTTACTTATCACACTCATATTTGATCTTATCATTCCGTCCAGCAAAAGATCTTGTAAATCAGTTTGATAACACAGCCATAAAATTTGTCACATCAATATTATGGAATTTGAATATAACGTTTGGGTGTTTTGAGATACACACTATTAAATTTTAAACGTCCTTATATTGGTAATAAATTAAAGCGTATTAATGTTTCATGATTTTATGACATTTATCAGCAATAAAAATTAAATTACTAGTAGCAAAATAATACTACTTACCTTAAAACTAATTTTTTTCTACTTCAGTAACATCTTAATACTACCACAGCAGGGTACAGAAAAATAACTGAAATTCACCCCTTCTTAGTGTAGTGAAGAATTCGTCAAAACCAGTTATAAATTATTTTTGTGAGTAAATTATTCATTTTAATTTTTTTCGAGATTCTATTCATCATAAAACGAAAATTCTTTATATATATATTTTTTTTCTACGTGTTTCTTTGTTAGTAATTCCCAGTCCGTTCTTCTTCCACCATTCATCGATGAAAGTCGCGGAATCCAACTCCCCCCTTTCAAAAAATACAAAAATAATTAACTTATCTTAACATCAAACAACTCTCCTGCTGCCGTAATTTTCCTTTCTTTCTCTTTGCTTACATATTTCGTCTCCCTCAAGGGTTAATAGCGACACAATTCTTCAGAGAGTTTCACTCAGAGATATCCTATCCCGAAATCGTGAATAAAAACATGTTGAAAGCAAACATTCCGATGATATCGTCATCGAAAAGTCGAGCAAAGCGAAAGCGCACACTTTGGTCCGCAGGCCTGATTATCCTGAAAGCGCTTTTCACAAGTTTCAGTAAACGTCCTGCTAGCGCTGAAAACGCGTCGAGGCGGTCCTGCGGAATAGTGCGCGGAAAGAGATTCTTCGAAAGGGTAGTTAATAGAGAAGCGGAAATGAAATGGAATCGGTGAGTGATTAAAAATTCAGTTATGGATTTTTTTCCTTTTTAAATTTTGTACGGGGTTGATTAGATTTTTCGCGATCAGTCATAATTCTTAGTGGCATATTTATGTTGAATTAAAGTTGAGAAAAACGGGCGGAATTGCAAATCTCGGACTTCTAAACAAATCTTTCGACACGCTATTTCTGTTTGTTTAATTTCTTCTGTTTCAAGTTGGAGAATGTGTTTTGTGCCGTTCTTTTTTCTGAACTGTTGTTACGCAACTTTTCTTTCGATGGAGTTTTGTTGTTTGTGTTGTAATACTGCGGATATTCGAACTCGGTTTTTAATGGAGTTTTTAATAAGTTTTCAGTGAACAACTGAAATGGAATACAAGAGTCTGCTTTTTTTCTGAAAATGAGGTCGTTTAAATAAATACATTGTGGTTTTAGGTTTTAAACATATTTTTGTTTCCAGGAAGTATGTACCTATTTTTAAAATATAATTTTTATTTTCTTACAGGTTTAATTTTTTTTGTTGCAATTTAGAAAAATTGAAATCCTTTCAAAATAACATTTTGAAATTTTGAAAAAGGCAATCCGAAATTTATGAAGTAATTTTTATGATTAATTTAAATTTTTTAATACTGAAAAAATTATTTTCGAGGTATTAAAAAATATTGATTTGGAATGTTTCACTTCGTATAAAAATATTAATGAATCAAATATCCAATTAGCTTGGTAGTTTTCAAATTTAAACCGTTTCTTTATAGTGTTGACTAAAATAATAAAGAAATGCGTTCGAAAATATTAAGTCCAAAGAACCAAAAACAAAATTGTGGTTTTATTTGTTTTTAGATATTTTTTTTGTTTTGTATTTCCCGAGCATAAGATAGAGAAATAGGAGTAACATTTTCCCGACATTTCACGACCCTCGAGTATGAAAAAATAGGTGTGCCGTTTTGTGACTTTTTGTTGTTTTTTGTAGCTATTGTTTGTTGTTTTTTTGGCATTTTGTCGACTTTGTTCTTATATTTTGTCATTTTTTTGTTTTTTTGCCAATTTTTATTGTGACTTTTGTACTTTTTTCAATCGTTTTGTTGGTTGTTTTTTTGTAGTTTTTTTAATGAAATTTTTGTCGTTTTTTCTTATCGTTTCTTTGTCGTATTTTTTGTATTTTTTTATCGTCTTCTTTTTGACGCCCTTATTCTTTTAGTCATATTGTTTTGTCACCTCTTTGATCCCCATTTTTGTCACTTTTCGTCTTAACCTTTGTTTCACATCTTTTTATGATTTTTTTTGTCCCCTGTTTTCGTATTTTTTGTCGCCTTTTCTCGAAGACTTTTTGTTTTTTAAATTTAAAAGTCGCTTTTTTTGTTGAATTTTATGTCCTCTGGTTTTGTAGTTTTTTTTCGTTCTCTTTTTAGTGTCTTTTTTGTGTTTTTTTAACATCTCTCTTTTAATCGCACTTTTTTGTATCATTCTTTTGACTCTTTTGTTATCGTCTTGGTTTTGTAATCGCTTTTTTTGTTCATTTTTTTGTTCTTTGTTTTTGTCACTTTTTCTACCTTTTGTTTGTCACTTTTTTTGTAGCATTTTTTTGATACTCTTCTTTTAGTCGTATTTTTTCCTCGCGTTTTTGACCCCCCCTTTTTTTGTCACTTTTTGTCGTGGCCTTTCTTTTGCATCTTTTTATAATTTTTTTGTCCTCTGTTTCCTCATTTTTTGTTGTTGTTTTTTTGGAATTCTTGTCCTTTGTTGTAGTTGTTTTTTTGTTTCCTACATTTTGTGGCATTTTTTGACTGCCGTATCGCACTTTTTTGTAGCTTATTTTATCCCTTTTATATCGTCTTTTTTGTCTCTTCTTGTAGTCGCATTTTTTGTTGTTTTTTTGTCTCTTGTTTTTGTGCTGCTTTTTTGTCGTATTTTTTCCCCATTTTTATCGCCTTTTTTTGACTTCCTTCCTCGAGTACCTTTTTGTTGTGTTTCTGCCTCCTTTTTGTCATGGACTTTCTTTTGCATATTCTTATGATTTCTTTTGTCCTCTGTTTTCTCATTCTTGTGTAATTTTTTCCATTTTTTCATTTTCTTTTTCCTGACTTTATTTATCCCTATTTGTTGTTTTTTTGTCACTTCTTGTGGTTGCCTTTTTTTTGTTGATTTTTTTGTGGACTTTTTGTTGTGTTTTTTGTTCTTTTTTGTCGTGTTCTTTGTTTTTTTATTGTGATCCTCTTTTTTTTGTTGAATTTTTTGTCCTCTGTGTTTGTATTCTTTTTTTGTGGACCTTTTGTTGCTTTTGATGTCGAGTTTTTTCTTCTTTTTGGTGACTTTTTGTAGTTGCACCTTTTTTCATGTTTTTTGGTCTTTTTTTAGTCACTAATTTGTAGTGGTTTTTTTCTCATTTTTTGTGGATTTGTTTGTACTGTTTCCGAATTTTTTGCGTCCTTTTTTTTCTGTTTTGATTTTTTTTGTCGCTTTTTTTATCCACCTTTTTTTTCACCCTTTTTTTTATTGCCGTTTTTGTGTCTTTTTGTCATTTTTTTACCATTTTCGTTTTTTTGTACTTCTCTATTTTAGTCGCATTTTTTACCCTTTTTTATTTCTTTTTTTTGTCCATTTTTTATAATCGTCTTTTCTTGTTATATTAGGGGGTTACACACCAAGTAGCGTTTATTTCAATGAAATAATATGCATTTATAGATGGCAAATTATTATTCACGGAAAAAGGAAAAAATGGAAGCTTAAAATAAAAAAAAAAAAGTTGAACAAGGCCTAAAATTTTTTATATAGGGTGATTAAATCTGCAAATTGTCAGTTCCTCATGTTTTTCAGTACATGTTTTTGAAATTTTCTCGAAACAAGTTTTTTCTTGGTTTTGTTGGGTTTATTTTGGTAAATGGTAAGTTTGGTAAATTTGGAATCGAAAGAAGCCCGAAAATGTTTAACATAATAAAAATATTTTGAAAACTCCTAAGGAAAGTATTTGTGTTTTTCACAATTTAAAAAATATACCTCCACCTTCATTTTTTTTAAGCTGTTTTTTTGTAATTTTTTTAGTAGCGTTTTTGTTTCATTTTCTTTGTCGTATTTTTTCTAAACTGTTTTATAATTTTTTTTTCATCGTAACCTTTCTTTCGCATTTTTTTTTAATTTTTTTGTTCTCTGTTTTCGCATTTTGTCGATTTTTTTCGAAAATTTTTTGTTTTTTTTGTGTCTTTGTTGTATTTTACGTCCTCTGGCTTTGTTGTCTTTTTGTAGGCTTTTTGTTTTGACTTCCTTGTTATCGCATTTTTTTGTTGATTTTTTTGTCGTCTATTTTTGCCACTTTTTTGTAGTTTTTTTTTTTGTGGAATTTTTGTAGCGTTTTTTTGATTCCCTTTTTTTTGTTGAATTTCTTATCGCGTTTTTGACTCCCTTTTTTGTCGTGGCCTTTGTTTAGCATCTTGTAATGATTTTTTTGTCCTTTGTTTTCGCATTTTTTGTTGATATTTTTAAGAAGTCTGTCTTTTTTGCACTTTTTGTCGCTTATTGTAGCTGTTTTTTGTTGTTGTCTTTTTTATTGTATTTATGGTGGACTTTTTCCTTGCGTTTTTTGTCGTTTGTTTACCGTTTTTTGGCCACTTTTTGTTTAGGCTTTTTTTGTTGAATTTTATATCCTCCCTGTTTGTTTTTGTTACTTGTGGTACTACAGTGATTTTTTTGTTTCCAATGTTTTGTCATTTTTTGACTTTCTATAGTCGCATTTTTTTTGTGCTGTTTTTACCCCTTTTTTGTCGCTTCTTGTAGTCGCCTTTTTTTTGTTAATTTTTTTGTCTCCTGTTTTTGTAGTTTTTCTTGTCGAATTTTTGTCTTTTTTTGTGCTATTTTTTGATGTATTTTGTGAACTTTTTTGTTGCTTTTTTTTCTTCTATTCCCGTTTTTTTGTCGCATTTTTGCCTCCCTTTTTCAGTCACTTTTTGTCATGGACTTTCTTTGGCATATTCTTATGATATGTTTGACCTCGTTTTTCTCATTTTTGTAGTCTTTTTTATGGATTTTTTTCCTTTTTTATTTTCTTTTTGTGAATTTGTTTCTCCCTTTTTTGTTGTCACTTTTTTGTGGTTGCCGTTTTTTTTTGTTGATTTTTTTTTGTTGTTTTTGTCCCTTTTTGTCGTCTATTTTGGTTTTTTATTGTAATCGCCTTTTCTTATTGAATTTTTTTGTTCTCTGTGTCTGTACTCTTTTTTTTTGTGGACTTTTTGTCGCTTTCGTTCCTTCTTCTTTTTTGTGACATTTTTGTCGCCTTTTTTGAACTTTTTTGCTTGTTTTTTGGTCCCTTTTGTAGTCACTTAAGTAATTTTTCATTTTTGCAGATTTGTTTTTACTGTTTCCGCATTTTTGGTGGCATTTGTGTTATTGTATTTTGTGACTTTTTTAATTCCTTTCTGTTAGTCACATTTTTTGACGACTTTTTTGCGGCGTTTTTTTTTGTCTTGTATCCCATGTTTTACCATTTTCGTTTTTTGACTTCCCTAATTTAGTTGTATTTTTTACACCTTGTTTATTTCCTTTCTTTGGCCACTTCGTTTTTTTTTTTGTTATATTAAGGGGTTACACACCAAGTTCGATTAGCACCATTTTTAAAAATAAGAACTTAAAATTTTGAAAAAAAACTTTTTTGGTTATATACCTTATCTTCATGCTCGTATAAATTGAACAAGGCCTAAACTTTTTTATTCATGGTGATTATACGATATTTACATTTTCTCTCATGTTTCTCATTACATAGGTACACATTTTGGAAATTATTTCTAACTAAGATTTCTCTTGATGCCGGTTTTTTGGGTTCATTTTGGCAAATGGTAATTATGGTAAATTTAGTATCGAAAGAAGCTCGAAAATGATATAACATATTTAATTGAAATATATAAAAAATATTTTGAAAACTGCTAAGAAAAGTATTTTGTGTTTGAAATAATTGATAACAATTTTAAAAATGTCCCTTCACCTTTATTTTTTGTTCAGTTTAGCTGTCACGAGATGAAATGATGAAATCTTTTCCTGGCTAAAAGCTGTATTAAAATTATACATTTGTTTTTGTGACATTTTATTATTTTTATGACTGTTAAAAATAACAAAAATGTTAGAATTTTCACAATACTTGTGTTAGTTACCCAAGTCCAACATGGGAGGAACAAAATATAAAAAACCGGTTTAAAATAACACATTACTTAGATTATCGCAAACAGACGCTCACCTTTGGAAAATATTTGTCCAATACTGAGATTTTTCGGTTCACTGAACTTTTTCCAACGTCTCCGTTGCCAATTTTTTCCCCAAAACCACATTTTTCACCCATCTCCGCTCGTCCTTCGCTTAATAGCGCCACAAATTCCCCAACAAACAAATTGTCAATGAACGTGCTAAAAGATAGCAGCCATAAAATTACCATTTGTATAAAAACCCGTAATTGTTGTGTATATTTGCCGAGCGTTTAGCCATGTTTATATCATGTCAAAAATCCTCTTCTCCTCTTCTTTCCACTCCTCGCTCGATCCGCAGCTAAGTGATCCAGTGTTTATGAAATCTCCGTTTGCGCACCCCTGAAAAAATCGAAATGTATGTATGTTTATTTAGCCGATTTCGTAGCAAACATCATTACGCCTCTTGTAAACATCAAATGCGACTGATTGGTTTGTTTGCATGAACTGAAAAAAAAATCACAATTACAAAATACCCTAAAACGCGATTTCTTTTTCAGGTGAAGGGAGCGGAAAATGTGCGCGTTCAAGGTTGCCGCTGTTCAAATAACGAATAAACACGTGTGAAAATGGCGGAACTTTATTTTATTATCAGTGTTTTTTTAGTTAATGCACCGCAACGGTTTGTGACAGGTAGGTGGGGGTTATTTATGGTGTTTTGGGGTTTGGGAGACATAAGGAGCTTTTATGCGTGGATTCGCTCGTAAACTTCACGAAAATGGAAAGTTTCATATTGTGTTCGACGCGCGTTTCAAATTTTTTGGGGTTGATATTTGACTAATTGATGGAAGTGCAGCAGCGGGGAGTTGTGACAAGTGTCGCCACCTGTACGATGGTAGCGAACACTGTCGCTTTAATGTCATCTGTCATAAAACAGATAAAAACAAAAAAAGAAACAAAACTTCCTAGATGAAAAGTGAAAAATTCTTATTGAATAGTTTTAATCGATATAAGTGCTGCCACCTTACCGTTAATACCAACACCACATAACAAAACACCGAATTCCTAGAACGATTAATTATTTCTCGCAAATTACTTAACACATTTTTCATAATTACATTATCATAATTTTTCCTGAAAACAATTTGCTGGATCGGGTTTCTCCTACATGTAACCGTCATTGTGTGTTTGTTCAGCTTAACGTAATAATCAATAGCAATTTAATAACGCTTCTCAAAAAATTCAACATTTGAGCAAAAAGCGGTTTATTTCGTTATTGTCGCCTTGCGACCTGAGTTTGTTCATCTTACTTATTGCTTTATATGTCTGAGTATATTTAGAGTAAAAACGTTTTTTGTTTGTGATAGAATTTAAAGCTCTCTGTGGCAAAATTGAAAACTGGAGTGGTTTTATTCGCATGGTTTACTGGTGCGTTATGAATGGGAAATTGAACAAATCTTGTCATTTCTGACGTAAATTCGAAACCTGGATTATCGTCTAGGAACGAATCCATAGATATTACTTAATTAGTTCGTTTAACATGATCCATCATCTACGTGTCAGGTACCTAATCAGTTGCTACGAAAACCAGATGAAACCCGAAAATAAATTTAATCAAAATTTACACCGCAAAGTAAAAGAGGGAAAATAAAACTAAGAAAATAATGGAAATACAGATTTATTTCAAATTACGGTTACTGAAACTTTGGAAATGGATGATTACAACATTTTTTATTATCTAGAGAGATAAAAACGGTGTAAAGATTGCAAATTATTAAACTGAACAACAAAAAAAAAAAAACTGATAGAAAACTCCAATTTTATTTTGTTGTTCATGATTTACAGTTCACTGTAAGTCGAGAATTTTAATTTCTTTAATCAACAACTCAGAGGATGAAATTTATATAAAAATATTAAATTACGAACGCAAACATCCTTATATCTTCAGGGAAACGATATTCAGAAGAAAAGAAAAAATTAATTAACTAACATCGTAAGTTAAAATATTACGTCATGGTCGTACAATTTGTCTGTACTGGTTTATTCTATTTCTATTTCCGTGGCTAATTCTGTTAGTTGTACTTAATTAATTACACCGAGTTTGAAACAGCTATTAATTAATTGAGTCTTAATTAGTATGCTTAATTGAGAACAAATACGCTAATTCCAATTAATACGTAATTAAGTATTTAATTAACGACGTAGTTTAATTACGTATTACGTTAATTAAATAATTAGTTGATTAATTAACTATGTAACTTTTAAAATATTACGTAATGGTCGTAATATTTATAATAAAAATAATAATGTATAATTTATTTGCAGCCGTTGATTTTCTAATTTGATTTAGCTGATTTCCTAGTTAATTGTTTCAGTTGAGTTTATTTATAATTAATTACACCGAATTTCAAACAATTGTTGATTAATTAGTTGTTAATTAATAAATATGCTTAGTTAAGAATAAATACGCCGATTCATGGTTAATGATTTTTTTAATTAACTGCGAACTTTAGAACGTTCAGTAATGGTCGTAGAAAAAATTGAAATAGTAATTTGCTTGCAGTGGTTTATATTCCATTGTGATTGGAATCATCTTTTGGCCAATGTCTTCAGTTGCGGTTATTTATAATTAATTTTCCGATTTTTCATTTCTCAGTTTCTTGATTTTTAATTTTTCGAATTTTAGTTTTTTAGTTTTTCATGTTATCGATTTTTCAATGTTTTTTTCAATTTAGTGTCTCGATACTTTAGTGTTTCGTGGTTTCTATTTCCCGACTTTTCAATTTTTCGATTTTTTAAATTTCAGATTGTTAATTTCTAGATATTGTAGTTTTCGATTTTTTAATTTTTGGGGTTTAAATTTATAGATATTTTAATTATTAGATTCTTCAATTCTTGATTTTAAATTATCTTATTTTTCAGTTCCTCTATTTTTCAATCTTTCGTTTTTTCAATTTGTCGATGCTTCAATTTATGATTTTTAATTTCATGATCTTTCGGTTTTTCAATTTTTCGATTTTTTAATTTTCGAGTTTTCGTTTTCTAGATACATTTTTCAATTTTTTGATATTTCAATTTCTCATTTTTTTATTTTTTTTTTATCTTTATAACATTTAAATTTTCAGTATTTCAGTTTCTCAATTTTTCCATTTTGCGATTTCTGAATATCTTTATTTACGTTTTTAAAATTTTTGCTTTTTCAGTTATCCGAATTTGAATGTCTTTTTCGGTTTATCGTTCTGTCAATTTTTGATTTTTCAATAATTACCCGATTTTTCAAATCTTTATTATTTCAATTTTTCGTTTCAGTGTCTCCATACTTTAGTGTTTCGTGGTTTCTATTTCACGATTTATCAGTTTTTTTAGATTCTTCAATTCCTGATTTTAAATTATCCTAATTTTCAGTTTCTCTATTTTTCAACCTTTCGTTTCTTCAGTTTCTCCATGTTTAAATTTATGATTTTTAATTTCTCGATTTTTCGATTTTTTAATATTTGAGTTTTCGTTTTCTAGATGTTTCAATTTTTCGATTTTTCAATTTCTCGATTTTTAACATTTGAATTTTCAGTATTTGAGTTTCTCAATTTTTCCATTTTGCGATTTATAAATATTTTTATTTTGTTTTTTCAATTTTGGATTTTTCAGCTATGCGATTTTGAATGTCTTTATTTTTTCAATTTTCAATCTAATTAGTTGTTTATTAATTATTGACGTAATTTGAAACATTAACGAATGGTCGTAGAAAAAATTGAAACCACAATTTGCTTGCTCTTATATAGATTATATTGTAGTTTGATTCACTCCATGTCGAATTCCTTCAGTTGCGATTATTTATAATTAATTTTCTGATTTTTTATTTTTCAGTTTCTTGATTTTTAATTTTTCGATTTCTCGATTTTTAGTTTTTCGGCGGTTCCATGTTACAGTGTGTCTGTTTTTTTAAGTTATCGATTTTTCAATTTTTTTCCTTTTCAGTTTATCGTTCTGTCAATTTTTGATTTTTCAATAATAATTATCCGATTTCTCTAATTAGTTGTTTATTAATTAATGACGTAATTTTGAACATTAACGAATGGTCGTAGAAAAAATTGAAGCTACAATTCGCTTGCTCTCCTCCAATCCTTATTATTCCAATTTTTCGTTTAAGTGTCTCCATACTTTAGTGTTTCGTGGTTTCTATTTCCCGATTTATCAATTTTTGATTTTTTAATATTTCGATCTTTCGAATTTTCAATTTTTAGAATTTTTAATTTTCAGTTTTTCAATTTGTAGATATTGTTTTTTTGGATTTTTTAATATTTGGTGTTCAAAATTACTACATGTTTTAATTTTTGTATTCTATTTCTATTTGCGTGGTTAATTCTATCAGTTGTAATTATTTACAATCTCCCGATTTTTTATTTTTAGATTTCTCGATTTTTAGTTTCTCAATTTTCGACAGTTCTATGTTATAAGTAGTTTGACTATTTTTTCAAGTTATAGATTGTTCATTGTTTCTTCGTTTCCAGTTTATCGTTTCGTCAATTTTTGATTTTTCAGTTATCCGATTTTTCAAATCTTTATTATCTCAATTTTTCGCTTTTTCACTTTTTTTATTTGTTTTTTTTTTGTTCTTCAGTATCTCCATACTTCGTGGTTTTTATTGCCCGATTTTTCAATTTTTGATTTTTTAATATCATTTCCATCTTCCGAATTTTCAATTTTTCGATTTTTTACTTAATTTTCAGTTTTTCAATTTGTAGATATTGTATTTTTGGATTTTTTAATGTTTGGTGTTCAAAATTTCAACAGATTTTTAAAATATTTTATATAATATTTCTATTTGCGCGCCTAATTCTCTCAGTTGTAATTAATTACAATCTCCAGATTTTTAATTTTTCGATTTCTCGATTTTTAGTTTCTCAATTTTCCTCGGTTGTCTATAATAGTTTGTCTATTTTTTTCAGTTATGGATTGTTCATTGTTTCTTCGTTTCCAGTTTATCGTTTCGTCAATTTTTGATTTTTCAGTTATCCGATTTTTGAAAACTTTATTATTTCAATTTTTCACTTTTTTGACTTTTGTTTTTTTTTTGTTCTTCAGTGTCTCGATACTTCAGTGTTTCGTGGTTTCTATTTCCCGATTTTTCAATTTTTGATTTTCTAATATTTCGATTTTTGGAATTTTCAATTTTTCGATTTTTTAATTTTCAGTTTTTCAATTTGTAGATATTGTGTTTTTTGATTTTTTAATGGTTGGTGTTCAAAATTGCTACATATTTTAATTTTTATATTCTATTTCTATTTGTGTGGCTAATTCTGTCAGTTGTAATTATTTACAATCTCCCGATTTTTAATTTTTCGATTTCTCTCGATTTTTAGTTTCTCAGTTTTCGACGGTTCTCTGTTATAAGTAGTTTGTCTATTTTTTCAAGTTATCGATTGTTCATTGTTTCTTCTTTTCCAGTTTATCGTTTTGTCAATTTTTGATTTTTCAATTATCCGATTTTTCAAATCTTTATGATCTCAATTTTTCGCTTTTTCACTTTTTTTATTTGTTTTTTTTTTGTTCTTCAGTGTCTCGATACTTCGTGGTTTTTATTGCTCGATTTTTCAATTTTTGATTTTTTAATATCATTTCCATTTTCCGAATTTTCAATTTTTCGATTTTTTACCCAATTTTCAGTTTTTCAATTTATAGATATTGTATTTTTG